ACGAGAACGGAGAGCGCTGCATGCGCCCAAGGGAATCACCAAGTCCTTGTGGGGTGCATGATGATCGCGAGTCAATCAGACATGCCGTTTTCTCCGGAATTTTTATTTTTATTTTTGCAGGAACAGAGCTGCTGCTTATACGCGGAGTACTGCTAGCAGTGGAGGCACTACATCCTCTCGGGGTCCGCTGTTGGTCCATGTACCTGTCGTCCTACAAATTTATAACGATGAACCGTCAAGGTGTTGGTGTCCCATTATGGGCTATAATTATGTTCTGGCTTCTCGGAGGGCCGCTAAGGTCTGTTTCCGTTGATATACTTCCCCCCTCCGAAACCCTGACCAACTCAGAATATCTGTCAGAAGGTCCAACCGAAGACGGAGTTGAGTCCCCCCCGGCATACCCCTGGACAAACCCCAAGTGGGATTCGAATGTGGCCAAAAGGAGCTTGGATGAGGGCTCCACTCTCGCTTTCGGCCATTACATCGATGCACCTGTCCCCATTCCCATGGAGAAAGCCGTAATGCCATGGTCTGCCCCTGTGCAGGAAAGCACCCCTACTTTGAATGGGGAGATGGCTCCGACCATGAAGAATATGCGGTTCGTCTCAACAATTGTATCAAGCTTTGCAGTCTTACTGCTGGCTGTGTTGTCACTGCAAGTGGCATCCTGGACCGCCCCCACTGCGGATAAAGATCAGAGCAATGCGAGAAGGGAGCCGCGGGATGCCCTCGTAGATAGACCTTCATCCTGGAGCACGATTGCGAAGTTGCATGGGTACACGCTGTTCGGGGCCGGCACTTACCTTATGCTTAATGGATTGGTGCATATGCTCCTTACTCTGCGCAAGGTTCATCAAGCACAGGCCATGAGGAACGATAAACCTAATTTTCGAATGGCTTTCGTGCTATTTCTTGTTACCACTATTTGCGCCATGCTTGTGCCCCCTCCAAATAGCGTTGAAGCAGATACGTTTCTAATGGGCTTTCCAGTGAGCGCGTTTGCCCTCTTTATCGTTAGCTTGGGAGAAAGCTTCTTTTACGATCGAGATCTTGCAAGGAGGCTTTCGAATTTATCGCTCGAAGATATGCCGCCTCCTCCGGACAGCGTTAACTCTGCGCTTGATAAAGGAGCCGAAGAGGCTCAGCCTATGGCTGCTGCGGGTGGCAACTGGAATGGTCATCTCAATTAATCCTGCAAGCCGTGGCTCTAGGGTGGAAAGTATCACAAGAAAGTTTCACAAAAGGAGGTCCCTTAAGGCCTGTATGCGTCAAGGCAGCGAACACGGCGGTGCAGCAGCAAAGTCTGCTTCTGTCGAGCTAGAAGACCCAGAGTGGTTGAGTCCCCATGGGCATGCAAGACAGGAGAAATGCTCTCACTCTGCATATGGGAGGAGGGCAAATGATCTATTCCTGTGGTTTTTAATTCCAAGGGCCGCTGCATAGAATGCGCTACAGGCGCAGACCCGTGGATTTGGTTGCCTGCCCCGGTACCTCACGTGGTGCATCTCTACTTTTGGTTGGGAAGCTAACGGAGAGCGGGGAAAGGACCTCACGGTGTGCCTTTATCTCAGGTTAGCTACGATGCGGCACGTAATGACCCAGTCGCGCAAGGTTCACCGCGTATAGGACCATAATGCTACGGGAGGATCTGTGCTCATCCTTAAGAAGACAAAGGGTCTCGCTGCCTTCGATATTGCAGTAATTTATGGTTACGATTGGTGCGGCGGCTCGCATTTATCGCTTATTGCCACTTTAAACATGTCATCCTACTTTTGGTTGTATACAATGAAGATGGCAGAGGAAGGGCAGTGCGAAATGCCGTACACGTGGCCCCAGTGCATTTTCATCAACAGTCGGTCTTGATAGTCCCTGGTTTTGCTCGTTCCGGCCATTCTTAGGTGAACGCATGCCGCCCCTTTGCCCTCATCCGTGACTTTGACAAATTGACTCGACGGATAATATTCTCCCAACGCGGCTGCAGGGTGATCTCAGTTTTGCTCGCCCTGCCGCTGTCATTTTTTCCTAGCCCTTGCTCAGCTGTCTAAGCATATGGCGATACGCTAGACTCTTTTACCGCGGAACGTCCCGCATCTTTCATAACGCGAAAAGCGAGTTGCAGGTCCGCAGGGAGGCGCTACTCGGAGTGTGGTAGTGCATGCGTAGGGTTGCTTTGGAACACGATTTAATTGCACAACGAAAAATGCCAACTCCCAAATAGTAAGCAGAAGTAATGAGGAAGTCATTCACAAAGAACTGACGCCGCATTGTACTATTCATTTTGGCAGACAGATCGGAACGCGCTTCACACATTCCTTCGTGCCTAGAATATCTAAATATACACCCCTGGTTGCATGGTAGGTGCCACTTTCAGCCTATAAACCGTGTGAAGTGGACAACTAGGTATCCTGGACACATTGAAGTTATTCCCAAGAGACTACTACAGCACACGACACTACTCGGTTGTCAAGACTAACTGGGCGAAGCTCTCAAACGCTTGATGGTAGCGCACTCAAATCAACAGTACAGTCTCCAAATGTGGTGTTTGTGGTTATTGGCGGAGCATATTTCCTCACCTTTCAGGCTGCTTCACTGACCATGCATGCCTCCGCTTGTGCCGCTTAGGAGAGGAAGACGTTAATAGTAAACTCATTTGCATTTGGCGTTCATACATTTACGATATGCACATGTGGCGAACGGCCCCACCCTTGCATATGTACAAAAAACTTCATTGGATTTGTACCAAATCCACGGTCAATTAACGCATCTAAGACAGCATCAGGTCTTTGATCTCCTTAAGAAGAATCTTTCGCTGTGGTCTCAGCACTTTCACTTTCTCGTTTTATAGAGGGCCGCCATTCAACCGCGCTTGCCCTTTGCTTCTCAACGCCCCTTGATGGCTCGGTTGTTTGGTACCTTTTCGTACTCAGTAGTGAAGGCGTAATGAAACCCGCCATATCTTTGCCTTTGCGTCATCACATATGTGCCTGTAGTGATTCACACTGCTTCTGCAAGTACACGTGTGCTTCTGCGGTTAGTGTGGGCTGCTGAAAGCCTGTCTGTTCAACTGTACTAAGGTGAATAGCCTTTGGCTCAAATGGATAGAAGAGACAAAAGGAGAGTAAAACATCTGCTTTGAAACTAGACATTCTGCATGGCTTTGCTCACAGTAATAGGGGAATAATGGGGTGGGACCCGAGGAGCACGTCCTGATACCGATTTTAGCGAGCTGAGAAGAAATTTGGAAGCTTCAGTCTATAATTTGTTTGCATCGATGTCACTTCTGTCCATATTAATCCATGTATTGTGCTGGCTAACGTCGCTTGTCAATCTTTCGGGATGCCAGTGCACTTTTATTAGATGACATAACAAAATACTCTTATGCGGCTTCAACGGTGCCCGCTACTGTCGTTCGGCAGTTCGCCTTTGCAGGAGGGTTGTGGTATGAACTTGTGTGTAAGTGTGTGTAAGCTCAATACCCCATCAGATGTATATGATAGATGTCAAGGCTAGGGCGATCCACGTCGTGAAGGCTTTGATATTTTAGCAGCTGCGGCAAGCGCCGAACTTTGATACTACCTGCCACTTAGCCTTCAACCTTGTGATGGCCGAAGTTCCCGAATCTGTTGATGACATGACCAGTTTACAAATGTAGCCCAAGACTGGAGTTTCAGGTTAGACGCCTGGTGTTCAAAAAAGGGCGGTTGGGGTCCTAGGTAAAAGTCAGCTGTATGCCCAGCTTCCCTGTGCCCAATGAAGCGGTTGTGGTACTTAACCTGACTTCAACTCCTTTTTCTGCGAAAAATTCTTTGTAGATTACGAGGATCTAGTTCTACTTAGTAAAGTTCCACAAGTACCCCTTCTCCAGGAGCGATGCGAATGGAATACATGCTACAACAAACATCATATGAAGTTCTGTATTGTAAGCGGTGGCCCTGTACAAGCATGTTCCTCACCTGGTGACCTCACACAATCATTGATTGTCTTGAACGAAACCAGAGGGGGAACCCCACATGCTGCATCAACGTTTGCTTAGCCTTTTTAGAAGTACTTTTGTAGGACTACCGAAGTCCTCGCATCAGGTACTTCGGCGATCGATCCTCAAATCTTTGAAATGGGAGCCCTCTCAACTTATTTGAGGCATTCCTGGAGTTACACGAAAAGGAATGGGGACTCTGCAACTAGAAATGCTTAGAGCTGCAGCAGCAGCCTGTAATGAAGTACAGGTCATAAATGCATCAACAATCTTCCCGCCAGCACCAAACTAATTCACTGCCAACGTTGTTACTTAAGGAGCAGGTGGGTCAGGTGCTGCTCCAACTCCAGAGTCAGCACGAGGGGCAAATTGAACTGCTGGCGAGGCTGCGTGATGGCCGGGCTTTGTTGGATTGCTTTGGGGGATGCGCGGTTGTTCTCTAGCTTGCGGACACATAAGCTTGAATTACCTTTTCGATTGGATACTCACTTTTGTATGTAGTGGCCAGTACAATAGTCTGTCTGCCATACATCTTTAACGCGTTTAGCTTGTGGCCTTTTCGTTGTCTGCACGACTAGCCCCCATCCACCCTTGTTGTTCTCGTTTTCTCTCTATTTTAAAATTAAAGGCGTAATAAGCTGTCTACATGGTTTCTTTCAACCTTAGAATGAAGATCTGCTGTATATTTCTGAGCTCATTCCGATTATGCAGTTGGTGCGTCACCGGGCGGAACCACAGGATCGTTCAGTGGCTGCGCACCCACCTGCCCGGCTCCCACTCTGAAACTCTCGCCTGCAGTATGAGGTAATTTTTTGGCTCCGAAAATCCAACGGCTTCTGTGGAAAGGGATAAAGGCCTTCCTCGTCGGCAAAAAAAAGAGTTTCTGGTACAGCCATACTGGACAGGAAACGACCAGCACGAGCCGTGCGGGCGCCCGTTTCAAAATCGCGAAATTGCAGTCACCCTCCGAGAGTAAGTTAGTATCCACTTTGCTCTCTGTGTGTCTCCGAAAGCATTAAGTGGGTCCATGGATTCCCACAAGACGACCCATGATAACACTGAGGGCCGCAGCCTCTCAGCTGCAAGCATCGAAGAGGTCACGGCAGCACCACAAGGTAGGAATGGAGGGTTTACCCACATTGCGTTTGCAAGTCTGGTTGCTTCATCTGCTTCCCGCTCCTGCACCCAATTTGTCGTGAGCAACAAGGTGGAAGAATCAGTCCGATTGTGCTTGCTGTTCCTGCATATGCCAAAACACGTTGATTCCATTTCTACTGTGCGTTCAAAGTGCATTTCCTCATGCTTAACACGCTATTGAAACGCCTAAATTCTCTGCGAGCCTTGTGGCTGCACTTTAGGTGCATCCTTTCCTGGGACAGAGGGGCCACGTCCATTCAGGTTTTTCATTGGTGGCCTCCCCCAGGAAGTGGATGAGGACGTGGGTTGCTGCTGAAATTCTGCAACTAATTTTCTCCTGACGTAACAGCTGTTCTTTTTTCAGTAGGATATTAAGCTGGGCTACCTTGCATGGCCACATATTCATCAGGATTGTCCTGTTGGGGAAAATAATAATCAAATGAACAATACACACTTCTCGAATACTGCAAGTACAGGCTGTGCACCTTCTGTTTCTCCTTTAAAATCACACCACTGTTACCACTTTTACTAATTTCTTTATTGCCAATTCGCAAAATGTCTTTCACGTTGTTCTGCATTGCTGCAGGCGGTAAATGAACTCTTTTCTAGATATGGAACAGTCCGTAGTGTACGGCTAGCCAAAGACTATGCTACAGGCAGAAAGAAGGGCTTCGGCTTTGTTACAATGGATAGCGGCGCGTCAGAGAGCGCCATATTTAACACTATTCAATATCTGAGAGGAAAACGGATTGATATCAGAAGGGAGAACGACAGCACCCCAACAGACTTCCCTAGAAAAGTCTTCGTTGGGGGCTTGCCACCCTCTTTGGGAATAGAAGGACTCGCCACGTGAGCTTTCTCTGGTTCTGGCTTGTAAAGCGCTAGTGCGTACTATATCAGTTTGAACTGTCCACGCCCACCCATTCAATTGCTCTGCTTACACATAGGGAGCTCGGCCGATTTGGGGAAGTGGAGGCAGTGCAGATCGTAACAGACTGCGGAGGGCAATCTCGCTGTTTCGGGTTCGTAACTTTTAAGCAGAAGAGAGTGGCTGAGTCCCTCATCGGCCAAGGTGCTTGTCGGATTGGAGTAAGCGTGGCCTTTCATAAGAGAGCAGCAACAACTTGACGTGTCTCCCATCCTGTAGCCCCCTTCCTTGCTTATCTTTCTACTTGTTCACCAATATTTGCCTCTGGATTCGGTATTTCCTGAAACATTTCTTTTGTGTCGGTCCTATGAAGGGCCTCGGCGGGCTGTCGTCATTAAGTTTATTGTACAGAGTGTGTGTATAGCCCCACATCCCGGATAGCATGGGTGGTATAGATATTCTTGTAACAGTGCAAAGCTGGGGCTTGCTGTGCGCAAATACGTTTGCTTCCAGGATCGATTCGTAGAGATTAGAAAGCCGGAGCCCAAACGATCCAGAATGCGGGCCGACTGGCCCATTACTCAGCGGTACGTGAACCTAGCGTATCTGATTTGAGGGCTTCCATGCAAATAGGCTGTTCAGGCCTTTCTTCATCGCTATTCAGATTATTAATGCCTTATGCTATTATGTGCAGCGACTGCTTTCCAGCCCCCCATTATATGTACTATGCAGCACAGCAGTGGCCAGCGTGCTACGGTTTTAGCTCTCAGCAGTATTCATTCGCAGAATGGCCGAGTTGGCATCTATCACAAGCTTATGCTGCTTCCAGCACAATCCCTGCGTGCAATCCATATTCAACATGTCGCCCTTTTCTTATCCCTGCTGCGGATTCGCCCTCAACAGCAATAAATGAAGAAACACAGCAGATGGCAATCCCTGTTAGAGATCCTGATGAAGAGCAGCGGAAAGGCATGCGTCAGTCTATCGGAAAACTTGAATGTCAATTGGGTGACACAAGTGCCGAGTCTGTCGAGCCATTATCACAGCGCCAAAAGCTTCTGGAGCAGCAGATAAGTGACCCTGTTGCGGCGGAAGCTGCAACAGTGAACACAGTGGCCGCAGCGTTGTTAAATGAAGGAAGTGTCTGCCAGACCTCCCCGCTGCAGTTTGCTGACGAACCTGCGAAATCTGTCACTTTGTCTGCTCATTCACCACAGCACTGCCTAGATAATGTGCGGCCAACAGCAATTATTCATTCCGATAACAGCAGTGTGCACTCACCACCTGCCTCTGCCTACATTCATATCCGATGACTGAAGGCAGACGAGATGAACATAAGTGACCAACTTTCATTGGCGCGACCACCTCTTTTGCTCGCTATGTATCCATATAATTCTTCGCGTCGTTTCATGGCCAAAGGCTCACAGTGGCTATTCTGGGGTGTCCTTACCGCCGGGGACAACGTACACTCGCCGCAACTTGCACGATGCCGAATCTCCATAAACGGCGGTCTTAAATTCCTGGCACCCTAAAACTGCTAGTTTTATTGTAAAAGGATGCCAGGATGAGGGCTTCAGTACTATTTGCAGCAGCGGTTTCTGCAGAGTGCGGCATTGCGTTCGGAGGGGCGCACCGCATAGCACACACGGGGGAAGACGCCGCCATTTACAGGCTTTTGGGTCACCCAGCAATAATTCCCTTGAGCAGTTTGGCTGCACAAATCGACCTGATCGAGTCTGCAGCCCCTTGCCTCTTAAATGCTGCCGGAGACGAGCAAGACCTTCTTGAAAGCGTAGACCTATTGAAGAAGCGGTCTGCACGTCTCAAGCCGATCATTAGGCGTGTAAGAGACAAAGATCAGCATAGGCAGAATGAGAGTGACGCTTTAACAATCGTGCGTGCTTCCTGTTTGCTTTTGTTAGGTGGTGCTAGTCATTGGAAAGCCAGCAAAATATGGGGCAGCAGAAGAAGAACACTCGCGACAGTTGAGCGAAAGTGCGGCAAAAGTACACGAATCGGTCTCTCAGGTAGTTCAATAGCTCGAATCGGCATTGTTGAACTTTGAATTCAAGAGTTATTTAGCTCACTGAAGAAGTCGCACACTTGGTTTCTTTAGAGGCGGGTGACTGTTCTCCATATCCAGACCTCAATCTGTCCGAAGAGCTGCAAGCAGCTCGCCGTGCTGCATCAGGTAACCAAATTCTGCAGTGTCATGTCGCTTTTCTTTCAATGACCGCTTGGAATGCTCATAGATTTGCACTGGGCCACAAAGCACCGAGGAAGCGGTCACCGAGTGGCCGAGCGGTTCATTATTCATGAGTTCATTCCCCATTCAGAAAAACTGTTTGCCATTTCAGAAGGATTAAAGCAACTGAAGGGATCAGATGCTTCCAAAAAGGCGGCGAACCCGCTAGACGGGCTAGCTGCAGCCTGGAGAGAAGTGTATGATGGTGTTGTGGCGGCCGGTAGTGCACTGTTAGAGAAAATCAGGCGGACCAAAAACGGAATAACGCAGACCGAAGAAGAGCGCGAGAGAGAAGCAATTCGACTATCTGCATTAGCAAAATATACGGGTCAGGTACTAGCGCATTACATGTCCTATTATATGCTGTACATAAAATTCACTCTGTTCGATGTTTTAGGAGGTTGGGGAGGAGCTGCAGGTAACGGCGATGATACTTCATGACAAGAAAGAAGGCGCAGCTATCCGTCCTATCCCTAAAATAGAAAGTTAATGCACGACGGGTTGTCGACCGACTCAGGAGCCTTGAAAAAGAAATCCTGGAATACGGCTATAGGGAGTTACCACCTACACAAAGGAAAATCAACTCCAATAAGCAAACTCGAAATTCCCTGGCAGAGGTACTGCTATTATGCTTTTAATCTTCGTTTGCCGAAGGTTATGGTCGTGAACCTTTTTCATAAAATGACATATTTCAGGGAATGCAACTTGCCTTTGAAGTGGAAACGGTGCTGCCCCACTTGCAGTATCTGCAATCAGATTTGGAGGCAACTAAAAACAAGCTAAGGTAATGCAGCTCCTTCCCGCCACACTTCCTCTTCTTCGACTGTGCTTGGCCGTGTGCTTTCCCGAGTAATTCATATCGCCTTTCCTCCGCGTGTACTCATACTGTGCAATTAACAACAGTTGAACTCATCAACTCCTCACGTCTTCTCGTGTTATATTCCGTTACCATTTTCCAGGTTTCACACCTCTCGGTTTCAGTCGGCAAAAAAGGAGAGTAGACATGTGGAGATGAAAAACAACAATATGATCAGGATGCAAATAAACGGGTACACGCAATTGATCAGCTTAAATTCGATCGCCCTTATGTGTATAATGCCCCATCAGCTTGCAGGAAGATGCGGAGAGGCTGTTGCGACAGGTTCGGGCTCGGGTATCTGCTACCCTTGGGCTGAAAGCGAAGCAGGCGACTGACCAGCAATTCAATTTGATGGAGCCGCTTCTCCGTTTTCGGCAGCTCACCTTGCTTGTTGAGAAAGAAGGAAAAACAGGACGATTCCTAAGAGAGATAGACCATATCAGAGCTACACTGAGAAAAATACACCGAGAGGCGGAGCGGTTGCACAGCCGCAGCGAAGCCTCATTTCCAGCACGGTAGTGCCAACATTCCAGCGGCTAGTGGTCAAAAATGAATTACGCATCTGAATCCATGCGATATTATACGTAACGCGATGTGAGGCACCGGCTCCGTGCACGTTAAGGATCCACAAAAAAGAATCAGTCAACTTTGGCTAAGGAGAGTGGAAAGTGTGAATTCTTGTTTTGTGGATTTAAGCCCACTCCAGTGCATTCTGGTTTTTTCAGTGCACCGGGGCTCTCGAGACAAAAAACTTCATGACCCACAGGTCGAAGCAGAGAGATGCGGAGGTGCTATGAGTCTTAGAGCATGCCATGATACAAATAGGCGGCCCTCTGATTGATGCACTCCCATATGCGGTTTTCTCCCGCAGTGGCTTCCCAGCAGGCTCTAACCATAAGCTCCAGAGTAAAAGAATATAGCAATACGGAATTTTGAATATGCCAATTAAACCATTTGAATTATGGTACAGCAATTTGTTGCTTTGGTCCGAGCCACAAGTGAACACAAGCGCTCTGGACTAGTACGGAGGAAGCAACATAAAAAATGGTGCACAGAACAATACCAACGCATTAGCTACTGCCAACTTAGCCACCATTGCATATTAATGCTCGTCTAACATGAGTAACCGAGCACAAGGAGCAGCCAAAACGGAGCGAAAAGTGAGAGGCTGAGACTTTAGGGTCTTGCTTGGCTTGGAGGCAGGCTCTGAGTGCCTGCCTCTCGGGCGCTGACCGTCGTCTCCTCCAGAAATGCCATGAAGGCCATGGGATTTTCGGCGCAAAGTGCCGCAGACCCAGAGCTGCCTTCCTGCTGCATGTAGTGCGCACTGCGAAGACTCCTGTGCCCTAGGCCCTCGTATCTTTCGTGCGCCAGGCTTCTAATGGCCTGCTGCCGCCACTGGAGATCCGAAGGCTCACGCTGGACCAGTGGGCGCTCTACAACTGCAGGGGCTCTCTGTTCAACGCCCACAGGGGACCCCACGTGACCTGCGAAGCGGCCGCTGCCGTGGTGAGAAGCCCTGGCATCGGGAGAGGCTCCCGAGCTCGCACGGTTCCGCTCTCCCGCAGTACCTGTACTCTGAGTCCTTGCGGGGTAGAGGCACTCGCGAATCGGGGAACTGCCTGAAGGGGACTCCACTGGATTGTCGGGAAGACTGCGGGAGTCTCTTGCGTGCCCAGCTCCGTCCTGCGGAGCCCTGCGTCTGCGCTGTCTCTGCCGCTGGGCTGCGGGGTTCGCGGCCGCGGTCTGATGTGAAGGGGTCAGCGGAGCGAAATTGGGATTTGTCTGCTGTGGCATCTGGTAACTCGAGAGCGTCCACACCAAATGCTCCATCATGTTCATTCCAGATTCGGTGGCCAGGAGTGCCCTGTTGCCTCTTGGGGGGCGTCGTCCTCTGCCGTGCAGATGCCTCCAAGTCCTGAAAACGCCGTCGTGGCTCGTAACGTGAGCGGCGGGGGTCGGCTGATTGGGGGGACCCCCGGAGAGGGGCACTGTCACCGAAGTGAAGGCATGCAGCGGCATACGGGAAAAGTCCAGGGGCCCCTCAGGCCCCGGTGCCCCCAAGTGTTCTATTGCTGCAGGAAGGGCAGCGTTGTGCTCGTTCAGTGCTTCCTGAGGCATGATTCCAGGCCACGTAAGCGTCTGAGATTCCGCTGCTCCGTTGGGGCTCAGAGGTCTGTCCAGCTCCATAATCTCCGGCTGGCCAGACACTCCTAGAGCGTCGAAGGCAGTAGGGTGGCGTAGCGGCTCCATATCGGCCCGAAAGATTTGTCGGCGCATCAAATCTGAGGACAGCAGACGAGCCAAAAAAAGCCTCAAAAATTCGGAGGCACTCACACACGAGGCTATACGCGAAATTAAAAAAAAAAGTGGCGGGCATTCGCCCTAGCAGCACCACGCAGTGGGCCTGTCCCTGCAGTCATAGTGACCTCGTTAGGCTTTAGAGCGTGAACTGGCACGGGTGTGCAAACCTTGAACGGAAGATACGGCGTTCGGTAAATGCTGCGCCTCTTGAATAACTGTCCTATTCCACGGGAGGAAAACAGGGAAGCTCGTATGCAGCCGCGGGAGCTGCTGATTGATATGGAGGTGCTCGGGGGGGGGGCGCTCTTCGGCGTCGGAGCTCCTGTTTTGGGAACCCAGCGGTGCATAAGGGATTTGCGTCTCGGATTGCCTCTCCGCATCTCTGATCAAGTCATAAAAGTGCTCGTGGGAGGGGAAAACATTGACAGGAGAGGCGAAGGGGTGCCTCTGGAGGTCTGGAAGGCGTTGCAAGGGCACATCCACAGGGGCAGAGCGGCTCTGCTGCTGTTGTTGCTGCTGCTGCTGGGGTAACGGCGACCACGGGGACAGCTCTAGCTTGCACTGTCCAACCTTAAACACACTGCGGGGCTGGATCGAGCAAGGATAGGGTTCCATGGGCTTGAGGCGAATAAAGGTGCCCAAGGTGCTCATGTCCTTAAGCATCCAGCGCCGCTGCGCAGGCTCCCGGCCGTCGTAGTACACCAAGCAGTGCTGACGGCTGACATATCCATTGCTTGTAGTTACCGAGATCTGCAGAAACCCACGAAACCTTTGGCAGACTCTTTCTCCCATGTTGTATCTCAGCTTACTCCTACAGTATGAGAGCAACGCATACTCTGCACTGCAGGCAGAGAGGACGATCCTGCCCCGGCACACGCACAGCAACCCTACCCCCTACGGCCGCGATGGGGAGCCGCATGCAAGAGAAAGCAGAGGGACGCGATGAGGGCAAATGGCAGAAAAGTCGCGATAACACACCTTTCTCAAACTTGCCGTGGAGCCATGGGGCCCTCTGCCAAGGACAACTCCCCGAGGATCCACCCAAATTTCTCTTTCTTCGTTTCTCCCATTGGCAAGTATCTTGAGTCTGAGGAACGAGTCTACAGGTTCCAACATCTCTGAATCCGCCTCCGATGGCTGCTTGGGAGTCTGAAGGCCGCCGCTGTCGTCCTCCGTAGGCACCCCCGTTGGTGTGGGCAGACTGCAGTCCATTCGCTGCGGTGTTTCGGGAGCGCCATTTCCGCTTCGATTGCGGATCTGGAGGCTGCCTTCCGCAGCAGCTTCGTCCTCTGCAGAGGACTCCACCTCGCGTCCTCGCCATACACCGCAGCTCAGGCCTGGAGGCCACCTCCCTGCCCCTTCGAATGCCATTTCCTGCTCTTCTTCTGTGTAGGGGGTCCGAGAAGCCCAGTGATTCTCGCCTTCCCCTTGCAGATCGGGAAAAACCTCTTCTTCCTCATGCGGAGAGAAGACAGAGGCCTGCTGGAACAGGGCCGCATCGGGGTGAGGCAACAGCACAGACCCCTCCACCTGGTTACGAGCCTTATTCCACTGGCAAAGCAAGTAGGGGCACTCATGAACTGCTGCATTTGAAAGCCCGCCAGGACTGCTGCCGCTGCTGCTGCCTCCCGCCGAAGACGCGGGCCGCTCGCTGTCCGCCTCCGCCCCCTGCTTCCTATGGCGGTGAGTGGGAGGCGCTGGAAAGATTTCAACGGACAATTCTACTCTGTCACCAATGTGAATGAGGTCTCCCGATTGCAGAGCCCGCACGCCGCAGACCCTACACACGCACCATGCAAAAAGGTCGCAAACGGGGTGCACAATGCTGCATGGGAAGCTCTTGTCACGGGTCCTAGCGAAGCATGATCGCAACCTCCGGAGCTACCGGAGGGGCGAACTCGCCATGCTAACGAGAGAGGGAGAGAGAAAGAACACGCACTTGGCCATGGTGCCTATGGTGGATCCAAGATCGACGATGCGGAGGGAGCTATCTCGCTTCTCCCGGAAGAAGAGCAGATGCGAAAGGGAGACGGAGGAATGGGGAACATGAAGAAGCGAGTGCTGGTGTCTCCCTAGATCCCAAGGCAGACTCTGCTGAGACCATACACAACGCACACAGCAACGCAGACTGCCTACTATGCATTTCAAACCCTGGAATGAAAACAGCGCAATACGTGCCTGCTACCCCCCCCTTGGTCGGCCTGCTGAAAAACCTGGTGAAGCCCCATGCCCCCGCATATTTCCAACCCTCCCGAAACATTCGAATTTTCGGTTGTTCTCCAGCGCGCGCCTCGAAGCAGGATGTCACACATGAATGCAGGCACTATCCCAGCATGGCAAGGCTTTGCCGCTCAACGAATTCGCACGACGCGCAGAGCATGGCGAACAAAATGGGGATAATCCTGGAAAAAGCGAAAGGAGGCGGTATTTCGCCAAACGAGACTTGCCTGAATGACGCGAGAGTCAAAGACCTGCCCTTCAATGCGATGCACGCGATCTCCGATGATGCGCACAACGAAGCGGAGGCTGCTGGCGGAGGCCTCCCCGAGTTCTCTCCGGCAGCATACAGAAGGGAGGGCAGAGACATACGACTCTACCCAACGATGCAGGCGCTCGCGAGTGGCTTCTGCATGCCCATGCACAGAGAACACCAGCGCAAGGCGAAAAATTGTGCGAACGAATCCAAGAATCTCCCCCAAAAAAGGAGATGCTCAAGCCGCAGGACAAACAACGGGTGACGGCGTCGCGCGAAAACTGATAGAGAGAAGAGATGTATGCACATAGATATATGTATATTAATATCTCGCGAAAGACAACACTGGCTGGAGGGGGCCTTTTCTCCGATACGCCTTTTAGAGGGAACTTTTCGTTCGTATGAAAAGAGCTCCCCTTCTGCCCTCCCCCCGCGTCTGCGTGGCTGCGCCTGCACACCACTCCCCTGAGTCCGGAAGTGCAAAGGGAAGGTTGCAAGGCCTGTCTTTGCAAGGGTACACGGCGTGCCAACACACCTTTGTTGTTGTGGTCGTATCCCACCATCCGAGAGAACGTTTCCGCATCCCGCAGCGTGAAGCACCTGAGAAAGAGAGCACCACTGCCCGAGTCTCCGAACCGTTAAAAGGAAGACAGCACGGCGATAACACGACAGGCATGCGCGTTCGCTTAGAGGGTGTAGGTAGGAGGTAGGAGGCTATATACAGAGCAAGCGCTGCATGGAGGCCTGCAGATGCGGGATCGCATGCAAGGACTGACCATCGTTGTTCGGTCCAAAGGCGCTTCCTGTCAAAGGCATCCAGAACGCAGGCGACTAGGTCGTCGAGCAGCAGCTCACTCTCCTCTGCAACGTCTGGCAAGAGCAGCCTGAGGGCGAGGGGTGCAGCGACGCGGGCTTTAACGCAGTGCTCTGCCCACCAAGTCTCGTCGACAGCGCAGTGGACTGGCAGGGGCAGCAAGGAGCTGCTACTTCGGGGGGATGCCGAAAATCCGCGTTGCTGCTGGTGCTGGAAGCGTGCGGTGAAGGAGGCCAGCAAGTTGCATAGGACGGTGTTAACTGCGAAGGAGCAGCCGATGTCTTGGCGGCAAAGTGGACAGGCCTTGCGGGAGAGCTTTTTATGACCAATGCAGTATCGGCAGAAGGAGTGGCCGCACATTACAGTGACTGGCAGCTTGAAGAGATCCAGACAAATGGGGCACGTCAGCTCGCGCGCGATCGCAGAAGACAGCTCCAAACCGGCCGCCTCAGGGGCAAAAAAATTGCTGTTGTTGCTGTTGCTGCTGCTGTTCAAAAAGGGAGGCCCCTCCTTGCCTCGCGAGTCCGACGAAGGACTGGGAGCGGCTACCCGCCGATGGGAGCCACCCAACAACGCTGCCGCTGAGTCTCGACAGGGAGACATGACAGCTGTCGGCACGCCTTCTGCTGATGGCGTTGTCTGTCTTGTCTCTACTTTTGCTGCCTCAAGGCCACTGGGTGAAAGCTCGCTCTCTGAAGGTGTCTCTTGGATTCCGCCAGACGCAACTTCGGCAGAAACAGAAGGGGGGGCAGAGGGACCTGAGGCAGCCATAGAGCTTCCCGAGTTCGCTTCTTCTCCTGATGAAGAAAAGATTCTTGCTTGCTGCCACTGCAGGCTGTTGCCTTCTGTGAGACGCGTGCGGCGTGCCGAAGCGGGAGGCGGGGCGGCCTCTTCAGCACCAGTTGTTGCTGCTGCTGCTGGGCTTGCTTCGGCTTCTGGGGGTGGAAGAACGTCAGGGCCAGGAGAAGTGGAAGCCCTTTCTCTCTGCTGGCTGTGCAAAGTGGCCGCTGCAGCTGCAAAAGCTGCAGATAACATCGGGGAGCACTTTTCTGGTGGGAGCTGAGCCGCCTGGGGGCCCTCATTCCACTGCCCGTCCATCGTGGATCTTGAGGAGCAGCGAGCCGAGAGGTATGCAAAAAATACTCCAGAGAGGGAGAGAGAGCAAGGAGGCAAGCCCAAAGGGATTCCCACTGCCGTGCTTCATGCAAACTCAGCAACAACAATGGAGAGCCGTCTGAGCTTCACCCCAAGGGCAGAGGCAAGCAACGAGTTGTGGCGTTGCCGCGTCAAGCTGCCCTGCAGGGCCCCTGATGCGGCCATGCACACCCTGTCTTGCTTCTGCACATGTAGAAGAGATCTTTTTGTGGTTTAGCCTCCGCTCAAAGCACCAAAACAACCCGAGCAGACAGGATTCGTCCAAGGGTGTACGGGGATATAGGAAGGGTTGCTGCAGTGGATTACTGAGTTCGGATTGGAGGTGAGGAAGTGAAGAGGCCCGCGCGCTGGAAGAAGAGGCTCCAGGCTGCAGGGGACGTAGAGGTTAAGAGGCGAGGTGCTGTAGAGGTGGCCACTCTGGAGTGCCTGAGTAGTGAAGATCTTCTAAGCGAGAGGGACGACAGCCGTGCCTTCTGCTCTGCTGCCCTGCTGAAGCTTGAGTGGTGAAAGCGAGGGAGAGGGGTTATGGCGTTTGAAGGACTCTTGGACAAAGGGGTGATAACCAGTCAAGGGGAAATGGCAGGGTACTACAAGTCGAATGTTTCTACTCTTAGTGTATCTACTACCGGCAATCATGAGAGTTAAAACCCTGCAGTTCGATGCACGCGGGGGAGAGTTTGAGTGAAGGTAACACAACGCCCACGTAGCGCTCTCTTTTTGTGCTCTCTTATTCGGTTTGCTGCTGCTACAGCGCCGCCCCGGGACCGTGCTTAAAAAGAGGTGTGCGGCAACAAACATTGCCATTTGAAGAAACAAATATGCTGAGATGCTTCTACGCGCAGCCCCCCACCCCCGCCATCCGTCACGCGGTCGTAGCAGACACCGCAGACATAGACCCGACTGCATCAAACTGCCCCTATAAGCCGAGCACATGTCGATATTCTTTTCGATAAGCATCGTCTGGCAGATTTTGTCTCTTTGGTTTGATGTGTGTCCGATAATTATCGGACACAAGGAGTTATATAAGAAGAATTCCCATGTGTGTACATTGGAGGGGTTGTTGTTACGCTTACGAGCTATGAGCAGGGGTTCAGTGTCTGCGTGCCGCAGAACAACTTTTCACCGGCTCTGCATACAGTGGCTTGCTTTTTAGTCTAATGGACCTTAGTTTTATAGCTGCCTAGTCTTTGTGCTTCATAGATTGCTGGTTTAGGTTGCGAGGAGCGACTTCTCTGTGTTGTCACCAAAGAGCTGTTGTGCGTTAGAGCCTCTTCCTACCACTTACAAATTCCACTATACAGCCTCATTCTTTTCCTCTAGAGACAAAACGAGTAAGGAGAGCCCTGAGCTCCTGTCCTAACTGTGTATGGCAGCCCTTTGGTCTTACTTCCGCGATTCCGTGCGGTTACTCATGGTAGGTAGGGCTGATCGTACCACCCTTTCGAAGATCTACTTGGAAAAACACTTGATTCCATACTCAATACAAACTTTAAAAAGAGCTATTGAGTGTTTCAAAAGATTTCGTTCCACTTCCTGCCCGCAACCCTCAGTTTTGACATGACGGAAGAGGGATGGCTACAATCGTGGTGCTGATGCAAGCGCTCCGAGCAAGCACAGCTAGCTGCATGTGGCATTCTGCACTCTTATTTTAAAATTGCATTTAGTTGTATCGAGTCTACACCCGTGTACAATAGATAAGCTATACGGACAGACAAGCCAGTTAGCCAACTCGTTGATAATTATTATATAAGTGGTTTAGCCAGGATGCCTTTAACCTGAGTGAGGCATAGTCCGCTCCATCTTCTTCCCCTAATGCTAAGAGAAATGCATACACACTAGGAGGGACCAAACCAACCCAATAACGGTGTCGCTATGGCTCAATGTCGTCGGAGTGCTGAAATGTATGTCCCTCCTGCTGCGAGAAAGCGAAAGACAAAGTCAAAATCCACACCTGTTCAGTAAAGCCTCCGTGCCTCATAGAGCAACTTAAGCTTGCAAATGCAGTCGGTATACGCAGCAAAGTCTACTCCAAATCCTCAAAAAAAGCTTGAGGAACACAGTAGGGATGACATACCTGAGAGTGCCTGCCCATGATTTCGAGCGGAGCGAACACCTTAACAAAAAACTACTGAGAAGTTTTCAAGCATACACATGCATGACGCTAACTAATTTGGTCAAAACATGCGCTGGAAACGGAAAAACATCATGGAGCATGAATAATACTATCCATTGCGGCTAGCGTTGGTAGCCAAACTCAGCCCCCAATTCTCCCGCCAGCAATGAGGTCTGCAACTGCTACTTCTTCAACCAACGAGCTCGATGAACGTCCTGGGCACCCGAGGGTCCCAGAATTCAGCACTTCCACGTGTCTCTGTGCGTCCTTCGCCTCCATACGGCTCATTTGCTTGCGCGGCAAAATCCACGCATTTTTGGAAAGCTCTCAATCATTTTAGGGAAAGATACTTTGTGGCGCATCCAAGTTCGAGCTCAGTCGATGGGGGAGCATTGATTCATAAGCACGTTGCCTGACCACAAACTTCTTCTTTCGGTCAACTCATGGTGCACCACGTTAAGCCTGCGGATCAACCACGACCAAATTTCCCCTCTCCAAAGACACAGCCAAACGCGGTAGCTGTTTATCGAACCTTGGGCGAGATTCATTGTGTACCCTCCTATTCTTCTCGTATATATATCCCTCCGTTACTAAGCGTGACTGCTGACTACAAACCACCAGCCACCAGCAGTAAGCCCGGATCGGAGAGTAACTCCTTAGCTTGGGCCGGGGCTACTAAATAGCAACGCATAGGGAAGCATATTGTTGCATCACAAAACCATTCAGTAATGAGAACAAAATCAAGCCAAGTAATTGAATTTCTGTCGGTATGGAGTCCATCTACATCAGACCAGTGCGGTTGGTGAGCTCTTTCTGTCTACCCGCGTCAGGGTGGATCGCAGTGGTCATATCATGGCCCATGTTTGAGTGACCTTTTTACGGCATGCCAGGACGCACAGCTAAATGTCGAATTCCTATAAGTAATAATACTGTCGGGAATCCGTGGAGCCTCTAAACATGAGTTCAGGACAACTGAGCGACTTCGCGAGGTGACAAACCAGAGGGAGGTGAGCCTGTCGACAACAACGTAGATGCAATCCTGTCCCTTGAATTCCTCTAGTCTAAGAACAAAGTTCATGATCACACCAATCCAACGACTTCAGAAACTGGAAGGGTTTGCAAAGTGACAAATTGTATATGATTGCGGGTCTCACACACTGCCAATCAGCGCATGACAATACACAGTCCTCTGCCGCGGGACGCATCCTCAGACACCAGAAAACCGTGGTATTTCCAGTGTATTACGAACAGTAACATAAAATAAAAGAAAATGTTAATGTGCGGTGTGTAAAAGCCACTGCGGAGTAGTAGGAACATACAGGCGAAGCAATTCCTGTTGTGCTTTAACCACAGCAGGGCACATTCAACACATTAGTTTCTCACCCTGTATTACTCTGAATTTTGGCAATAATAGCAGGTGCATGACTGTTAGATCCAAAAGACTCATGTCCTTTTGATAAACAATAAATCATCAAAGAGAAGACCGGATGCGCTGCATACAAGTGAATACTTATGCTTTGGGGAAAGCGCGCCGACGAACTTGTTGGTGATGCACTCTACAGGCTTAGACCTAAGTTCGTGCTTTATGGGTGACCCATGCTAGGAGAAGGATCTAAGCCTATCAAAGTCTTGAACATAAAGTAGAAAGGCTGGCGGTCGGCCCGAACAGCAACATGGTGTCTATATTATTAGTGCTGGCATTTTTTTCGCGCCCAAACATGCCGCAGAGAGTTCTTTCTTACACAGGTAACACCCTTGATCGGCTTCAGTAACACGATGGCAATATCAAGCAACAACTTGGTGGCTTGGAGACCCCTATCTAATTGGAAGAGAATAGTGTCCACCGGTACGTCAATAATATCCATCAACACGGAAAAAGACGCCCTCTACCGGTCACTGCAGGCCGAAAGAGCAGTACGATGACCGACAAGCGCCTTTGAAACGGCATCAGCCTCCTCTGGTTAGGTCATAGAGTGCATGCTCTTGATAGGAGCGGTCAAACGGACGTCAGTTCGAGCAAACTTATGAATGAGGTTTCAATTCTAATATGCAAGCCGGAAGAGCGGTGACGCTTTCTTGTGGGTAAGGCCAAGGCCTTAAATACTTTGATTTTCGCCATATCTGGCTATATTCCGCCATATGAAACACGGTTACAAACAAGCACGAATACCCCCAAGGAAATCGAGCACCTGCGTGCCTTTAAATACCCACTGCTGGTTTCGCAACAGCTAAAAGGGCTCGGCGTATGCGCAGTAACCGATATTTAAGGTTTCGGTTGAATAGTAAGACATAACCCATAAAGAAAATCATCCCGCCCTCCTTGCCAAGCCCATGGAAGTCCCTATCAATCTGCTGGTACGAGTCAGCAGGGGCATTGACAGTCCACGCAGTATACAGGTATACTCGAGTTTGCGATTGTCAGTGTGAAACGCTGGGTTGTGCCTGTCATAAGGATTAATAGGATTTTGTAACGTTGAGTTCCATACGTCCAATTAAGTAGACTGTTTATTCGTGTAATTTGTCAAGTATTTCGCTATTATGAGACATCGATAAATTCTGCTTCGCAGTGCGGATGTTCAGCATTTCAAATATGACGCTCATGTGCCGCATTCCATTTTCCCCTCACCGAAACTCGGTTGTAGCTAAGAGCACTCCCCGATTCGTACACTCTGCCTTTATCCGCAAAACATCTGCCTGGCACCCAAGCACCTCTTCGTGGTATGGAGACTTGCCATACCTAGTAACATGGCTTGAGACGGACCAAGATATCACCTTAATACGATGCTTTGCACGACGCGTATGTGGCCAGCCTTCTGGGGGTTCGTTATTAGTTAGCGCACCCTCAAGTTCTCCCATAATATTTTTCTATGGCTGCTGATAACGGTGGACAGCTAGTCGAATATTCTAAACGCCAACCACTTGGAGGACTGTTATGGATGGCCTGCATGCTCAGAAGTGCCCTTTCTTGCGGCGTTGCTGATCCCTCCACATGGAGACGCTCCTTTCCTCCTTGAGATAACGAGCTTGCTCCATGCACCACAGATGAAATGAACGTTGGTGAGAGAGTCATGAGCTTTTTTCTTCCCAGCGTTTTCTCTCACACTAATATCCTGTTGTGTGGGGTAAAATTTCATATGCCGGAGCTTTGCAAAAAATATTGTTTTCTCGATTCTAATTTTCACGGCACGCAGCTCTATATGCAATGCGCCTTCCATTGGGTCCCTTATGGCATGCCTAGGAGTGCGTCATTGTGCACCGCTCCACTACAGAAGAAACGGACCATGCTAGTATGGCCCATTTCCAATTTGATACAGCATTTAAAACGCGATAGCCTTGCTAATCCTTGTGCTCAATGACCCGTCAGCAAACTGGAGTCTTGAGGACTGCGCTTAGGAGTAGATGGCATACGACTCTTTTCCGCCGTCTCCTCAGATAACCAACCCACTTTACCTCCACTGCCAATAGTGGTAGCAATTATTGACTATGGATGATTGCTTGTGCCTGCGCAGAATTGAACCGTGGTGGGTCCCGAAATGCGGCTTCTCCTCCTGCAGGCATCTTTAGCGAGCTGCAGCCCGCGTTGAGGGCAATGGTTTTCCTGAGGCGGCTCCTTTGTTCGCTAAGCGGCTTGCGTTTGCGTGGCCCAGTCCGGTCGATTAAATAATAGATTTGGATGCGCTTGCATTTAAAGAAAATATGTTCAAAGCTTCATAATCGAGGTGTCTGGGGCTGCCTAAGAGGGTATGTTACCTAAGGTCCTCCTATGCTCTCCTACCTTAGGCTGTAGGCTGGGGCAGGTCAGGACGGAGCTAAGATTGATAAATTCTAGATATGACGGCTCTCGCCTTTCAGCTAAAAGCAGAAAGCGTATGCTTATTTGCTCCTCGTACCACAAAGAAGCCTATCAGCTGCGAAGACCTACCGGTTGGTTTTCAATTGCCGAGTGGATGGCAATCCTGAGACCAACTGACGTAACGTTCCAGATAGGCCTGAGGCGAACCCCGGAAAAAGCTGCTGTTCTACGATATTTCTACTGCTAGCCAAACTTTATCACATCCAGATTTTTGCAACTCACTTGAGGATTTTCCTGATTCTTATCTTGTATTCTCCCAAGTTTTTGCTCTTGGGCTGATCTCGGTATAAATCCTTGAGTCCGGGCGTGTATGAAGGCTTGAGCGCACTAATTTCTGCAGGAAGGCAAATGTATTTGCATAAATAAAGCCACGTTTGATGTGCTTTTCCTTCCAACGGACCTGCCACAAGACTCACTGGCTTCGCTTCATTCGGCAAGTACAAAGCAATGTGCCTCTCCAAACACTTGCTGAAATCTTGAAATACTTGCCCCCATCCCAACAGCCGATATAGTTTTCTGGTAGGCCTAACTCGTCGACGCCATTACTAACACATATTGGCTGACAAAGCATGCCTTCCCACTAGCTGTGCAGCTCTTGCGGTTAGACCAGCTTGCAGGCCGGCTTCGGCCTCCCTAGCGGGCGCTTTGGCACTGTCTAGTGTCGTCGGCGAAAGGTTTCAACTTCAGGAAGTTGCCAGAGAAAATCAGATAATCAACTTACTAAATAATCTTGTTAGACCACACAACTGTTTTAGGGACATTTGACACCCAACCACATCCACGATTACTGGATAAGAGGGCAACAGCTATGTCGAATCATGTGGTGCAACAGACTGTATAATGCCACCTAAGTTCTACGAAGGGAGAGCTTCAACTCTAGACTCAATACAAACTTACGGCAAGTCTAGTGAGTGGCTTCTCCAAAGAAATTTTTCTTTTCTTTACCCTTAGAGTTTCGATATAAGGGGAGCAGGAGAGCTAAATTGGGGGTTGCTGCACCCTCTACGCTCTCCGAGCATTCACAGCTTCTTGCCCGTGGTATCTAGCATACACGCACACAGCATTGCGTGTTCTTGTGTGTTTTTGTCTACCAAACATTACTCTGCAGTGAATGAGATGCACAAGCAGACAAGCCAGTTGGTCCTCAGTACTTTACTGGTCCGTGCAGGAATATATCCAGCGTAATGGAACGTGTGTAAGGGTGTACAGCCGTCTGCAGAAAGAAGTGGGGTTCTTGCACCCCCACACCCGCTCACTGCCCTCAACCTCTGAGTTAGGCTAGTGCTGATGTAGAGTCGTCTATATCGTAAGCCATAGAGAAACTGGTGTGACCAGGATCACTGTGAGGAAGGATGCTCTTCTGGTCGTGGAATACTTGCATGTTACTTGCCTTATGGCTGTGCTCATCAAGGGAATCGAGCTAAACTATGAACAGCAATGACATGTCAAAAAATTATTAAAGGTATATGACTGATTCTTCCACCAGTGATGAAGCCTTACTTTAACATCCAGGCCCATGGGGAAGCTATTGTCCCGAAGCCCCAATTAGGCTTGAATAAGATACAAGAAGGGACCCCAAAACACTGCGATGCCGAGCCAGTCATTAAGCGATGATGCTGCACAAACCTATCTGCACCCTTGAAGCAGTGAATTTTAATGAGCAGTGAAGATTTTGTTATTGGTGCTGGAATATAACTCGTATGAGTGCAGCAAGCGGCTCGGCGAGCGTGAATAAGAGGAGGTGAGGAATAGCTGTGCGGGCGTCTTGCTGGAGCATACCTTTTGATTTATTAGACAGGCAGTGGCTTCTTTTTGAGACACAGTTTGTAAGGATTGTCAGGAAGATTGAGCAGAGTGGTCATCGAGTTCGGTTACGGCACAAGTGTGCACTCAGCCAGCATCGGAAACCCCTGCACCGTATCAAGTTGGGGGACTTAGGAAATGACAAGAGCTCACAATACACCATGATTACAATAACAAATAGTCTTGGATGGTCCGACTCTGTTGGTGGAGGTACTGATGTAGCACAAGAGCTGCCTGACGCAGAGCTGTGCGGACTGTTGGGGGTGCAGGTGGGCGTCGGAAGGCCCTTTGGTGATCCTAGGACACTCAGCGCTACTTCGTACCGGTTTATTAACGGCGGCTTAATCTTGCTTTAAAGCGGATCTGGATTTGGTGGTCCGGGGTCCGCAGTTACCCGTAGCACGGAAGGTGTTCGGTAAACAGCTGCAAGTCCACGCAAATGTACAACAAAAAATCGAGAAAACCATGTACTTGCGACGCTCGGCGCTCGTTGGCATGTTTCAAAGCTGAGGCACTTGGACGTGGTGGATTGGCTTGCTTCACGAGGCACGCCAGAAGGTATCTTGACCAGAAAGCTTGCTGCCTTTTAACTAGGACCAGTTGCGACTCTCTACCGAATAAATGTTCTTTTCAAACCTTTATAGTGTGGCAGAGCCATCAACATTGACTTTCCTTAAAATTCAAAACTCCATTAATTAATGACAGACTTTGCCATGCAGGCAAGTGCGCCGTGTGGAGGCGAGGAATCCACAGGGAGCAGTACAATTGCTGGATTCTACGAGTATTGCACGCCGAGAACCCCGCCCGTTCACAGCAGCTTTTGGGAAGTGGGGTTAAGCGGAGTGGTTGGAGTAAAATAGATTGCAGGCTTCGTTGCCTGCGGGGGGATTTGCGGCTTTGTTTGCTTCACAAAGCTATTCACCATGGACGCAATTTTTCGCGTTTCCCGATAGTTATCCTTCCCTCGTGTATGTTTCTGCCTGTGACAATTAACTTTATGGATACTGCTTGAATAGACTCCGGTTCTTGTTAAGATGATCTCTACATTCAAAAATATGCGCAGCCATGCTCAGCTTTATCTCATTCCTTTCTTCCACATGCTTTTTTTGGGGCTTTGCAGTCAACTATGTGGCAAGCACCAGCTGTACGGCAAGCACAGATTTCCCTATGAGGTATTGAGGCATTGTGGGGCTAGATAGCACCTTGAGTTTGTCCACACCTTTTACTTGTCTTTTTTATTCTCGTGGCAGGAAGCTCACACATGCCAGCGCAGTGACGAAAGCAAGGCGTCGCGCTGTGGTACTGTATGTCGGGACCGCTCATTTTTGGCTGAAGTATGCGTTTATCTTACCTTCCACTTGTTTCCTTTCGGTCAGTGCGTACAATGGTATTTTCAGTCACATTGTTTTCACTTTTCCGCCTCCCTCGAGAGTGGGGACTGGGCGAGAGATCTTGAAACCTTCTGCATGTGGTGGGTGTTAAAGTACATGTACGGAACATGTTCTTTTAGATGAGAGAAAAATAAATAAGGGGCAAGGCTTCAGTAAACATTTTCTGTTATTCCAGTTGTATTTTAAAGGGAACTACTAAACTATTGACTTACAGGCTTGCCCCCTGCGTTTATCTTATTTGTTGCAGAGCACTGATGGACGGATACAAGAAGATGTGGCGTTCTGTGCGTGTGCTAGATGCTATATGGAACTAGTTGTGACTGCTAGAACAGCTTATAGGGTGCTGCACGCGAGGCCTGGGTGCCTCTCCCTGTCCCCTCTCGGCTCTCCTTAGGGTGCTTGGAGGAAATTCAGAAAATTCTCTTGGAGAAAACTCTCAAATTTCCTGTGAAGCTCAAGTTGAGTTGGCAGTTGAATGCCTGCTTGAGTAGATCTTCGAGGTAATGGCACAATTACGGATTGTGGCATCGAACCGAGCCTACTCTGTGCTAGATACGTATACTAGATACGAACGACAAAAACATGTAATCGATTCTTGATTAATTCTCAGTCAAGATAACAAGTATAGCGGAAAGTGTCAAAGTGTAGCTTTCCGCACTGCAACACTGATGCACAATTTTCTGTCACCGCAGTTAGAGAACAACCCGTCCCAGCTCCCTCATCTTTGCAGCATCTCCTCTCCCAAAGATCTTGAAAGCAAACCAACATTTGAGGGCCATTAGGGTGTCTCAGGCCCGTGGAACTCCATTTAAGGGCCTCTTCTGCCGAAAAGTATGCCCTGAAGCACTAGTATGTGACCACGACATGCGAGTGAATCGATTATTGTATGGAGACACTTCCCCCTTTGCGTTTGCTATGGGCTCATTTTTTGCTCTTCTTCATACATTGGAAGCAGTGGGACACTCGGTTACTGGGGTAAGTTAGGCAGGCGCAGCAAAAGCTCGTCTGCCATGGGGGGGCACGAGTGCAGGCCCCAGGAAGCTGCGGCGCTGGGAAGACTGTTCTGCACTTGCTCATCGGCTTCCCTGATCCTAGTGCTTTCATACTGCATGGTGAGTCAATTTCCCTGGTAAAAGACACGGGGGAAGAGGCAATGCAACACGGAGTTCGGGTCTGCTGGCTGTTGTGTGCCTCTAATGTGAAGGCACGCTGAGGCCCATTATCTGCTAGTTTCTCTATCCGTTCTGCCCTTCCTCACCGTTGTATGCTTAGAATCATGCCGTAATATTGACTTTCTGGGCATGGCATGAATATAATTCGGGTAGATACATCTTGCTTTACTCAGTCGTCCACGCAGAGGTGCACCCCTATACATTTGTGCGCGGTGTTGCATTGCTCAACATACAATGGTGTCTGCTTTTCGGGGTGTAGGACCTCTTCGAGGTTCTTTCATAATTTGTGTTACACTCTTAAATCGAACTTTGCCTTCACGGGGAATCGAGGCCGGAAATATAGGCCCACTTGCATCTCCCGTCGACAGGCTTGAGGAGATGGTACTGGGTTCCCCGATACCAGGCAGCTCTACAACCCTTTTGAGTGATACACTCACCCCTGTTGATGTTGAGCCTGTGGATATGTCGGAGTTGAGTCCCATAGATCGTTTCGTTCAAATAGTGCAGGCGGCAACCACGGACGCGGATGAAGACGTGCAGGTGGAAGGCATGCTGCACCCCGTACACCAACCGAGGCACCGGAAGCCCGGATCTCGGAAGGGTCTTTTTGGAACTGCAGCGTTTGGTCTGTTTCCTTCTGTAGCGCTCATTTCCCAAGTTCTTGTGGGTGCTCGCCTGAAGGCTGACGTCCTTGGGGACGGATTGCATGAATCAGGTGATGGTAGGCTTTTTGCAAGCTGCGTAGAGTGTGCCTTACCAGACTCTGTAGCTATAACCCTTTTCTATCGCGAGGGTCTCTGGGTTGCACTTAAGTGAGACGTGGATCGAGGCGCCCTCAGGGAAGGACTGCCCGTTGTGCACGAACACGCAAAGGAGTTTTGCCGTCTCTTTTGTAAAAATCGCTTTTAAGCCACCCGAATAGGACACGGGTTTTAGTGGGGTTGTGGTCATGGAATGCAGAAGTGTTGTGAGGGCGCTTGCGAGCATTCAGTTGGGTTGCTAGTACATGCGTGTGTACACGCATTTCGGCGTATAGTTGTACTGGGTCCCGAATAGCTGCCGAATATTCTGTACATGCTTAGCTTTTGTTCTACATTTTGGTGGCGGAAATTGTTTCTGTCCCTTGGTTTCCTCTTCAGTCGTGGACGCTCCGCGTGTCTCGACGCGTTGTGGTTCATTTGAAGAACCTCCTACGGGCCGCAGTGAACGCATGAAGGCCGCATTAACGTCGAAGACAGCCATGGGCATTACAGCAGCGCTGGCAGCTTTTGGAGCCTTGTATTTTCTAAGAAATCTCTATGCCAGGAGGAAAAAGAAGCTTGGAGTGGGTATGTTGGTGCCATCGACCGCGAAGTGGGATCTTAAGCACTGCCTCCTTATTTTGGATGTTGCTGGAGCACAGGCAGCGGGGCACCTCGGTGGAAGGTATGTTACAGGGTCGGTAGAGGTTGAAGTTCACACCAGCACGCAACATGGCATCCTCACTTACCGCCTCATCCCCTCCTTGGGTCAATCTCTCTGGAAGTTCTTTTTGCGCAAGCAAGAAGTGGTGCACGAGCATTTTTATCTTCCCACGGATTACTGCTACATTAGTTCTGCAAGCGCTGCAACCGAGAAGCGTACCACGAGCGCTGGTGGGGGTCGAGCGACTACACCAGCCCCTCAGCCAGCGAGTTACATACGAGAGTTTTTTCAGAGCAAGTCTTGGAATAGACACTCCGTCACAGGCATCGTGCTGCAGGCAGAGAAGACTCCCGGGTTGCAGCTCATTCCACAGGCCGAAGGGCACCCACCTTTGCCTCCGAGGGAGTTACTGGACTCTATTCAGCTTAAATTACAGACAACGGATGTCGAGCTGGAGTCAGCAGCTGTAGATTTAAAAAGCCATAGCAGCGTAGACGACGCTGCAAGCGGCGGAACTGACAAACTCGAGAGCAGAGACTCAATGAAGGGGCTTCAGGAACTGCTGCTCGGGGGGGGCGGTGAATGCGGTGATTCAGTGCTTTGCGTGGATAGCATGCATATATCCTCCGACGAGAACCTTTGCACTGTGCATATGGCAGTGCAAGACACGCGCCCCCTCTCGGTCTATGCGGATGTGGCCTCTCAGACAATCGTCCTTATGGTGAAACGAGGCGGTAACAACAATGCCGCCCTTCAGCCTCGCGCATCTGAAAACGAGACTGTCGAGTACAGAATCCCCCTCCCGATATATTGCGTCTTGGCAAGCGTCACTGACGCAAAGTACTCTGTCTCACCGTTCTCCGTGAATCTCGACGGGAGCCAGTTCGAAACTGCAGAGGGCTCTACAGGTGCAGAGGAGATGATGGTTGCAACAGAGGAACAGGTTTCCGGGGCTGATAGCGGTATCATGAGCAGAACATCCGATCTAGATTTGGCGTCGAACAAGGATCTCGCTGATGAAAAGACGGAGGAGAAATCTGAGGAGGAGTCTTCCACTCTCGCCGAGGCCACAGCGACGGAGGAGGGAAGAGCGACAGAAGGCACGGGGGAGACTGGAGCAAGAGAGGGTGCTCTCCATGATACAGTTGAAGAAAGTCAGAATTCCAAGGAGGCGGGGATGGTGCAATATCAGCATGCGCGCATACAGTTCAAGCCCTTGCCAAAGGAGGCCATAAGGGTCTCCTTGCAGATGCTTCCACAGAAACAACTTTCCAGCTGAGGCTTCAGAGCTTTTATGCGTCGCTGTGTGTCTTTGTACAATGCGGTGGCACACCTCTCCAAAATATTTTTCGGAAGAGATGTGAGCCATTGAGTCACCTCCATCCGCACTGTGCATAAAGCAAGACACACGACCGTCTAATATGGAGGCCATCTCCTCAGTGCATTGTGCTGTGCCTGGCAGAGGTGTTTACGTCCTTGCATGTTTTCATGCCATGAGTCACTGCTCTACGAAGTTGGAAGCAAAGACGCAGAGGAGAGTTATCATAGTTCATCTGTAATATCTCGCTCAACGTTACGCTTTCTATGTGTCCATCTTCACGCCACTGAGCGGCAGACAATTTGTGCGTCCCTTTTCCCGCTTATTTGTGTCTGGCTGCGCGTATTCCTATCCTACACTGGCCTCTTCGCTTCACCTGTGTCGCTGTATCCCCTGCCTCCTGCAGCTTGCCACATTGTCAAGAGGTTGCTCGTTGGATTTGCGCTTTTAACTGCATAACTGCTTTGTTGCAACCACTGACTTGTGGCTTGTGGGCTTTGCTGCTTCTGTAGAGAGACGCACGAGTTACTCGGCCTCTGATATATCTCAGTGGGATTGCTGATATATCTCTGGTCTCCTGGCTAAAGCGTGCTGTTTTTTTTCTTATATATGTTTGCGGCGGTGATTTATTTTTCGCGCGTTGTTGTGAGGACCTGCTTGATGGAATCGACGCACAGCGAGTCACCTGCTTGCGGCTCCAGTGTTGTATATTTGTACACTTCTTTGGAGGATTGCATTAAGACACAAGACGGCTGGAGTTTTTTGAAGCATATGGGCGATAAGAAAGGATGATGTGATGCACACGGTAGCGGAACGGAGATACCTACTGCAGAGTGCAGCAGTAAATAATAGATGGAGAACAGCGTGTCGCTCTTCGAACTGCTCACGACCAAAGGCAGGGGATTTGAAAGAATGACAGAACGGAAAACAGGGGAGGTCCACAACTACTAATCACAGGGGGGTGATCCCATTTGGGGGCAAATGTAATATCCTTTACATATACATAGGGGGTGAGGGGAAAATTGGAAGGAGTATGTCTCATCTTCGTTTTTAGGATTGCGCTCTTCCTCCACCTAGCTTTGGTGTCGATTGTCTAGTCGTGGATCGTGCGTTGGCCTTGATTTACCTCGTGCTACTTTCGTACTCATTGTATTCCTCATTTTGTTGGTTTGCCTGTGCATTGCATTGGTTGATTGTGGTGGCTCCCCCTACGGAAAGCTACAGCTGTGCGGCAAGTCTCTTAACGGGGTTAGTCACATGTAACAAGTGGGCTTGGATGGGATGAGCATGGCCACCTGGAGGAGCACGGCCAGTACATCCAAATTTCTCCAAGGTAATATTCTGCCTGCCTTCCATGCATGCTTGAATTTGTGGGAGGTTATACCGGGTAGATCTTCTGCATGCAAACGTGTATTCTTAACTCGCTGTGCATGCACAGGCCATTCTTTTGCTGCACCCGTCTTTGATCGGATTTACCAAGCCTCACCTTTATTATCACGAACTCTCCAGTTTAATGCGTCCTTAGAGGGTTAGAGAAAGGTGAAGCCGTAGCTTAGTGGGCAACAGTGTTTGGCGATTCTTTCGCAGAGAACCGATAGAGTGATCGTATCTCGATAAAAAGTATCAAAACAGCAACAGTTGGCTGAATACGAGCAGCTTTTGCCTCTCTTCATAGCTGAGTCCGTGCAATGAAGTAGCCAAGGGCGTAATAGCCTCATAAGTTACGACGGAGTGTTTGCTCCACCACCCCTCAGCACCGCGCGTTGGTGCCCTAATCACCCTTCTGACGAGTGCGTTGCAAGGCGTTACAGAGGGAAGGGCTTTACACAGTGGACGCAGCTCGGCAACTGTTCCAAGCCGAACACAAGCAGCACCTGAGGGGAACAACCCCACGCCCTAGCCTTCCCCCCTCAACGCCTAAACTTTACCCCAGATCCTAAACAGTAAACCTATTCCGGTAATGATGGACTGAGTGTGCAACGCGAGATTGAAAACGCGATGCCCTAAAAAGTCACCAGAAAGGCTTCACGTTTGGTTCGACACTCTCGCACGGAGAAGTACGTCTGGTTTGTTGAGTGTGCATGCCGTCCATGTATAAATGTATATATATGCATACATGGTGTCTCTACTAAAGGCAAATGAATATTCCTTCACTAGCCTAAGGCCCGCACTGCAGCGGAAGCGCCAAAATCAATGCACGTACGTCTCTGCACCAGCCACGAAACACTCCTTAACCCTTGGTAGAGTGAGAGTCTACTGTTTTAAAGAGCCAGGACGACACAGCCAACAAGGCCGAGAGACAAGAACCGCGAGAACAGCCGAGGCTACAGACAGCAAAACGCTGATTTCTGCTGGCTGCATGTATATATATGAATATATATGCACTAAGGATACAATCCGTTCGCTACGCCGCATGAATCCACATGTGGCATAGTTAGTTCCCTCTTCCAACATCCCTTCTCCCTTGGAATGCGATACATCAACTGGTGCCAGCACCAGCTGCAGCGGTAGCAGCAACAATAGGAGCTAATGCTGTTTTTGTCGCTCGTCACACTGCCTGTCGCTCTCCCTGATTCCTGCTGCGCAGGCTCCAAATGCAGAGAACCATGAAACCAGAAATGAATGCTCGAGCTTGCTCTTTTCATCCGAAAATACTCTCATACTCCCGGAGCGCAACTTCTTGCCTTTTGCCGCAGCTGTGTGCCGCAAGTACCCCACGGCAACTGCCTGTTATTGTTGCACTGCTGTGCTACCCCAGGTGCTGCTGCACCCCGTCGGCCGTGCATGCAGATATGTCCCGAGTCTAGTAGCGTCCGGGGCCAAGTGGCATCCCATTGGGCCCTCCCGGGCGGGAATATGGGCCCCCTCTGGGGCCCCTGCCTCCCCCTCCGCGAGATCCCCAGCGTCCACCGCCACCGCTGTCACCTCCATACCCTACAAGAGCCTCAAGCTCTGGAGGAACTACCTGGTTAGCCTCCTTCAACACACGGACAAGGTCGCGGGATAGCCGTTGCTTATCCGCTGTGAAGAACGTGTATGCATTACCTGAGGCACGGCAAACACAAGCGCGGCACCAGTCACGACAAAAAAGTGTCATCACGAAGAAACACACTTGCCCTCACCTATACTGCTGCCCTTGTTCACTATCACGACAGAACCAACCAAGCCACGCAGAAGTGGGAGAGAGGCGACATTTCGACCGAAACCCCCAGCACGCAAAATTTAATTCGGCTAAACAAGACAACGTAGGAGATTGATGATGAACAGGCACTCGAAGTCAAAGGGGAAAACATACCTTTGGCGCCGGCTCTACCCGTGCGACCTATGCGGTGAACGTAGTCCTCGATCTGATTCGGCATATCATAGTTGATGACATGACGAATGTCTTTTACATCCAAGCCCCGAGACGCCACATCTGTAGCCACCTGAAAGCCCGCATAGCAGCTGACAAAAGGAAAAAATAGCTCCAAACAAAGATTGCAGCCAATCCTCCCCCAAATGCCTAGCAAACGGCGTCAGTCACGATGCAACCCCAACTTGATACGGCACACCAGTCAGTACCCATACACAACGCATAAACAACGACAACCTACCATGATAGGGTTTCTTCCTTGCTTAAATTCGTCCAACACCCATGTCCTCTCCTCTTGCTTCTTGTCACCGTGGAGAGAAAGCGCCGGCCATCCCTCCATCCGCAAATCGCGGGTCAGGTTGTCAGCCCCTAAAGAGTAAAAACCAACACACTTAGGTATCCGGGATACTGATTCTCTTATTCCTTTTATTTCAACGCGTCAAGGAAATCGCAGTTTCCCCGGCCATGAGTCATTCATCTCGGAGTTTGCATGCGCCGCATCTAAGGAAGCCCTTTACTACGCGTTGCCCAGTGGCGCAAGTACCTCTTTTTGTCTCAGCGAAGACCAGGATCTTAGATCCGTCCATAATGCGTCTGAGTAAAGACATTAACTGGGCCCTCTTCTCGTACTCCTGAAGCACAACAATGTTCAACCTATCGACTTTGAAACTAGGAACGACCCAGAGCTGAAGCGGCAACCAATCATAGAGAGCCCATCCATGAGACAAGACAGGAAACAGGAGAAGATGGTCTGCTCGATCCGCATGAAGAGGCAGGAGTGTCATGACACAGAATGCCACAGAAGAACCGCGCAACAACCATCGACAGGAGAGGTGCGGAGAAAAGGGACCGGCCAAGCGTGTGTCAGCGTCAGAATAACATTTCACTCCGACTCTTCTAAACACCACACGACGCAGAGCGAGCGCAATGGAGCACCATATAACCAAACGACACGTCACTGCACTGCCCGCTGTGCAACAATCGGATCGGATTGACAACAGCCGCATGTTAACAGGAAGGAAGGAAACAAGTCATATGCCCCCTAAACGCTTCCTTCTCTCTCTCTATGCCGCTCTCTCTAGCTATGCTTTCGTGGACCCCTATCTCACTGTCTCTGCCTCTTACACCCGCATCATTTCACTATACACGATGTAGCGGACATAGAGACAGGCACACACACGAGGCACGCAAAGAGACCGACCCGCGCACTCACCGACGGCATCTCCTGGTGCAGGCTAAGAGGGAGAGAGGGGGGCCGTGTTCTGCCTCACCCACCGCTGGCGCATTACTGCGGTTGGTACGGAGTATCCACGCCGCGCCAGGCCCACTCTCGCCCCTACACGGCTCGCTCTGCCCCAGGAAGCCACCGTAGTAGGCGCAACAACGCCCCTGGCACTGTGGCCGCAGGCACCCGGTCGGAAGGAAGAAGGGATCGTTACGAACAAGGGGGGTAGGTACTACATAGACCCGAGCGAGACGCATCCGCGCACGATACATATACATACACCGATCCGTCAAATAAAACAGGGTAGGAGCAGATATATTCGAACACTGAGATGCCAAAATGGGCCGAAAACGGCATGTGGAATACCCGCGTCCAGAAACATTCCCCTAAAGACTGTATCTACACGTGAAAGCCCTTGCCGTGCTTCCCTTTCAAGGGGCGACGGCAGGTCGGCCAAATGGAGCTACAAGCCAAATACGGAAGCACCAAAATGTTTCACTGCCACAACATCACGGGTATACGATCCACCGAGCAAAGTGCGTCAACGCCAAAAAGTGTGGAGTGCATGCGGACCACGAGGAATTGAGCACAAAAGCTACTGCGGCAGCGCCATCCAGTAGTACGGAAGACAGCAACACGAATCCAGATGAATACACACACGGAAAGGAAACAGAGGACAACCAGGAGAAAGGTCGACGGAGGAACAGATATGCACGAGGCGGGGTGTACCTGCAGCACATATACTTCCTGCTTAATGTTATGGCAGGCCTTGAGATCCAGACTGCCAACATTAATGTGAACAGGCTCTTCCTTGCAGAGGTCTCTGGCAAGATTCTGCACTTCCTTCGGCCAGGTGGCGGACCACATAAGAGTCTGTCTGTCCGGCCTTATCTGAGAGACTATCTTCCTAATTTGAGGCTCGAAACCCATATCCAGCATTCTGTCTGCCTCATCTAACACCAAGTACGTCACGCGACGAAGGTTCGTTACGTTGCTCTCTAAGAAGTCAATCAAACGCCCTGGGCATGCGATGCAGATCTCCGCCCCCCGCTGCAAGTCCTGAATCTGAGCGCGTTTAGGAACGCCACCATAGGCAGCTGCGCAAGCACCAGACGCAGAATAGTAATACACGCGCATCAACGACCTGCATCTGCACACTCGGGTGGACGGACTTCAGTCAAACGCAAGATGAACAACAGGACGGCCAGATGCCCACGTAGAGGGACAGGCTGCTGCTGCATGGCGTGCACATGGGAGGTCGCCGGGGCGGGAAGCGAGACAGAGCAAACATATACAGATACAAGACAGTACCTGCATGGTTAATCTTCGACGGTGAGGCGAAAAGCTTGCATTGCGCGCGAATTTGTTCGACCAATTCGCGAGTTGGTGCCAAAACAAGTGCTATAGGCCCGTCGCCACTCCTAAAGTACAGCAGCATCTCGGTCAAACGGACGTTCATGATGAAGAAACTGTTGGAAACAGTGTGATAGGGCACCATTTTCAAGTTTGGCCGAAAGCCACATCACGCACAAGAAGCGAAAATATATAGAAACTGCACAACATTGTGGAGATGTAAGGCGTCAGGTGCAAATCTCATGGGTCTCTTGAACTCACCTGAGGTACGGCTGGGCGTTAATGTGTACGATCCCGGGAAGCAGGAATGCCAGAGTTTTGCCAGATCCCGTTTCTGCTATACCGATCATATCTCTTCCAGAAAGAGCAATTGGCCACCCCTGCAACTGCGCACAAGCAGTCGCCAGCTCAAAGGAAGAGACGCGATGCTCATCAGTGCATTGCGAGCGGCAGCAGTACGAACATGCGGAAAAAAGGAATATGCGTCTCGGACGGAGACCAGAAAAATGCAGCATACCTGAATAGGCGTCGGCTTCTGAAATCCTGCGGCCGATATGGCGTCAAGGAGGTATGATGGGAAAGACGTATGCTCGAAAGTAGGGCAGGGCTTTGGTACGTTCAAACCTGAAACAGCAAGGCGGAGACATACAAGTACAAAAATCCGCTTCTCAGAAGACACTAGGGCAGCGAGCCGCAGATGAGCAGTTCGCTCCAAATTAAAGTGAAAAAGGCGGTAGCTACTGCTTCATCGTCTCCAAGCCGTCGGTCTGCATACCTGCAATGATGGTGATTTCATGATCATTTCGGATCCTGTCTGCTTCCTCTGGGGGCATCTGTGCGATTTCCGGATGTTCCACATAAAAGTTTTTTTCAAACGGCACCAGATCTACCCGCTGCCAATCAACACATGACAGCTTCGATCCGAGTTCATCCCTCCTTTCGCCGTATCCTCCCCCAGCGCCGTACCTCCCCCCTCCATATCCCCCTCCGTAAGAACCATAACCACCACCTCCGCTATAGCCGCCGTAGCCGCCACCACCACCATAGCCACCATATCCTCCGCCAGAGCTGTAGCCACCGGAGCTGTAGCCTCCAGCGCCGCCGTAGCCGTTGGCGCTACTGTAGCCGCCCGCCCCAGAATACATATTGGGGAAATGCGAAGGGGCGGCACAATGGAAAAGCTACACCTGATATGATTGACCGACGCCCTGGAGCATGAGCAAAACACACAAATAACAAGCTCAGAAACTCCTTCCCCAGTCCTTCCCTACCCAAAAGACACTGCGGCACTTCCGGAAAGTGTGTAAGTGCATTTTCCGCCGAAGAAATGTGCAGCAAACACGTGATACAGGCACTCATATCATTGATATAGCCACCAGTGCACCGTGAAGCAGAATAACACAGTTCCTAGCAGCATATGATGACCAAAGAGGCGAACATGATCATGGGAGAGCGAGACACCAATAGCACGCATGCGCAGGAAGGGAGATGCCCCAACCCTCTGTACCCTCATAGTTATGCAGAAGAACTAGTACACCGAAGGCTGAAGAATGTGACTTGTACGGAGAACCAGAAAAAGAAGTGCAATACGGCACAACCCCCACAGCACGTTCTGGAAGAGGAGTCGTGGCAAATAGCCCAAAGAGAACAGATCCCGGAGTTCGCACACTTCAGAACGCTTTTAATCTACAAGTGTAAATTGCGGATCCCGAAGAAGCAAAGAAAGCGAAGGAAGAGGCGCGGGCTGCCGCGCTGGGGGCAGAGTGGGAGAGCACGAGAGGAAGAGGCAGCAGTACCTGTACAAGGAGGTGACGGAAGAAGGAGGGCGTGGAAGAAGCGGAGTTACCAAACGAAACAATAAGAAGGTAAATTGCAAGGATGAGAGAGGCAGAGCCGAAACAGTGGGAACAACGACACCAGCAGCCGCAGCAATTCGGCAACTGCACTGATGGCAAGGGCGAAGAAAGGAATGAAAGGAGAGGCAGAGCGCAGCTCTACGGGTGGGAGCGCCACCTAAAAAGAAAAATCAGAAGAAGCGCCAAAGAGACGCAAACAACACAACTGCAGCACAAGCACAAAAAGGGCAGCAACAGAAGCAGTCAGCATCCCTTTCTAGGCGGCCCGTTCCTCAGCCGCATGTACTACACAATATACGCAACCCACCGTAGGGCTATATTCGTCTAAATATTTGAACCCCCAGGATTTTTGAATGGGCTTCTCAGCTGAGACAAGTGAGACCAACCCAAATAGGCCCTTATTTTTCTTAACCCTCACCCTAAGACCACCCGAGGCTGTGGGGTAGAAAGCCCCAACTCACGGGCCCACCAAGAAGAGCCAACGATCACTGGGATCCCATATCCCTGGTTTCGTCTCCCTCTACATTTAAGGAGAAAGGCAAGAGGAGGGAAGGCATGCATTTTCGACGTCTGCTGTCTCGTCTGTGGCGCGCGGCCGAAGAAGCTGCCGGATCAGCGTCATCGACCAGACAGCGTAGTCTTCAATAGTGCTTCTGCTAGAAGGAGAATGCTGGATGCTACTACAGAGAGAGACAAAGCCTTGACTCCGTCAGGGGCTCGTGGGGGATCTTCAAAGACCCCTAGCACCGCTTCTGCAGGCGCATCCGCCAAGCCGAATCGGCAACGGGGGGTGGACGGCTGTTTTCGCTGTTACCGCTGTCCTACGGAGTTGGCAGTGGCTTCGGTCCGCGAGAAATGCTGCCGCAGCTGTTTGCTGCTTCTCGTAAGGAGGGCATTTGCTGCAGAGCTTGCTGCTCTCCGGCTGCTGTTGAGTGAGCAGCCGTCGCAACAAGGGACCAATACACCCCAAGAAGAAGCGGGCGTGCCTCTGCTTGTCGCGGTGTCTGGTGGAGACGCCAGTCTCTCCCTCTTACACCTAAGCAACGAGCTCATACAGAGACGCCAGAGGGTCCGCTGCATGCAGCAGCAGAATCGAGTTTGTGAAGAGGGCCTACCCACGACTCAAAGCGGCAGCCTTCGAAGTGCCCCCAGCCCCCATAGAGCAGAACCCCAGACTTCCGCGGAATTCGCCTGCTGTGTATCGGTTCATGTTGACTTGCAGCGGCTCTTTCTACCATCCGCTTCCTGTGTGGAGGCGAGGCTGGACGCTCTCAAGGGTGGCCTTTGTACCTCATCGTGTAGTTTTCGACCGGCTAGGAGCGAGGAGGGATGGGGATCAGTTGCTGCTCTTTCACTGCCCACAGCACCCTCGGAAGGGCACACGGGGTACTCATTACCCCTGGAGCTACAGCAAGCAGTGACTGAGCGATGGCCATCTGTTCGATGTGTTTTCCTGCATCCTTTGGGAGTCGAGTTTTCTATTGTCAAGTTAGAGCAGAAAGAGGGGTCCCCTTCGTCGGAGATGGAATCTCCCAGCATCCACCATGTCGAGGTTTACATGCACCCTGGGGGCCAGGCATTCACGCGGCAAGAGCTGCTGGCGCTGCAGCAGGAGGAAGCACAGCTGCGGATGCTACTGTATGAGATCTACGAGGAGGACAAGGCTGCAGCAGAGCGCTTTTGCAGGATTCTCCGGTAAGCTGTTTTCTGTGTAGATGCTCATCCAGAGTGCAACTGCTTGAGCGTTGGCGTTGGCGGGGAAAGCGGGAGGCGGCCAGCGCCGTTATATGTTCGTCTGTCGCTTCCTTGGAGTCATCGTTCCTCCCAGCTTTCTGTGAGTGGCTTTTCAGTATTTCCATGGTAACAGTCGTTCGGACATGCTCTTATCTTTCTTAGTGACTTTTTGGGGTAGCCTTTGATCACGTAAGCGGTTGCTTTGTGGGTACATGTGCTGCATGTCTCTGAAGGATAGAGGCCTTGCGGCAGTACCGCTCCACGGCTCAAGAGAAGGGCCTTCTTGCCCCAGGATTCTTAAAAATGTCTTCCTGCTTACAGTGTTCCCCGTTTATCTGTTTCGGAGACTCGGCTTCGAGTGCAGCCCTGCGGATTTTGGAGCGAATGAGTTATGGAGAGGGGCGGCTGCTGAGCACGGAGGCGGCTCCTCAAGATGCCAGGTATGCAGCAAATGCACTTCACAGCAGACTTGCAGGGGGGAAGGAAGGAGAGGGAGGGAGAGAGACACGATGGGTTAGGAAGGGAGGGAGAGAGAGAGAGACACGGTGGGGGTAGGAAGGGGAGGGAGAGAGAGAGAGACACGATGGGGGTAGGAAGGGAAGATAAACGCTTGATGACCAGCCTGCATCACTCAGTTTGGCCTGTTCTATGCACGGGTAAAGAGGGAATCCCTAAGCAGCAGAGCGCTCGCTGGTTCAGACAGAAAGGCAGCCTTCCAGCTGGGATTGTTGCAAGTGCATTGCGCACTGTGTACAGACTCCTGCCATCGTTCTGTCTGTGTCGCCCCCTGGTGACGCTATCGAAGAAGGAGTTGTCCCTGTTTCGGCTCTTTGAGCGTCTCCCTGTACTCCCCACGAAGCCGTATACACTCCATCAAGACTTAGTGCCTTCTTTGTGGGAAAGCAGCGGCAGCGGATGTAGGCGTCCGCGAGGTGCCTTCCATCCATCAGCGCAGTCGTTGCTGCAGGAGTTCTTGATTGAAACGGAGTGCGACAACTCGGCAACCATACACAATTTGCTGTCTGCAGTCAAGAGACTGGAAAGCCCATTTAAAGAATGGGGCAGCTCGGAGATCCGTGAGTCATCACGCAGGCACTGGCACGGAAGGTTGAATTTGTCTCGCCATGAAACACCTTGCCTTGCTTCCTTGGTTTCTGGAGGGGATCAGACACGAGCATGGCGCGCGAGGGGAGAGGCGGGGAGGGGAGGGGAAGGCCGTAACAGGGGCAGGAATGGCTGCGCGCAGCCTGCTGCACTTGCTTACTACGAGGTCTATGCGGAGGCCGACTGTGTAGTGCAGTACCGCTGCAGGGATATCCACTAATGCGCGCCGAATGAATAGCAGCATTCGTTGTGCTTGGCACTCCGGCCCATGGGGGCTCTGCCGTGCATATTGCATTTGCCTCTTTTCGCACATCATCAATCAAGACCATGCGTTTGAGAATCGTAGCTTCCAGGCGGTGTTCAGATCCAAAGGCAAGAATTTTTTTCGGGTTGTAACGGTCGACTCACGACGTGCACGTGTGTTCATGCGGCTGCAGCGTGCTCTCTCTGCAAGAAGGCCCCCAGTGCAAACCTCAAGAGCCTTTTGAACGAAACGGGGGCTTTCACGCCTAAACAACGCATGGTGAGCGTCCACAAGGCCACTTAAGGAGTAGCAGCAGCGGGAAAAGGATGCAGAGAGGGGGAGAATTTGAGGCCGTCGTAACAAGTTTGCCAGTGTGGCTGCCCTGTCAAACGTGCATGCAGGTTGCTGAGGAATGCCTGCTCTCACCCTCTCTTTCCGCCGTAGTGCCCCTGTGTTTTTGCTGCATCCGTGATGCCACTACGGGCCCCAGCGCTGCCCGGTTGGCGCTACGTCTGTGTGGTGTTCCCAGTCCCTAAATAAGTCCTTCACCCGCATCCCTAATTTGTGTGCGCCCTACGTCTCTTCGAACGGGTGGTAAGGATCGACGGCAGCAGCGTACGTGGCGGCAGCCACGATCAACTGCAGATGTGTGTATTGACGTCGGCTCTGCTGCCGTCAACTGTTACGGGGCACAAATGCGCATTCGAACTGGGGCTTGAGGCCCTCTACTTAAAAAAGCCATTGTAGGAGGTCTCGAAAAAGGTAAGGATCAATGCCTCAAAATCGTCATTACTGTGGTCCCTTGCCTCGGCCTTTCACCCGCACCACCCTCCTCCCCAACTAGCCAGTGCACCACAAATCACAACAGCCAGCGGGCCAGAGGGATGCGTTTTTGCCGAGTTTGCTGCAAGACATCGCTTGCCCACTCTACACCTTCAGAGGGAGGCAAGAAAGCACGGTTACTCATTGCCTGTGTGCTTTTTGTGGCGTGTGAAGCGCTGCAGTTTATCCCGCACGCTTACTTTTGCCCTTTTTTAACTCGCAGAGCCACCAGTGGATTCGAACATGTCCTCCCACTGCCCTTCGAGTTGGCCTACATTGAAGTCGGTGTTGCCTTCGGCTTCACTCAAAGACTCTGTCTCCTGTTGTGCTTCTGGCACAGTCTCTGTGCCGCCCTTTCCCTTCCGCCTCCACTTGCCGAGGCCTATCTTTCGCTTCTTTTTCGTTCCACTCGATAGCGCAGCGAGTCTAGCCGCTTCCTTTTTCGCCTTTCTGCTCTCCTTAAGGTCTTTGAACCACCGTCCAAACCGACTGTGCGTTATCTTGTAGAGAATCCACTTGAACAAGTTTTCAATCGCCTGCAAAGGCACCCATTTGGCATCCATTAATACATGTATGAAGGGCATCGGAACGGTCCGCGTGGGTGTAGCTTGCACTTTAGAACGAATACGTAGCAAGAATTATAAAGAATTATCGATATTCCCGCCCCCACAGACTATATTTGTACAGGGTTTCCCTCTGTGCCACTTGTGGAACATCGTAGATTCACGGCGCGTGGAACGTCGGAGGATGTACTATCTAGTGGGGTGCGGCCAACAGCGAGTGTTTCATAATCTCCCCTAAGAGACCACTAAGAGTGTAATTCATTCGAGAAACGTAGGCACTGCGTGTTGTACCCTTCGGGATGACAGTGGAGGTCTCCTTGCTAGCTTAGAATGCACGCGGTTCTTGGCTCTTTCTGTGTGTCTACACATCTAGTTACGCTCACCATCTCGATTCGAGCAAGGAACTTCCAGTGGGAGCTGACGATAATGTAGAGGCTAATGGCTGGACCCAAAACACTGGAAAGGCCAATGAGGACTACTCCTTTGAGGAGAGCGAATCCAGCTGTTAATGCAGGAGACGATGAAATCGGTAGATTGTCAGGTGCGGAACTTGTTGACGCTGTGTCGATGCAGATCCCCATAGGCCCACAGCCTGAACCTGCGAATCCAGATTGATTTGTCAGAGAAGTACCACCCGATTGTGTTACAAGCTCTGTTGGCTGAGCGGACATCGCGACGGCGTTCAGCTGGTTTGTAATCCTGGGGAGAAAATGCAAAAGGAGCACACGTGAGACTCGCTAGCTGAGCTATTAGGGGCAAGCTGGCCCGCTGTACAATGTCTGTACCCGTGTGTAGCTGTATTTGTGGAAAGGGGGGGTGGAATCAGGCCCTTTGCGCGGTAGTTGGGAAAACCTTCGTGCTTCTGTATGCTATCGAGGGAGAGAAGCTAGTGAGATGGGCACCCACACGATAACTGAAGAGACAAAGAAGAGTGCTAGACCGATCCAACCAAAGATCTCGGAGACTCTTGAATCCTGTCTATGAGATATCCATCGTGTAATAGCTTGACCCATGAAGGGAGCTTGGGAGGTGATAAAGTTCCCGTACGATCGGTATCCGAGCTCCATATACAGCTTGCCCGACAAATGCACATTGTACGTGAAAATCAGTCCTGTTCCATACTTAACGCTCTTCAGCATTTTCTTCTGCGGCTTAGAGAGCATATTGTCAAAGAGCTTTAACGCAAAGTCTCCCCCAGTCATGATCATGCGGAAGGAGTTAGCTTGCAGCGGGTCCATTGCAGATTTTAGCCAAGTAGGCTTGCTGTATTGTAGCTCTCTCTTCTCAATAGCCTCCGGCTGTACCAGGGATTCTATAGACACATTCAGGGCCAGCTTCCAGAGATGAGAGAAGAAGTTCGAGAGCACAGAACGGCGGAATTCCGCAGCGCGTTCAGTGCCATCCAAGGTTGCATACAAAGGATTCACATTATTCAGCATGACTGTATATGGGACCTGCACGCCGCCACACACAGACAAACCTTAACAGGCATTGGATAGGCATTCCTTTTAACCAGGAGCATGCGAACCTCTCAGGCATATCCGTGTGATCAGGAGGCTCTCTGTAGGTAAGGTGAAGGGCAGGCCACACTGTTTCCCACCGTGATCTCATCCCGCGTACAACAACTATCTAGTAGCTCCAGTGTCAGGCCATGCTTCCACCCCCTCTCATCCCTTCCCCCTTAATCTGATTTTGTCAACCTCATTCGGTTAAGGTACAAGTGCTACACCACGCAATTATTACAATAGGCGTACACCTGCCGGCAGACCAGCTGGACTGAAGAACTGTTCCTCTAAGAGCAGGAACAGTGCATCTGCAGCCCTGTGAAAGACGTCAACGGAGGGAAAAGCACTAGGATTATTCTTGTAGATCTGCGAGAGCTCCTTGAGTACTAGTGCGATCTTCGAATAGTCTGGCACCACCGCGGTGTACGTCGCATGCCGCAGCTCGTAGGCGGGGCGGCGCAACAATTTGTTAGCTGCAGTAGCAATGGAGGTGGTTATTCTTTCAAGCAGGCCTCCTTTCAGTCCTGCCGAAGTTTGTTTGGGGTTGACGACAATCCCGACAATCAACAAATCATCGCCTGCCTGTTGCAGCAAGTGCCGCGAGTCGTGCAACAGTTGCGTTGAGACTGAAGCCAGCGAAAGATTCCTGCAAGCCACCCACAGCTGCTCCTGCATATCTGCTTGCTGTCCGAGGAAACCCATAGCAGCCAGCATCTCGTTCTTCAAGGTGGTGTTGAGAGCTGCTGTCAGAGGAGGCGGCTGCGTAAGATTAAACCCTTTGAAATCATTCTTTGACGGAGTAAGACCTTTGTCCAGCTTCTCCTGTGACACGGGTATGGCATCAATGCGTATCATTGTATTTGCTTTAGAGTGTGCAAATACAATAATTATTCAAGGTTTCGCTGAGGCTGCCAAAACAAGCCTGCGTGGAAACTAGGGCGTATTCGTGGAGAGACTTGGAAGCCCTAAGGGCACAAGTGACCGGCGTGCAACTTGTACAATAATCATTCATGTCTGCCTAGACAGTGAGCTGGACGGACCTTAACAAGTTCAGGCATCCCAGTGTACGTCCAGGCGCTTATAACTTTGTCAAGCTTTTTGGCGAGACCACCGGCGTCTCTCACTTCGCCAGATGGTTTGCTCATGAAGGCAGCATATTGATTTAAGCGCTGCAGTGTGTCCGGGTGCACAACCGGGCGGAAGGCGGACTGCAGCGCGAGCATCGCGTCGGACGACAGCTGACTCATCAAGACTGCGTGTTGACACAATACATGGAGGCGGGTATGTATGTATGTATACTATTGAGATCTGCCTTTGATTTAAGAGTAGGGATCAAAGGCACTTTCCTTCCCCCCCCTTCCCCCCCCCCCCACCAAAATTAGAGTGGATGGCGAAGAAAATAGGCAGTAACTCCAATAATCTACAGAGTTAAGGCTCCTTACACCGCACGTGCATCTTGGTGGTTTTTTCCTTGTCTTTTAGTAGGCCGAAGATCTTTTTAAAAAGGCCCTGCTTCTCGTGTCGGCCTGTCATCAAGAATAGTGCTTGATATTCATTCAGCCCATATATCGCATCTGTATCACACGTCGACATTCACAAGGTCTCGGAGCCACACACCATGAGCCCTCGTTTGGGTCTGGGCTCATTCTTCACATAATTAAAGGGCCTAAGGTTGCAAGGCCCTCCTCGTGGGTGTGTATTCTCCAAGTGGTCTTGGCACTGTGCACTTTGGTCCAACTTTAGGCAAGAACGAAGTGTACATGGGACAGAAAAGGCAGCCGCAGCTGCATAGTTATCGGGACGCCCAAAGTCTATACTTTATATATAGAAGCATCTGCATTACCGCGGCTGTCCATGTCCTTTGCTCTTAGACTGTAGAGCCCGAGCCACTCGTAGAATGTCAGCAAGGCCCTGATCCAGGGACTGCACTCCCCGAAGGCTTGATATTGACGAGGGGAAGAAGCCACCATAGCAAATGGGTGGGCCCTTTCCCACTTCTTGCAGCGGCGCCCAATACACGGTTCCTGTCGCGCCATCCATCCTAGCGAAAGCTTTAGATCTATACCTGAAGGGCAAGGATAACCTTAATACGCATGCGGCTGAGGCAACTCCATCCCGGTGTACACGCAGGGAACCCAGGCAGCAGCTCTGACGCAGATCGTCCAACAGCCTCATAGAGGCGAAAAAAACAGCTACCGCAGTCTACTGTATGTGTACATGTGCTTAGTAAGCATCGCTTGCATTCCGGTGCCACTACTACTACTGCTGTAGTTACCGGATTATCTTGCTCTCTGCCCGTCCTTTTCTCTCTTTTTGTCTGCAGCTCCATATCTGCTTATCTGTGCGAATCTGCACGCTAATCATTTATTCCTTTACATCTGTCACGAGTGTCACCGTAGTTAGCCATTGTTGCTTACGGGTGGCAATTGCCGACCGGGTACTGTCGAAATATTCACAGTGTAGAGGTATCAGGAACTTCTCGCACTTTGATTTCTTCCACCCTTTGGCATCCTGATAGGCAGTGCACTTTTGAGAGAACTCCAGAGACGAACGCATGCCCTCCTTTTGCATTTCCTTTTCTAGGTCCTGGTAACGTGATTTTTTGCATGCGGAGACGTCTGCAAGGCACCGAGTCAAAGCAGAAACAGTCCGCTGCTACGAACGAAGTGAAGCGGCACAGGGAGGTGCGGGCACAGCCTTGGGTGCCAGCGGCTACATCGACACCCCACCCAGCTCGCCAATCCACGTTCACGTTATATGTGTTGAAGTAGCAGCGATGCTTGCTGCTGTAAGAAAGACACGAGTAGCTTGTTCACAAAAGACAGCAGTGAGGGTGCAAAGCAGAGAACCGAAGCAGCGACTGGGTGCTCACAATGCTAGGTGGCTTGCGCACTGCCTTACTTTTTTTGACAGATTTAACAATGGCTGTATAGGTGCGAGGGTCTTTGCTGAGCATGAAGTCACTCCCTGTACAAAATTTCGAGAACCGCAAATTCGTTAAAGTCCGATGGTACAGTGGCATGGTGTGCCGCAAAGGCAAGCCTGTTTCTTGCGGGGAGAGCGACTCTAAAGCGGGGGAGCGAGAAAAGAAATTGGGAAAGAAGGACTATGCAGCAACATAATGAGACCTGAAACGCCTGGAAAAACTCCCCAGGGGCTGCACAGTTGACAGCTAAGCCACGACGTCCAAGCAGCTGCCCCGAAGCGAGGGGGTAGTAAGACACCGGCTTATCAGCAGCGCCGCTCATGCGCGTGCGTCTAAGCAAACGGGCTCGTCAAGGCCTCGAGGCGAAGCATGCAGCTCACTGTTAACGGCTACTCGAGTCAGCAGGGGTGCGAGAGAGTCCTTGTTGCCTCCTGCAGCAGAAGAGGAAATCGCATGAAAGCTCGTATCGCATTCTATTGTGCTGCATGTAACTGTGCTCGCTGTCAGGAATATCCTCATGTTGCTTGGCCCCAACGGCGTGGCTCGATAGTAGAGAATATGGCAGACCTGAGGTGGCAATGAGGTGATAATAAAATGCCTTCTCGTCTTCTTCGACAACCAATGAGCTACGTGGTGCTTCTGGCCTGGCAATCTGCTGCTCGGCCCCCTGCAGAAAACTCGTATCCTCCGCCGTTTGCGCTTCGCTAGGAGGAGCACTCTGCTGCTCTATATTGAGGTCTTTGAGAGTACACGGAGTCGGCAGGAAGAGCATATCAGCAGTCGGTCGGTTGCCAAGGCTGAAGCAAAGGCGTCTGAAGTTAACGTTTGGCGCAGCATTCTTTTGAAGAGGTACCGCGTAACGACGGGTCTCAGCTGGCAAATGGTTCATTTGTTCGTTGAAAAAAGAAAGTCCGCTTTCGTAGTCTACAGGCACGTCACATGCAAGCAGGCCCTACACATCTTCTGGCCCCCGAGCGCGTCTACTAAGCGACAGTTGCTCTTCGACCCTCCCCAATTTTGCCTCTTTGGGAGGAAGAAGAATAGTTTGCACATCATTCATCACAAGATGGTTAGCACATACGCACAGATGACGAATGTTGCTACCACGAGCCGTTCATACACATGCAGCACTACAGCCTAACGGGCTAAAGAGTCTTTTCTGCCAGCCGCGGACAAGGGCTTGGCTACCTGTGCAAAGCCCCACTACTTACTTCTTTGGGTTGTGGAGACCGCGTCCTCTAAAAGATCGCAAGCAACGCGAAGTAACCCGACACCAAACTGCTTGCGAACAAAAAACATTCTCGGTATGGACAGGAAGCTAGGTGGCATTTTCGGAGAGCTTCTAACTTTGCCGAGGGTGATCTGGCAAAGCGCATCGACATCCCGCAGCTTGGAGGCCACTGAGCTTGTTAAGAAAGGCACCAGACTCGGGAAGACCCGCACTTTTGAAGAGCTCGATGAGGGCTTAAACAGTTCTTCGTAGCGAAGGTAGGCCAAGAGGAAAAGCATGAAGGCTGACTTTACTGCAAAAACAAAAGAGGCGAAGCAGGCACAGGAGCCACAGCTGCAGAGGTTGAACGTGTAAGACATCAAAATTGAAGACCACGCGCGTCTGGCGTGCGTTTTAAGAAGAGAGAGAGGGCAGCAGACCTCCCGACGGAGCCCCCGACTAGGACTGCTCCTCGCTAGAAGGGAAAGGGGTTAGAGACAACGTACAAATCGGATTGCGTGCTGCCGAGAGAAATATCTGAGATCGCGGATAAAGCCTCAAGAGGTCATTCGTAAGGCCATTCGCCACAATGTCCTTTATGGGGACCTGTGCTGGAGCCCGTGCCATAACCGGAACGATGTTTGCTGCTGGTAGGGACGAGGAGGTCACTTGGTGTCTGTGGCAACATCGCAGAGATGGCGGACCTTCCTTGAAGCATCACAACTCAAATAGGCACAGGCATATATGCCTCGCTGTACTGCCGAAGCTAGCCCTCCAGTGCAACAGGTCTCTCAGCGCCACGAGCATGGAAGCTGTCGCCTTACTTCCTCTCTGCAAAGGAGCTCGAAGAGGAACCTGGACTCTCGTCAGCGTCTCCCTGGATACCCCAGTGCTCGAACGTTTGAGTTAAGGCTTGCTGTGGAGTCTGGCCCGCTTCGTAGGCTTCAAAGGCCGTATTGAAGATCATGAGGTCAATGTAGTGGAGCAGCTTGGAGGAGATCTTAGCGCAGGGAAGCTGGATCTCTTCCTTTGTTTCCAACAGCGAGGACTCCAGCTTGGTGACTGCTTCTCTGGCTGCCTGGATTTCTTTCATGTTGCAATCAAGGCTGGAGAGCAAAGCTACTGCTGCAGGGCAACTTGGAGCGGCATTCTTAGCCACCATGCAGCACTTGGAGCCCCCCGCTGCACGGAAACGGAGCAAGGCATTGCAAGACCATACAAGGACGTGCGTTTTAAGGGAAAATCGAAGAAGTGTCCAGTCAGGGCGTCGACTGAAGAAGGGGTACCCATCATGGATAGCTCATGCAGTTCTCACCTCGTACTCCATTAGACAGCCACGAACTTCCGAGAGCCTGTTTAAGTCTCTCCAGGTTAGCTTCTGGTGTTGTTACTGCATTGCACATCGCCACAAGCATACGGAGACGTCAAAGTCTTCAGGACTGCAGTTTCTGCTAAAGCTGCCATAATGAAATAGCAGCAGAGCTCCCAAAGAACCGAAAAACTTGCTAGTAGCACGGAGCAATAAAGTATAAAAACGCAGTTAAGGAACTGAAACGAGACGAGCAGCTGGATAACAGGCTTACGCAACAGAGGCAAGGCGGCATCGTACTGTGACCCATGTTGAAGCGGTTGTCGTCTTGGTCTGAAGATTTCAAGGCCCGTGAAGACGACTGCAAAGATGCAACAGGACGAAAATTAATATGAAATGAGTAAACCACTCAGCGCGAAGGCAGTCGCAGGACAGGGGCGTTCCTGCACACTTCTCCCTGGCATCACACGACGACATATCCATGCGCGCTCGGTAAAAACCGAAGCTGAGAGATGGATAGTTGCTCACCATCTGGACTAGCCTCCGGGGTATCTGCGGCAAACAAACGCAACAGAATTGCCAGTTCGGGCAGTGGAACGCATGTAAACAAACACGTTGGCCACGTGTACATTACCATCTAGCCTATCTAGCTGCTCGATAGTATTTAAAGTGCACTTTCCGGCTTAGAAACACACATCAAGCACCGCCCAGAGTTTGATGTATCAAGATGAAAAAGATCAAATTATGTTCCCAACTGTAGCTGCCTTTTAAGTAGGCTCCGCGGCTACGTGCACTTACCGGGCGTGGAAGCTTGTCCACTTTCAGGCTGAGAGCCATCAGCTTGTGCATTATCTGCATGCGGTGTATGAGATTGTGCTTCGGGCTGCTGTGTTTGGCCGGCTTGCTCACTTTCATTGGTACCAAGCAAAGCCAAGCTCTCTGCAGCCGAGTAAAGGAGCACTGCCGCAACAGCCAAGGAGGCTGTGTGCAAAGTGCGAAGATTTACCATGGTGTGGTGGGCAAAGAAGCGTGGTCAGGGCCTGTCCTGCCATCCAGTTCCACTCAAGTTCAACGCCGTCTATGAAGAGATTAAGCAAAGCTGAGTATTGAATGATCAGGTCCCCTCAGCTGATAAACTGAAGCGTATGATTGCTAAGAGACCAATGGATCCCCGCCAGGGCCTGACAGGACCTGTCCCGCATGTTGGGCTGGTCGCCTCGCCGAGCACTTCTCTTCAGACAAGCTAAATAAAAAAGGATCCGGTCTAAAAACTAGGATTTGTGACGCAAGAGCGGGATCTTGTAGAAGAAAGGGCGGGTTCTCTATTCGGGGGACCTCCACGTGGGCAGGGATCTGAAAACAGAACGCGAGTTCTACTGCCTCCTTAGACACCCGTTACCGCAAAAATCAGACAAGTGTAGCAGTTGAACCCCCTCTCGATCGAGGAGTTTAGGTGTTCTTCTGTCTGGAACATTAAAAATCCTGGCAATGTGTGGATTTCCAAAGCCACAGGGGCCGGCCGCCGTGGCCGACATTTTCTGCGAACTTGGCTGTATTTGATGGCAAGGCGGAAAATTTTTAATGCAGAGAACGAGCTGTAAATAAATTGCCAGAATATTCTAGCGATTTGCACCCCTGAATTCCGTGGAAGGAGCGTCAATCTCCCCTAACAGCCTTTTTCTCGGCCCCTTTCGCCCTCCTTGTACAGTGACCAATCCCGCTAGGCTCCGAGGACAATTTGCAGTTTCTGGCACTCGTCGCACTGAGTTTTCCACCCCTACAGTATTAATGCAGTGGGTGTACACTGCTGGCACTTTCGAAGTGCAGCACCCCTGCGGCGACATACACCGCATAAAACCTATGCGCAATGTAGCCCTTAAACATATTTCTTCAGTATCCACATATCTGTAAACCCCACAATTGTGAAGTCACAGTATCTTAGGATTGCATTTTACGGCATCATCACTGAATGCCTGCACATTCTGGTGCATTGCATATTCTATTTGTGCGTTAGCAAGAAAGCATGATATGTAGTTTGGGACGTCTGTGCTTGAGCATAGCTAAGCTCCACAGAACAAGATCAGGAAAGAGCCGAGTAGGAGCCTGTGTTAAGATGCAAACTGGGCGAAAGGAACATGACTGTTGCGTTGTACGGTGATTTTCCTTGTTGCTTGGTCTCTTTGAAACCCCTTGCAGAGGTGTGGCCATTGGTCCTTCATGAAAAAGATAACGGATGATTGCTCTGATGTGTTTTGGATCATTGAAAGCAGAGCTACTTCCCTAGCGTATTTACAGTGGAGATTCCATCCAAACTTTCTGTAGATCTGGCGGCCGTATACATCAAGGGCACAGCGTGAATCTTTTCAGCCGTCTATAAGCCCCTCCCTATGTCTCCCGTCTCACGATGTTTCATATTTGGGCATTTGATAGCTGTTGGTGCTCCGGCGGGAGAGTTGTTCGATATAACTTGACACTTCGCATGCCGCCCATAAAGTCGGTGTTGCAAAAGGTGCACTTCTGTGCTCGTTTGGGCATCCACATGCTTAGAGAGAAAGCGCTAAATGTATGTCTATTCATATATTTTGTTCCTCTTTGTTGCTGCACAACGATCGCTTGTCGTCCGACAGCGCATCACATGACTTAGCACTTACACACTGGTTTGGGACTGTCTTTTTTTCAAAGTAACGGTGTTCTCCAGTCAGTGTTTAAAGCTAAAGGACACAGGAAGCTCCTCAACACTTTACATTTATCCAAGTGCTAGCGGCGTATATTAACAGCACAGGGAAGCGAATAGTCTCAGCAACCATGTATCCCCACCATTTGGAAATAACTGCAGAAGGGAATAAACTGTTAGTCAGTTATATACAGTGGAGCCCCTATATCGTCCCGCATTAGAGCTGCTACTCAAGGTGTGTACCGCTCGAACGGCTTTTCCTGTACCGCTCTATCCAGCAACTTCGGGAGGGGACACTGCAATCCAGACTCAATGCGTATTTATGAGAGGTTGCGGAGTGCGCCTCTAAGTAGGTTCCTTCTTTCCCTGCCGGCGGGCCTAAGAGTTTGCAGCATGAGGGAAGAGAACAGCTAGGTTGCATCATGCTGCACCCTATAAGCACTTTGAACAGTCACAGGTAGTTGCATATAGCATGTGGCACATACGCGCAAAATCTCCACACACACAAAATGTTGTCTTCGCGTGAAGAGTCACAGTGCTCGGCAACAAATAGACGAGACAAGCAGATATATCAGTTAGTCAAGTCCTTACGAATTCTTGGGGAAATATTAAGTATAGTACAATGTGCAATAATTTTAGTCAAGCCAACGTTTTTGTCTTATCTTGTGTCGGTCGTTGTATGCGCCATGATCAACCATGCCATAGACTTGAACATGTGTAAGAGCTGTTTGGAGGAATGCGGTTATTTGTAGTGCCAAGTGGAGGCATACTCTCCCTGGATGTAAACAAGGTGACCCATAGACAGTACATTTCGGTTCACATTCATCTGACGAGAAGAGAGGCAACATAATGAACAGCAGACGGTAAGCGTAGCTCGCGGGCTGTAGATCTGAAATTTCGATTTTAATCTAGTACTAATGGCGCTGTACTGCTTGGGTTAAGGCCCATAGTCAGCAGTACAACACACGGATTTCCAATTTGCAAATGTCCACTTTGGATTCATCGTATGCTGGTGGATGCACTGGACCCTGAAAAGACGGTTTAGTCCAAGCCTTGATTAAGGGTAGAATTTTACTTTTTCGGGTCGAAAAAATTATCGTTAGTCGTTCTAGGTCACGCATTTCGGTCAGGCGAGCTTGTGTAAGCCTTCTGAACAGAGATTGGAAAAAGTTGTGAAACTAAGGTAGATTCTCGAATATATGAAAAAAATGAATGTTTGCAGAGAAAGCGGTTTCATAACGACCACCGTCTACTACTGAAGCTGAATGGGCCGATGTAAAACCAGAACTATGCCATGGGGCTGGGGGCATTTTTTTTTGCTGTTCTGTTTGTTCATCCAGTTAGAAGAGCCTTTTCATGTTCTTGCGAACCCAGCAATCTCTTTGTCTCCTTCCGAAGGGAAGCTTCATTGCTGGGAACTTACTGCTCAAGGGCCACGATCTGGGGGCTTCAAGACAGCAGCAACGCAGTACGGGAAACGAGGCTCGTTTACGCCAGGCGCTAGACAAGCCTTCTGTCTCTTGGTTCCCTTTTGCGTGATCAGCTATATTCACTACGTGAAACACCAATGCCCCGTCCATGGTACACTGTAAACCGTCGATTCTCTGATGACCTCGAGGGATAGGACCCCCCACCCAGTGGGATCCTTCTAATGCCCAGCGGCTGCATATTACTTCTCCACTTTCTGCTGCTGCAGGAGACTCTCTATCAAATCGTGGGGAGGACCACGACTGCATCCCCTGATGCATCATGGGGTGCTGCCTTACCGACATGCCCTCGCTATGTAGCCATACAGGGGCCCCTTGAGGGGCCCATCAAAAGGTACCTAGGGCTGTATAAACCGGCTTGGATGCTCCTTAGAGCCCCTGTTCCCCCGTGCAAAGAACACCGCAGCAATCCAGCGGTGACCGACCACCAGTGTGCTGGAGATCACAGCCAACGGGGCCCAGGCTCCTCAGTGGGGGCATACTCGTCATCGACAGCCTCATCAAGCCCTTCAATTTCCCCCAAACGAAGATCACTGCCCCCTTCTGTGAGAACCCCCCTTACCAGCAAACTTCCTTGCTCCCCGCCCTCCAGGACGCCTAGGCCCCCGAGCGGCCAGAGGGGCCGAGGTGTGTATACACAGCAGCGACTCAGCGATCAGAACACTCTGACATTGCAGCAACAGCGGCGCAACCACCGTCGCCACCACCAGGAGCGGCAGCATCAAAAGGTTCAGCAGCCGCAACTTGCACTGCACCAGCATCAACGCCTCGCACAGTGGGATGGAGGGCAATCGTTCGAATTATCCCCCGCACAGCAGGAGACCATGATAGCCCTCGGGTTCGAAGGCCCCATCGGCGCTCAGGAGGAAGCATTGACACTGGCTGCTTCAGGGAGGGATCTCGTCCTCTCTTCACCCACCGGCTCTGGCAAAACTCTCGCTCTGGTGCTCCCCCTGCTGCAATGGCACACCGCCCGCTCAGCAGCGGCGGCAGCGACGCGTCGTGCTGAGCGCGGCCAAGCCAGCGTTGCGATGAAGGGGTCATCGCTGCATGAGCAGTTCGCTCTAGCAGCAAGTGCAGTCTCTGCTTCAGCAGTGCAGGCTATCTCTACAGCTCGCGTGGTGTCTGTGGTCCTAGCGCCTACGGCGACTCTCGCCTTGCAGCTGCTGGGGTCGATGAGGGCTACAGCCGCTGGATGGATCAAAGCAGCAGCTAAAATCCAGCGGAAGGGCAATCCGGCTGGCCTGAGCTCACGAAGAATTTGCCTCCCACGGCTGCTCCTGCTGGGTGGAGAGACACTGCAAACAGGGGTATCCGCTGCGCTGCAGGATTCCACCGAGACGGAAATGCCTCCTTGCGAGTGAGGCCACTTGCAGATACTTGAGTGCCCCCTCTTGCCCTCTCAGTCTTCTTGCAGTCTACGTCTCTCTGAACTGACGTGCCCTCACAAAAAATGTCTTGGTCCTTGTTGTAGGAGGCGGCTCTGTGCTCCTCCGCTCCTCCCTCCTCATCCTTGCGCCCCTCCTGTGCTATCCCCAGCTCCGTCTCTCGCCTATGTCTCGGCAACTCCTTCGTCTGTCGCTGGCAGGGCATTGCGACTGGTTTTAGACTAGAGCGACTGCACATGTGGACTCTATGTATATATTTATTCTAGGCCCTCCTCGTGGCTGCTCTTTGTCGCTCCCCGCTTGTAGGGTGGACACCTCCGGCCTCATCCTCTTTGCTACGCCTGAGACACTCAAGCGACTCGTTACCGTACGCTTCAAGCCCTCCTTCCTAAATGGCCGCCCTCCACTGACAGACTTTACCCTTCGGGAGGAAACTGACTGCTTGTTTGCTGCCATCGGGGGCGCTCCTATCTCCTTGGCTCCTACTCTTTCGAAATCGAGCCTCGGCAGCCGCAGGGTTTCCCCTTCAAGGCCTTGTCCATGCGGCTCTGTCTGTTTGTCCTGCTGTCTTCAGCGCCTGGCAGGGGGCCCTCCTGGATCCTTGCTGCACCTCGCCGGGGCAGTGCGCCATTTGGTGTTAGACGAAGCCGACCGGATGCTACAGCCCCTCCGTAGGCGCAGTCGGCAGATCGTGTTGGTTCAACGCTTAGGGCTGCGCTGGAAGAGGGTCGAATATTCCACCCGCAGCAGCGGGGAAAGCAACACCAGGTGCGATAGTGTTTGAGCTAGGGGGGCATCAGAGTGCTTTTTGCGTTGGGATGCTTGCGCAGGCCGCCACGCGCCACTGCAGGAGCGTCTTCAGAGCCTCAAGAAACCCGAGGCACTGGAGATTTTTATGCGTCTGCTGGTCACTAGCCGGAAGCAGGGCGGCCTCAAAGGCACCGGTAGCAACGCAGCCTCGAGTCACCATGGACGAAGCCAACAGCAGCCAGTGCTGCCTTTGCAGCTGGTGGCTGCTAGCGCTACTGTGGGGCGGCCTCTTCACCGTCGCCTTACGGCATTCGTCCGATGGAAGGAGCAGCAACTAACGCGAGCGAAGGACCCCCCACTCCGCGCAGGCTTTTTGGGGGTGCCTCACTTGTGTCCTCTCTCCGGCAGGACCCGGCAGCTTGATCTTAGAAAGCCGCCACTGGGAGTCTTCGCTACGCCTCAGCAACGCATGCGTGCAGCTCTGGAGCGTCTGGCAGCTCGCGGCCTGTTAGGCATCCCCCCAATACCCTCTACTGCCGAAGGCCCCCAGGCTTTGAGCATGCTGTCGCCTTCCCTGCCTCCCTTCAAGGCGTTGTTGCCCATCGTCAGGTGAACTGCCCCCACAAACCCTAAATACGGGTGCATCCAGTCGGACTTGCATCGGTGCTGCGCCAGTATTCAGAGGCAATCAAGCTTAAGGCGGAACCCTAAAGCAAGAGGGGGCTGGAAGCCTTTGGGGGTGTGCGCCACACGCCTCATGGGATCTGCGACACCTGTAGAGGGAGCCCCCTACAAGGCAGCTAGCCGCAGGCCACTGTGCAGGCGGCCGCATAGATGTATATGCCATCCAGTACTCTAGAATGCAGCAGAAGTTAGACTTTACACATGCACTGAAACGAGTCTTCCTTCACGCTGATACTCGTGGTCCCACTGTGTGTCGAAATGCGTCAGTGAATCTCAATGCTGCCGTCTCCTGTGCTGCTTTTCACCTTAGATCTCCGGCCACCAGATTAGCAGAGCGCTCGGCCAAAGAGCCACAAGCTGAAAGGAATCCCACTGGAGACTCTCGTGCATCGAAAGGGGGGGACGAGGAGTCACCAAGAGTGCCGCGGCGCGTTGGGGGAATGCCGCCGTGCATCACGCATGCATTATTTAGTGCCTCAGACAACTCAGCTGGTAAGGTGCCGGTGCTGTTGCCGGCCTTACAGTTTTCCGCTTGTTGTTGCCGCTGGTGCTGTTAGAGCCTTTAGTGTCAGTGCCCTCGAGGGCCAGAAAACAGCCATCATGTGGTAATGGTGAGGGCTGCTACGGAGATGAGACTAGGCAGCGGACCCTTCGCTCCACATTGAAAAACACCCTCTTTTTTACTGCGCGGCCTCCATACTCCTCTCCCATTGCATGTGGTGCAGAAGGTCTGGCGATTGCGGCCTCTGCGGTTTGCAACAGTCTTAAGCATCACCGCACGTTGCTGCTGCTTCAGCAGGGTTCCTCACTGCGCTCTCTCCAAATATACATGCGGGAGCAAGGCCTGAAGGTACATCAGCTGTCTCTCTTTGACCCAAGCTGTGATGCGAAATTACTGTGAGCTCCTCTAGAGAGCTGCGCTTTGTGTGCGTCGACGGCAACAAAGAGTCTTGGGGCTGTTTATGATGCGGTTTCGCAGGTGGACTTGGTGCAGGACACCGCCTGGTGGAAAAAGGCGACTGGTCCTCAACAAGGTACCTGAAGCGCTTGATTTAAAAGCGATGCATCCCCCGCATGGCATCAGCAGGAATGCTTTTCGAGAGCCGCACACACTGGTAGCAGCTGTGTCAGGAATAGATGCATGCTGCTACAGCTGAAGCTGCACCTGCTGCGGCGTTGCTTCGCGGTTTCCTTGAGAGAGGCCGGTCCTTTCCAGCGGCAGCTGCAATCTTCCTGTGTCTCCTTTGCATGCGCAGCAGGGAGGCAGTGCGGACAGTTGTTGGCTGCTTCGATGAATGAGGCACGGGGTCTTCACGTGGAAGAGGTGAGTTCTCTGCAAGCCCCAGTCGCCGTGAGACCGCTTGCGTAAAGGGGAAGCTGGGAGGGCCAGGTTCCGAGGCTAAGATTGTTGAGGCCGGCTCATCGATTTAGCGCCTAGGTGTCGTTGAGGTGCCGCCATCCACAGCAGCGAATACGGCTGCGCACCGGCCTGGAAATCCGTAGGGCGAGTGGGGAGTTCTGTCTGTGCTGCAGGCTGATCTAGTACTGCTCCTGGGCCGTGTACAGAACCCCAGGGAGTACCAACATCTCGCAGGTGTGTTAAATACTCGTCTGCTGCATGCGCATCCTTTTTCTCTCCCCTTGAGCTATGCCATCAGGCGCCGCTGCCTTCGGTGCCTTCGTGCTGCGGCAGCGCTGCTGTTGCTCATGTGCTACGCATTTATGTGTTGTGGCGATCGCAGGTCGTGTAGGCCGCTGTGGACGTCCGGGCCTTGCCGTGGCTATCTCAGATGCTGCAACACAGAGGTGCGCTTCGAAGGATGTACATGAAGCCTTTTCTAGGGGTTTTCCGGCCCTGTCTTTTCAGTTTTTTGGCGACATTTTCCCACTTTGAGGTCTCAACTTATAGACAGCATCTGCCCCACGATCTGCGACTGCGGGTCTCTAGGAGCACTGCCTTATGACGTCTCACATGGATGCGCCTCACCTATAAAGCTGATGCCCCAACAATGTCTCGCAGTCCACTGCTACCAGTCTGCAATGTCATATGTGTACAGAGTCCTCCTGGGATGGCAGCGGCCCCTGGGTATCGCATTTGAGTCATTCTCCCCATCTCTTTTCCCGCAAAGTCACGGCAGGACCATCTCTTTACCTCCCCGCCGCTCGATTGGGGGTCTCAAAATAACTGCAAGGACGGTACGAGAGAAAGCCGCCAAGAATATCGAGCGCCGCAAGGGCGTGCAGCGGCTGGAATCCCCTTGCCACTCGCAGGACGAGGAGGCTGCCTGCAAGGGACAAACGGAGGGGGATAAACTTATCCCCTGCCCTGATACACTCCATCAAGCCCTCGAGGCACCGCTATGTGGTAATGACACGCAACAGGAGATCTGGATGCCTCCACACGACGAAAAAGGGCTGGACTTCAAGGCCCTCGAGCTGCCCTCGCTGCTACTAATGTAGCAACAGTGGTCACCCCACGGGCTTCCTGTCTTTAGCGCAGATTACTGGCGCCACCCTGCCGAGACAAACTTAATGGCTTGCTAGCGTCTAACCTTCTCCCAAGCATCACCAAAGGCCCCCTCTAGGCCACAAATGGAAGACACAGTGCACAAATTGGAAGAGGCCCTACGTCCTTCCTGCTCTGTTTTACTTGTTCAAGCTATTGCGCTGCTTAAAAGTAAGGGGCGCTGAAGGCGTCCCGGCTGAGCTCCCCGATTACTTTACGGCCTAAAAGTGTGAGAGCCCCTTTAGATAGATGCACTGGTGCAGCCCCTGCGCTTAGTATCTGCTCCCTGCTGTCTCTCTAATCCCGTGTCTCTTGGTCCTTGCCTTCCTCTGGCTTGGGGTCTATCGTGTTGTCCTCTGCCTCTCAAGGCCACTAAGCTAGTTCAGCTGCACAGTGAATGCAGAAGCTGCACGTTACTTTGCAGCAGCAAGAAGCATCCTTCCGCTGTGCCGTTCTCCCCTTTCTTGACACTAACCCGTGTTGACACACACAGGATTGATGAAGCACGGATCTAGCTGAGCGTGAAATCAGCAGCAGTCGCAGTTCCAGCATTCCTGAAAGCCCAGGTGTCTCAGGATTTTCTTCCAATCCCCTATCCTGCTGATATCGTGCCATGCGGGGCATACAAGTCCCTCTTGTATGCCTCGTGGCGTAGCGAAAAGCATGCCCTCACGAAGCATTACTCGAAGTGAACCCGAAAAGCTCAGGCGAAAAGGTGCATGCATCGCCAGGAGATGAAACACCAGCATCTAATGGTGAGGGGTCTTTGGTGTATGCTGTGTGCAGGGCCTGAACAAGAAAGGCCCTGCTCAGCTCCTACTCGGGTGGCTTTGCTACCCCATGGGGATGGCTACAAGGTGCTGACGTCTCCTGCGTTGGCGATGAAGCCGAATTTGCCGGGAGAAAGCGATAAGAAGCCGCACGGCAGCGCCAAAGACAAGGAGACGGTGTGTTAGGAGAGCCACTCCTGCGCAGCAGGCAGCATAGAACGGAAAGCGATTTACGCTCCCACGAGGCGTCCCGTAGAGGACTCGCAATACACCGCTAGCCCACCAGTCCAGAGGTACCTGACGTGGTGCTCCAAGGGGACACCACACTCGCTAGCAAGCCGCAGCACCACGTGAGGCCTCTACCCACAGCTGCCACTGCCAGCCAGACTTAACAGCGCACAAATCGGGCTCCCTGGAGCTGTTGACACGGCCTCCTAAGAGTGGGGTTCACAGTAGCTTATAGCTAACCTGTTGCCAGCAGGAGGTAGCGAGCAACGCTGCAGGCCTCCAAAGGCTCCACGGCAGCCCAGGCTCCCAGCACCCACAAAGCTCCTACAATCTACCGAGGCACACAAACACACGCGCTCACCGACCCTTTGTCTCGAGCGACCCCTAGCGGCAGCTCAAGCAGAGTCTAGCAGACCGCTTAGGTGTAGCGACAGCACAGACAACACCAGCAGCAGAAATGTAGGCGCGCAACAACAGCAGCACGCTTACCACCTCGCGTCTTTCACAAAGCCTTGAGTGGTAGTAGAGGCTGAAAGAGACAGTCCTGCGTAACGCTTGCTGCGTCCACCAATGCACCGGAATAGCAGGCACTACCACGAATCGTCTAACAACAACCCCACTCCCCTTCTTTCAAGCAACGCTCGTTGGCCACTTCCTGCCTTCCAATGCTTCACCCAACCCCGCTGCGTGAGTCCCTTCCGCCCATCTCTCCCTCGAGCCCCCTCTGTTCCTCAGACGCACATGAAACTTTCTGATTCTCAACTGCATCGGTGCGGGAACCGCTGCAGAAAGGAGAGAGCGTAGCAGCGAGGCCTCGGAGCAGTCCTTGGATTCAGCAGTCTCGAAAGCCTTTAGAGATCCGGGGCGGCTGGCCTTCTTCCCATTCGAGGCCCCTGTGCCGCCTCCTACCGAGCTGCCAACGCCACGTGAAGCATCTGCTGCTTCTGCACCCTCAGATCTAAGGCCTCCCTCGGTCCCGCTGGGTGGGGGTGGCATCTGGATGAAGGAAACGATGAGCAGCAACATGCCCTAAAGCACCAAGAAGCCGCACACCGCAAAAGAACCAGCGATGGCCGCGCGCGTTCCTGCTCTACAGTGTACTGTAGTGGCGGAAAAGCAGCAAGCAAACATGCGCTGAGGTCGTGCATGCTCCAAACAACTACTAAGGCCGCACGGAAGAGTCGGGAGCTGAGGGCATGCCTACAGCAAGACAGGATTTAGGGCTTATACAGACCAGCAAAAATAAGAAGGCCGCCGGGAAGAACTGGGGGTGCAGCCAAAGGAACACAAATGTCAAGAGCGAAGCGATGCTTAAAACCGGCCGTTCCCAATACAGCGCGTCGTATAGCCCTGTAGCAAGCACACCCAAGGCCCTATGGGCAGAGGCAAACAGACAGAGGAGCAGATCGTGCCAGCATCGTGGACACCTTACAGCTGGCAGGAAGACCCCAGCCAACGACGTAGCACCCCAAAGCGCAGCAGCAGCGGCAGCAACGACGGGTACAAAGGCTACAACCCCTGTGTGCAAATAGAGGCTGCAGATATATGAAGCACACGAATACGGCTGCGGCATCACCAGCACAAGCACAAGCACACGCAACAACACCAAAAAAAGCAACCCTCCTACGCACCCCTCTGTCAGTTTTCTGTGTGCATCTTGAAGGTCGGCCCAGAGCAAGGGAAAATTCAGAGGCGAAAGCACGGATTCTTGAGCTTCCCGAGGAGTAGGAATAAGCAGGGCAGCAAGCTCGTCGAGAGTGTGAATCTTCCCGCTGTCGGCGTTCCTGTGAGGCAGCAGCTGGAGCAGCAGACGCATCCTGCAGCCTCCGAGGTCCCCCTGCTGCACTAGCTGCTGAGCGCTGCACGTGATTGCGTCGCTGTCGAGCTCTGCAGTATAAAGAGCGCCGTCTGTATCGCCGCCGCTGCTGCTGCTGCCGCCGTGTTTGCAACAGCTGCTGTCTGCTCCACAAACAGCGCAAAGAGATTCCTTCAGCAAGGCCCGGGTATCCACGGAGGGGTGCAGCTGCCGCGTGCCTTGCAGCAGCGCAATAGCCTCTTCCTTTCCGGAGAGGGCTTCCTCGTCGAGTACAGCAAACGGAACAAACACCGCCCTAAACAACGACAATACGCTTAGCAGCAGAGGCAGCTTCTCTAGTGGGGACAAGCCACTGGAGAAGCTCGCCGAAGCACCAACTTCCCATCTCCTCCCCTACCCCCTTAAGCCCCTCCATACACCCGGCCGCTCCTATAGGCGTCCTCGCCAGCACACGAACTCGGACCGCCGCAGCGACCCCCACAAGTGAAGTATGTGCGAGCTTTTCTGCACCCATATATGAAGAACCCGCAAGCAAACAGAGGAAAAGGCGGGGCGGCGACAGAAGCAACAGAGCGTCATCAGGGGGTGCAAAAAGGGAGAAGGCCTCACGTGATATCGTAGATGCGTCTTGGCATGAGGAGGTGCAGCTGGAAGTCCAAGGAGCCCAGCAACTCGTCGCTCCCGAGGAACGCAGTGGAAATATCTCTGTCATAGAGCGCCACTCGCAACAAGCTATAAGGCTGGTGCACCTGTGGCAGACACACAGGCCAAGCAGCGGCAGAAGCAATTAGAAAAAGCAGCAGCAGGAGCAGCACCAACAACAGTGGTACGAAGGGGTTGCATCAGGATGGATAGCATCCAGAAAGGAGAAAGGCTCTGCACATAGGCACCTGCAACTCAATCCTCTCATCCCACAGTCCTCTCAGCAAGGCAGTATCCAGGGTGGAATCCCCCGAGGCGACAGGCTTGCAGTGCAGCACAGCGCTCCGATAAACGTCCTGCCCGTTCAGGCTGACAACCACTGCAGCGGCAGCAGGCGGTCCAAATCAGAGCGCAGTGCTAGATATTGCTAGGCTGTTGCTAGGCATTATCTCTTGTGCAAAAAAGGAGGGGCCTGCCTGGAGCTGTTCGAGGGTGGATCGGCAGATCTTCGGCACCAGAAGCAAATAAGGCTTGCTGCAGAAAAAATGCTCGCGCGAGCGAGGAGGAAGCGCTAACAGCGGCGAAGAAAAGGAAGAGCCTCACCATATGGCCTGTAAGGTACGTGCAGAGGAGGCCCCTTGGAGGCTTCCTCCCCCTCAAGAGGCTTCGAGATGTCTTCATCGGGCAGCCACTCCTCGTCGAGCACCTCCGGCAGCACGTATGCCAGCAGCAACTGCACCCGTGCGTAGCCCATCTGATTGCACACAGTGCAGCAGCGGCAGCAGTAGCAAGGAGGTGAGTTGCGGAATACCGTCGCAAGCAAGGAGCATTTTAAGACACAGTCTGCCCCAGACCCCCATATTGCGAAAGTTGGTGCGGCCTGACTGCACACAGAGAGAGCGCAAAAGCAGCGTTGCGCGCGTGCAGCGTGAGCACTAGCCAGACAAGGCATTTGCACACTGTCTTCCTGAGGTGTGCAGCGACAGACAGGATGCGTGTGGGCATTGCAGGGGGCATCCCATTGAATGAGGCACTCAGAAGCCTTGGCTTCCCAATGAAAAAGGTAAGGTCTATTTTAAAGCGGCTGGCTCCCGTCCCCCGCCGCTATGCCTCTTCTCGCTTTGGCAGGCCGTCTGTTGCCGCCTGTGGCGCACTGACCCTGCAAAAGGCGTTCGCCGCTTCCTCCGGAAATATCAGACAGGTGAGTCTGCTGAAATCCTTGACGGCGGAGAAGGCTTTGAAGGCGGCGGTGGTGGACCTGCGGGTTGCTGTGTCTTGTGCTCCCTGGGGAGCAGCGCCCTTGCAGGAGCGAAGAACAAGAGGCACTCCATCGGGCAGCACTGCAGGAGCGTACGGATCTGCAGCTGCCCCTGTGGCTGCGCGCAAGAAGGAGCCTCCAGAAGCTCTCCTGGAGGCTAGGCCTCGCAGAGAGGCGGCGCCTCGAGAAGCGTCTCCTGTTTCCATGAGAAGAGGCGGAGAGGCTGGCACCAGCTGCAGAAGCGGCAGCTGGACTGAAGACAGAGGGAGGGAGAGGGAAGGAGGAAGGCAGGCAGCCAGGGGTGGAAGGCGGCTGCGGCACTTGCGAGAGGCCTCCCTGCAGTCTAGGGAGCGGTGGGAGGCCTCGTGCAGCTACCCGTTGTTATGTGTCTGGCCAAAACGAGCCAGCAATAGCAGCGGTGCCTCCTCTGTAATGCCAGAGGGAAGCCCTGAGTCTTCGAGGGATAGTCAAAGCCTCAGAAGTAAGGGAAGAGCAGCAGCACACCCTGTGGCTGCTGCTGCTGCGCGCTCTCTCTACGCGGTGCGTGTGACTTCCCGGAGACCTCCTGCGCTTGCTGATTTGGTAGCTGTCTCGCTTGGCTCTCAGCGCGAGAAGCTCGCAGAAAGGGCAAAAACTGCTTTAGGCGCTGCTGCTTTCACGCGTAGTGTTTCTATTGGCATGCAAGATCAGCGCCGCACAGCAGAGGACGACGCTCAAGGTCCGAGTCGCTGCGCTGGCGAGGCCCCCAGACGACACGTTAGAGGCAAAAAGTATTTGGCGAACTGCAAATGAGACATTCCAAACCCGTTAATCAGTTCAAATAGTACTAGCATGCGTCCATTAAGGACGCGGTGCAGCAGTGGTCATTCGCGTAAAACGTAGCGCAGCAGCTTGAGCTGTATATGCCTTCCCTATGCGAGCGCCACACCGTCAAGGGCCCCCGCCCCCCCCCCGTGCATGGCATTCCTTCTGCTGCTAATTGCTGCCAGTTTTATCGCTGTGTCCAGGCTGCGGACTGTGAACATATATCGTTTTCCGCCTAGAAAGGTTTCACCTTGAATGAAACAGCCCTTTCAGAGTGGCTCCCCTGCCGGAGGTGAACCCCGCGCACCTCATTGATGGATGCAGCTGCAGCTGTCTTGTTCGGAGAGTGCCGCAGCGACTAAGGGAGCATCAGCCGTCATTTCTTCTGCTTTACGGCCTTCGCGGACGTGGAAGGAAGGTCTTTGTCAAGCGGAGCTGCGCACCTCTCTTCAGGGGAGTCAACTCTCGCCAGGGGGTATATCTAGGTACACTCTGCATCTCTCCCCCCCAGCCCCCTCTCCCGCGCAATCCACCACGCTTGCCTCTACTGTCGCCGATCTTAACGCACACAACTTAGCCACTGGCTGGCCCTGAAGGCGGTTAGATCCCGAGCGCCTGTTGGGGCAGACGTCGCCGTTTGATTTTTCGAGTTCAAAACAAGTAGGGGGGAAGGGCGGCCTGCAACTGCGAGAGCGGTGCAGCGGCAGCAATTGGAGCATCTCTGCAAGAACAACGCTTAGTAAAGGTGCTCACACCTCGGTAGCACACCCGCGCCTCCGCGATGGTTGCTGCAGCGTCCTGTAGTGGAGGGCCCCTGCCAGCGACTGCCTCCTCTCCCTTCGATGGCGAGGCTGAAGCGAGTTCGCATGAGGGTGCAGCTTTCATGCCTGTGGAGGAGCAGGTTCAAGGACCAGCCCCTGTATTTGCGTCGGGGAATGCGGACTTGGAGCGGCGGCTGTTGCAGACTTTTTCAGCGCTAAGCCTTCCAAGTTTTGCTCCCTCCACCACAGGCCCCCCAGCAGCGGCACCAACCGTTGCCGCTCGCGCCTCTGAAGCCCCAACTTCTGTTGCTGAGGGGCGTGAGGAGCTGCCGCAGGCTAGACAGGAACGTGCAGGAGAACCCGCTGCTGCATGCTCGTCACCAACACGGCAGCACGTGGAAGATGAGGGTACACACGGAGAGAGGGCGCAGCCAGCCCTCTCTGCTGCTGCAGACAGAGAGGCCACTGCAGCACAAGCTGCGCCTCAGCACACATCGAATGGAGTGCAACGCCAGCCGTCAGGCAGAGGGCCCTCTCTGATCCGGGCAGAGTCTCCTGGGGCGTGGAGTGAAGCAACAGACAGCACCGGGTGTACAGACACCCCAGACTTGGTGCGGCCGCCGGCTTTCGGCTCGTGGGTACATTACTCTCTCACAGATGTGCCTGAGGAGGCGATGACGGCCAGAGGCATGCAGAGAGCCTGCAATTTGCTGCTGCTGCAGCGCAGGCATGCACCAGAAGCAGCACCAAGCAGGAGCAGCGTCGGAAATAACAGCAGCGCTGCGAGCAACACCGGCTCAGCTGCAGGACCCCCATGCGTAAGCACTTCCTTCACCCCCGGGGAAAGCGAAGAAGCAGACGACCCCCGAGTCTGTGTAGGCCCCCGGCGCAGAGGCTAAAAGGACCTCATGCCGATTTTTGTCGCACGCTAGACGGAGGCACAAACAGACGGCGTCAGGGAGACTGTGTCTCTCTCTCCAGCGCCGCGTTTGCACCTCCTGTAGTGCTTTCTCTGCTGCTGTACGCTCTCTTCGGAGTGCACATACATACGCAGCTTTCAATTTGCTGATATGCTATTTTTCTGTCCAAGGGGGCGGCTCGGCTCCACTAACGAGCCGTCGCAAGCGAGACGGGGTAGAGGCAGGGAAGGGAGACAGACAGACTAGGCACAGATAGGCACACACACGGTACAGGGCGTTTTGTAAGGGAAACGAGGGCCTGCTTTTGTTCATCCTGGAGGGAGTATCGGACTCGACACTTGCATCATCGATATATATATATATATTTGCATGCCCATACAGGCATGCTGCAAGCATATGCAAAATGCGGAGACGCCCTCTCCCCAGGTTTTGGGGAGAAGAAATCTTTAGGAGAGCAAAAGGGGCACTATATACCGACATGGGAATGTGCAATCGCATTGAAAAATTAGAGAGTAGCCCTTTAATGGCGTCATTCGAGGCAAGATCTATCTGCACTTGCACGGCAGCGGGCGGCAGCCCCCTAGCCAAAGGCCACTCATGGGTGCTGCGCAGCATAGCAAAAACGAAGCATTCAGCGTTTTTCGATGTGCGGCAGATAAAGCCGTGCAGCAAGTGCACAGGAGATGCCTCCTGCTGAGCAGTTGAAAGGAAACTCGCTCCCGCCCCCTTCGCCCCCGCGTCCTCCACCTACCCCCACACCCCCGTCTCGCGAAGAAAAAGATTCCCCCTCCCCTTCCTGCCTGAGCTGCCACCGCTTCTCCAGCCCTAAAGATCCCCGTTCTCATGAAGGGGACGCATGGAGACAGCCAGCGCTACAACGTAATAACTTTGCCCAGGATACGTTGCCAAGAGGAGATCCCTCCCACGCTGCGGAGGCGCACGCCATGTCACGCGTATGACCGCAAGAAGTCTGGAAGATGGCCGTCGAATCGAAGCACAACAACGCCCATATAAAGGGGCATTTAGCTGTACAGGAAGAACATATGCTCCCGAGGGGGCTGCTCCTACGTAGCTGCCCTCCCCCCCGTAGCCTCGCCTTGACGACGCCCTATGCTGTACGCTGAGGGGGAGGACGGAGGCGCGGCTGCGCAGTTGTATCGTGACAGCCTGACAATATCCCCATTAATGATCTTGGGGAAAAGGGCAGAGGGCCTCAAAGGTGCCAGAGTAGCCTTGGCTGCAGCCGAGATTGAAGGCCATATGATCTCTCCGTAGGATATGGGACGAGCCCGTACCATGAAGTATATGTGATTGCTCCTGCTCGCTGCTGTTGGTCCCCCTGCTCCTGCAGTGGCTGCTGGCGTGACTTCGCTTCCTCTGTGTGCTGCTGCTAGGCTGCAAAAAAAGCTGTGCAGGCGGCTGGTGCTTGTGCGACGCAGTGGCGTTTCCGGGGGCAGCCTCGTGAGAGGCTCGATCGATACGCCTGCGGAGAGCAGGTGAGGAGCTACCGCCCTGAAGAGTATGAGGCAGCTGGGGAAAGACATGAAAAGCAGCAAGGCCAGGCGGAGGAGAGACTGGGTGCTGAAGATGAGCAACCATATAAGGAGATACGAGATGTAGAACAACAAAGTCGTTGGAAACAAACACACGGCTATCGTAAATAAAATACAACCAATCAAGAGCTGATCGACTTGCAAATTCGCGGAATCCACGCGCCGCCGCAGCACATTCCACTTCTGGCCCCTGCAGGCAGCAGCGCACACAGAGACACCCCGGCAGCAGCAAGTAGACGATCTAGCAGAGAAGGCCCGTCCAATTTTTAGCAAGCAAGCGCGCATACACGCATGCAAGTATATTTCTATACATGCATGCATGCAGACACTGGGTACACAGCCCTGCGCCCGTACATTCGCTGCTAACGCGCGCATGCAGAGGTTCTCGTCCTCGAATAGATGCACACATATATTTACAAGCACTCATACAGATAAAAGAGACTGAAATGCTGGCATTCACGGGGACGCCGAACTCGAAATCGCGCAAGAAACGCATGCGGGCACGGACTAGAAATCCCATGAGGGAAGGAAATCGGTTCAAGGGGCCGTTCTCTCTCTTCTCCCTAGGCAAAATGAAGAGGCGAAAGAGGCCGTCAAGGCCCCTTTCGCAAACGTCTCCGTCAACGGGGCTGAAGAGAGAGAACGCCTTTTCCTGGGTCACACACAGTACCCACCTGAATAAGAGGAAGAGCGAGTGCAGGCTCTTGAGGTTGACGTGGAAGAGCCTGGCGCATACGAGGTAGACGTAGAATATGTGTAGCGTGACAAGCATGAGCAAATCCGCGGAGGCTGCAGCAAACATGGAGGCGGAGAGGCCCAGCCACCCCAAGCGGAATGTTGTGAGGAGAGTTCCCAAGCCAGCCTTGAGCCACAAGCGGCAAACCCCCCAAGCCCTCTGCGCATAGCTGGCAGGATCTTCGAAGCTGGCTGTATCCGAGTGGCTGTGACTGTTGCTGTTGGCGATGCTGCTGTTTGCCGTAGGGGTGGCGGAGACGGCGAGACGCTCCGCAGTGCCTTGAGCAGGAGTCATGGTGGTCGAAGGGGCCTCTGAATTGAGGGCCTGTGCTGTGTCTGGATTTCTTCTAAGCAGCTTGTGGAGGGCGCTAAGGCCGTTTACTGCTGCGCGTTTCAAAGACTCGAGAATCATGAGTCCACTCAGAACGCCGCGTTGATCCGCGCATTCGCTGGCTGTCTCCTGCTTCTCGAAAAAGCCCCACTTGAGCTGCTCTGCAGTGCGAATGGCAGAGTGCAGATACGATGTGGCGTCATTCCATATATTGATAGCCGTCAGGATCACCGAGCCTAAGACTCGCGTGAGATTTGTGTTCAGTTTGAGTCCTGCTGGGAAATCCATGAGCCAGTGGACATGAGCCGTCAGCAAGTGCAAGTGCAGGAAGCAGTAGCAGGTGCTGAAAAGGTTTACCAACACTGACGATGTGGGCTGCAGCATGAGCTCACGGAAGGAGGAGGGAAGCCTCGAAGACACCTCCACGTCTCCTTCTCCCTCTGTGGCGCTGCCTGTTGCTGCCGAGGCGTGAGGACACCCCAGTCTCTCCCGACGGTTCTTGCGAGTTGTCTCGGAGTCGCGCGCTTGGAGGCTAATTGCTATCTCGGGAAGCTTTCCCGTCGTGTGGTAGCTGACGGGGGGGGCAGCAGGAGACGGCGGCTGGAGGGGGTCACGCTGCGTCTCCTCTGCAGGCAACTCCTCTTCGCTATGCGGCGTCAACAGCGGCTCCGGGTACAGCACAGGCGCTGCAGCATACCCGAGAGACACGGGGAACAAAGGGGAGTGATCCGTCTGCTGGAAATGGGGTGCTCTCGGGAGGGCAGGAGAGAAGGGGGAGCAGGCGTCCGTGGGAAAGACGCTATAGGCGAGCACTGCAAGGAGCTGCGGAAGAAAGAGGCCAAGGAGCAAATCCATCAAGACGACAAAGACACCCCCGTACAGCCACAGAGCAGACACCGACAACTCCCTAGGCAGATACTTGCGGCGAAGGGGAGGCTGCACGGGCACCAGCGGGGGGACGCCTTCTGTTGCCAGCTGCAGCTCGCCAGCCGCTGCAGCTGCAGCAACCTGCTGCCGTTGCTGCAGCCGCTCCTTATGTCCAGTACACCGCAGGGCAGCGCCAAATCGGCGCATGCGGCGAAGAGACGCTGGCCATGTTGCCAGCATCTGCAGGCGCAGCACCGTCTGCTGCACTGACGCGGCAAGCCGCCATATGCTGTTCCCAACAGCGAACGGCCTCCAGAGGGGTAAGCCACACACGAATCTGGAGAGGTGACCACAAATACCAATGAAGCAGAAACAAAGGCAGCAGACGAGCTTGGAGAAGCAGGACGGACTGGCACGCGAGCAGCACGCATGCCACATGCGGGAGACACACGAGACGCCTTGCCGCGGCTTCTGCTGCTGTGCCCGCTGATACAGCCCACTGCTCTTGCTCCTGCTAGAGACTCCCACACCTCTGCTACTGTCCGTAACTCTGGGAGCACCTGGTGGCGCTGCTCTGGCTGCCTGCTGCTCCAGCTGTAACTCCCTCCAGCACTGCAGCTGCTGATCCGTGCTGTAATGCACAGCCGCAGAAACATTCATGAGCGAAAGTGCCGCCTCAAAGCCGCAAACGCTCTCGCCACTGGGCATCTTCTGCATCTGCTCCTCGGTGAGAGCTCCAACGCCCTGTGCAGTCTGACGCAGGAGCGCCCGCGCTGCTGTTGGCTTTTGGACGAAGGCGGCAGCAGCTGAAGCCTGTGCTGCATCGTGGGGAGCAGCAGCAAGCGTTCCGCAGGTTACCCATGACGGCATGTCATAAAGAAAAACGCCGCATCGGGAGGGAGGCTTGCCACCTCCAGAGGCGAGCCTCGCTGCCGTTGCAGTTGCGCTCGCCGTTTGGGCTGCTGTTGGAGGAGAGGATCCCTTTCCCGCTGCTGCATCGGCTTCTGTTGGAGACGAACGAAGCCGTATGTCGGATGCTGGAGAAGGAACGCCTGTGCCTACGATAGACTCCGCATCAACCTGCGAAAGGACGCGAAGCGGCACGGGGAGGCCTGTTGACTCATCGAGCCAGACGTCCAGCCAAACACCCCTTCGCTGCTCCAAGAAGCAGCCTTTCTGCTGCTTCTGCTGCTTCTCAATGAAGTGCAGAACCTGCTTTAGCACTGCAGCTTCCTCGTAAGGGCAGCTCGCGTCGCAGTCTGCCCCGCGGCACCAACCAATAAGCTCGACGTGCTGCGGCAGCACGCTGTAATCAAACGTCTGGACATCCCTATCGCCCTTTTCGGGGTTTTTGCTGCTGCAAGAGGGGCTGCTGCCGTCATCGCTGTTGCCGCTGGTAGTGGTCGTGCTGCTGTTGCTCGAGATATGCGGCCTGACTAGGCGTTCGTTGAGCTGCTTCAGAAAGAATGCCACGAGAGGCGGCGGCATCTCTGGGAGCACTGCACAAGCCACCGCAGTTCCATCCGTCAGCCCCCAGCCAATGATCCATCCTCTGGAAGCCTTGAGGAGCGACACTGGAAAAAATACCCTGAACAGCCGACCGCAGGGGGGAGAAAAATTCGCTGTAGGGGCCCCCGACAACACGGGAATCCCAGAGGCGCCTTCCCCACTGTCTTGCAGATCCGGCAGCTGCTCAAGAGCCGCTTCTAATGGACTACTCTCCGAGGGTGATGCCACGCATACAGCCGCGGCTGCAGGCAGCGGCCCGCCTCGAAGCATCTTCTACCCTAGGCCCTTAGGGCTCCACAACGGGCGGAAGCAGAGAGCCACAAGCCGCGAATAATTAAAGCTCCACTTTAAAAAGCATTTGCAAGGGATGGCATGAGTAGCCTCCTACAGACTCCGCAGAGCGGTCGGAGCTGCAGCAAACTGGGCTGCCCATACTACGCCTGACCCGCAAAGAGGCCTCCAACAAGCCCCCGATACCCAAGGCATGCCCGTATTCAATAGAACCATTGAAACGAAATGCTTGCTTGCCATAGCAGCCAATGGACAGCGTAGTTGCTCTTCCGCAGACAGCGGCCGAACAGAGTAGGGGGGCCCCGCTCGCCAGAGGCGCGGGGATTTTCGTCACCGCGAAACAGCCGATCGTGGGCTAACTCTGCCGCATTTCGCTCACGACAGATATGAGGCCTCTACTTTAAATCAAATAAAGTGCCGTCTGCAAGTCAAAGCGGTTTCCTTATTGATGCGCATGCGCTCTGCTGTCACCTCCCCATCCGTGGACCATACTCCCCAGGCCCATCCCAGTGATGCGATAGCTCGAGGCATACCTACCAGGTCTAGAGAATTCCACTCGAGGGCAGGTAGACAGGCGGGATGGACCCGCTCTATTTAACCCCCGAAGCTTGCCCTCTGTTCGTCTCACTAGCCTTGCCCTCGCGCGTGTCCACCTACGATCTGCAACCCGTTGACTGCTTTGGCGGTTATCACCTCCCATCGCTTTCTCTCGGTGCATGTCATATAAACCTAGATCACCTATACTGCGCCTTGAGGGCGCAATGCCGCATTGGTGCGTTTTTACAGTAACATCAATCAAGACTGAGTTTCGACCACTCTAGCGTCTGTCTGAGTCTCTACCTCCAGCACAACATAGCACAAGCACACGTATGGTCCAGCGCAGGAGGCCTGTTGTAAACTGTAGGGCCAGTGGTGCGTGAAAAAGGCGAACACCACGGCTGTGCGTGGTTCACAGGTTCTCCACCTTCAGGGTCACTGCCTGGATGCCCCTCCGTTGCGGCACAAGCATCAGTGGTGCTGCCAGCCACTTAGAGCCGTTACATGTAGCTGAAAACCCTCAAGAGTTTTCGCAGCTATGCATATCGCTGTGACATTGGTAGCGCCACAAACGCTACAGGTTGGCACTTTCTACTAGATTAGATACCGAGGCAAGATGAGTCAAGAATTACCTATTGATTCGTCTTTTCTTATATCTTCTTTCATGCAAAGTACTGCTCAGCTATGTACATCGCTATGGAATTGGTAGCGCCACAAACGCTACAGGTTGGCACTTTCTACTAGATTAGATATCGAGGCAAGATGAGTCAAGAATTACTAGTTGATTCGTCTGTTCTTATACCTTCTTTCATGCCAAGTACTGCTAGCTCAAAACAAGAAGATGTATTGTTGTCTGTGTACACAATAGATGCTCCGTGCAACTGGCCGTGAATATGAGGAGGGCTTGGAAGGTGCACTTACGCGCACCGTAGCAGCCTTTTTTCGCATGTGGGGAATCTAAGGCGTAGAAGCAGAGTAAGATGGAAGTTTCATGAAAGACACCATGGTTTCTAAATACGTTATTTTTGAAACTGGGACTGTCTCCCTATGGAGACCTCTGATAGAGCTCTACGCCCCAGTTCTCATGTCACAAGGTTACTCGTACAACAGTTATGTGTGCCCCCGACGTTGCGACGACTCCATCAGAATAACCAGTGAAAGAGCCTTCGGTAGCTTTTTCTATCATCCGATGCTGATGTGTTTGCGCTTCTCACGAAGGTTTGTATCCAACACACGGTAGTGAAAGAGTCCTTCGAGACGCCCTCACAACAAAAAAGGAACAAAGATTGGGACTAGCAGGAGAGGATGGTTTCCTACATCTTTACACGACGCGAAGTGTCTTTCCGTATATCGGTGCCTTCAAGCCGAAGGGAGCGTGTCGCCGGGGGACGCGACAAGGCAACACGGTGTCTAGTGCCTCCAAGTCACATTATCTCTCCATGCGAAACTACATGCCTAGGGCGCGGAAAAGACCTCGAGCTAGGTGCAATGGCACTGCTGGGAGGTTCGGGGTTGGTGAAATACACTCATGCCCGACTGGCGGCCGGCGCGAGTTTCTGTGAAGACTGGAGGCTTGAAAATAAATATCCTAGCAAGGCTTATCTAAGCCTGAGGTAGCTGAGGCGCGCACCATGCCGCAATCCTCGTCGGGGTGGCGTTCTTACGAAATTTTGTCGCGGTGCTCGCTCGCCATGTGACCAGTGAGACGTGTTGTTGGGGGAGATGCACGGCTGTACTGGTTTGTGTTCTGAAAATCGAGAAAACAAATAGTCTTTCGAGAAAACATTGAGGGATGCGTTATGTTTGTGCCTCCGAAGTGGGGGCTTCAAGGAGCTGCTGCAGCAAACGGTCCGTCCACCGGTCATCAATGTGTGAGTGCGTCGAGAGCGCACACACTGCAGTGATGGGAGTTGTGAGGCAGACTATTAGTCTGTGACACTACTTTTAAGTTCTGAAACGGCATACTTGGATAAAGGAAAGCTGGCATCCCGGAACTCTACACGCTGCAAGGTTTTCCTTGGTTAGCACCGCGACGCATCACAGCTCCCTTCCTGCAGAAGCTGCTCGTCTTTGAGTGTCTGATTCGGTGGCTTTCCTTGCTACTCTTGTCTGGTTACTTAATCCATAGCAATTCGGTTGTCCCCTCCATTTGCCGGGGGCATCATCTTCAGGAAGGTGGTACGCTTTGCAGTCGTGCATCCGCTTGCAGCAGAAACAAGACCAGACCAGTCAATTTGTGCCCGGGAGCTGCCCCTTGTGTGGCTCTATGGATTACAGCAGGCGTTCTCGTGAAACTTCATTTCCCTTTACGCGCAGAAGCGTATTCGGCCGGTATCTCGTTTGCTCGTCGTGTCTCTGGTGTCCCCCTGTATGATCTCCTAATAGTTTCAAAGCATTCCTTTGCATCTTGCCTTCTTGTAGTTCCCAAAATGAATTGCTGCTCGGGTGAGTGCGATGACGGGAAGGATTCTGACAATATCACCAGGGAACCAAACCCCCAGCAGGTTCTACAGTTCGTACAGTCTGGCAAGTCAATTCAGCATCCTCTAAAGGCTGCAAACACCAGCACAAATGCGGATGCCTTTGCGGCTGATGAAGTGGTGAGTCGTGCGTTAGTGAAGTTTGACTCTGTTCACATGTACCGTAGATCCTTTCCCCTTCTTCATGCGCTCATTTTTTTGCGCATGCAAATCCATGGGCTGCTGCTGGTTTTGTCTCATGAATGATGATGTAGTTGGTAGTTAATGAGCAGGTGCAGCTCCTGGCGCGCCTTGCTTATTGCAGATTTTGGGGATTGCCGATGGTGTCAGCACTGTGGAAGACGAGGGATTGGACCCCTCCTGGCTCCCCAAGGAGTTGCTGCAGCACTGCCTGGCGGAGTGTAAGTCGCGGCTAAAGAATGAAGCTTTGTTTGATGCCGAGGCTGAGGATCTTTTGTCAACTTGCGATATTGATCTAGCCTCGGCGAAGTTCCCGCTTTTTGTAATTTCCAAAGCGTCGGCCCTGTGCACTACCTACGGATCGACCACGTGCGTCTTGGCTATCTTGGATGATCAAAAACTCTGGTCGGTTAACATCGGAGATTCGCAGCTTATTGTCGCTCGACGGACGGATGTGGCACCGAAGCCGTATCCATGCCCTCAGGATTTCTCTTACTCCACTTGCCACGACGCAAGGGCACGCATCCCGAATCTTGAGGACTATGGAGGCTACCAGATAGTCTATAGGACTGTACCGCAGCAGCACTTCTTCAACTGCCCCTACCAGTTCACGCGCATGCCAGACACTGACTGCTCCGGAGGAGCCATTGTACGCAAGATGGCGCAGACCGCGGAGGTGGGATCGGTGCAGGTCCTGCCTGGGGATATCGTAATTCTTGGAACTGACGGCTTGTTTGACAATTTGTTTGACGACGATGTCTTAGATATCTTGAACAGGCTATGCTGGCCTGAGAGTCAACCAGGAAAGCCTCCCACAACTTGCCCCGCCGTTCTCGTTAAGGCGCTCTTGGATGTGAGTTTTTTGGGGGGGGGAGAGGGAGAGGCCAAGTGCCGCTGCCTTATCCTGCTAACCCATTTTCTTCTGCACACTGTACAAAGCCGCAATTCTGTTGCAGCATTTGTCGTCGCTGCACCCTCATCTCTCTCTGCCGCGATAGCGAGTGCCCGTCCTTTCGCATGCTGTCTCCGTGCTGTGCACTGGCTTGTCTTGCCCTGTCCTTCTCCTGAGTGTATCCTGCTGCAGACTGCTGTGAAGGCTGGGCAGCAACCCCCAGGCGTCTCCTGGCCAGTAGTAACCCCCTTCTCGAAGGCTGCCTTTGATGAAGTCGGCCGGCGTCTTGTGGGTGGCAAGCCAGACGACATTACTGCAGTTGTTGCGTACATTGTTCCTTCAGCGGAAGTGCAAAACAGCGGGGTTCTCTCGCCCAAAGAAGCGGCTTCAAAAGGGGTCAACTCCCCTCAGAAGGGCTGGGAGCATCCAGACTCTCTAAGGGCCATGGCTCATGCCAAGACGGCCGAGAGGAGAGTGAATAACTGCAGCAACGTGCAGAGACATTCAGATCTCGGTAAGGGATCACTTGGAAACATAGTACGGCTCTCAGAGCAGCGCTCAGAGCTTGGGGGCATGGGCGCGTGGTGTAGCCGATCGAGCTTCCCCCCCCGAGTGCTCGGCATCACCACACCCGCCATCAAGGCGTCCGTACACTCCGTGCCCAAGGTTCTCAAGGAAACCGAAATTAGAACGTTCCACCATTTGAAGGAGAAAGCGCAGCAACGCATTGAGACAGTCGTCTCTGCGGGGCCGGGGGGTCTTCGACAGAACGAAGAGCCAAGTCACAGCTGGGCTACTGGTGCGGCTGGTCTTCTCAATGCCTTTCGCAGCATGTTCGAAGGGAAGTGAGCGGAGGGAAGCGAACACGCGTGTGTGTATGCACATCAACGGTGTGTGCTCTCACGTGCGGTATGGCCCCTACAATGCGGTTTCTTATCACTTGCGTTCCGGTGTTTCGTTTCTTGGGGGCGCTACGTCATAGTGGTACATCACTCTGACCAGTCCTCGGCAACGTCGGACACATGAATTGACGCTATGAAGATATCAATATGCTTAGCAGCTGTCGGGCACCCAGCAGTAGCATCTTCCGCTCATGCAGCCAGAATTTACCAGGGCAGGGGCCCCGCCGAGGGCAAACCACGGGATTTCTGCAGCTATCACCTGCATAAATCCTTCATTCCCTGCAGTCTATAGGAATAGCGGTGTTGGCGATAGTAATTGAGTGGAAAGTGGATAGTTCGTCTGTTCTGTGTGGTCTAAGGAAATGGATGGGGTGGGGGAGGCAGCCTGGGAAGGACCCGTAAGAGGGGAGCTGACTTTTTCGCTACCTATCTTAACATTATCAGCAAAGCAGATGCACCAGTCTGCAACTGTCAAAATTCACTAGAAAGGGTCTCCGCTGAACCTTTATGGCTTGTGATTAGCTCCTCGCATAAGCCGTAAAGACGGGACCTTTGGGAGGGTTACGTGGTGTGAAGAAGTAAGGGTTCGTGGGGTGGTGCCAGTGTACAACTTGAGCATAGCGGGAGCTTCAAGATCCGTCTAACATCATACATCTTAGCGTTCTGTAGGGTCTTCAGAAAGACTGAGGATGTAAAGCCACAGGACTTTTTCGGTTCTGGGCACGCTTACACAGGCGAAGCTAAGCGAGAAGACGCGTTTAGGTGGAGACAGCACGCGTAGACAGCCTGGTTACATGTATATAGCTTCTTGGTTCTTTCTGTCCTGCTCTGCAAAGAATGGAGGCTCTGTAGGCATGCGAAGCCCGCCAGAGAGGCGTATGCTTCACCGTGGATATCGAGGAATACCTGCCACTACTTTTCAGTGCCAAATGAGCCTGAGCAGCCTTGATTTGCTCCTTTTACATCTTCTTTGGGGTGAGCCCGGCTAAGCTGCAGGCACTGTGCGTTAGTTAGCACAGGTAGCCGAGCTGGATCGCTGGGTACGAGCTACGTGACTCAATAGAAGCCTAATAGAGAGCAAAGAAGTGTCTCAAAAAAGTCTCTTCCTTTTACTGCCTGGACACCTCAGGGTTTCCGACCTAAGAAGAGAGGGGCAGCCAGTTTGCGGCTGGCTGTACCCTTTAAGCACACCCCAAGCACACACCGCTAATTGCACATTGCATGTAGCGCACAGGCATACTACGGTACAAGCCCTTTGTATCGTGCTCTAACGCCGCTCTGAGATAAAAGAGATCTACGAGACGAGCCGAATGGTAAATTTGTTTTCCCTTCTCAGCCAGAGATAACCGGTGGGTAGTAGTAAGAAGTGCTGATTTGCCTGGTTGATGCACACCGTGCCTGTGTATTGGAAGCCACTGGGAGCAACCTGTGTAAGAAGCCCTGCGGGGTCATCCTTTGCCGTGTATGTGCTTTATTTTTATGGTCTCCACAAGCTCACGTGTGCGCAAAGGAAGTGGGATTTCGTTCTTCCCAGCATATCTGTCGCCTAGTCGCTCCCAGCCTCTTTCCCCCTTCTGCTATTCCACACTCCTCTTGCGACAGGGATCGCTAAGTGGCAAAAAAATAGAGATCTTGAGAGGCTTCTACTCCCGTGCCGGTATTTCTAAAAAGGAGAGCACCGTCCACGCGCGGCTCGACTACGGCCCAGCGTCGGCGGCGCCTACCGCTGTATGGAATAGGGGGCAGGAGACCGTCAGTGGTCTTGCAGCCAATGCATTCCGTCCGTTCTTACTGGCGATTTAATTGTTTATTGCATCACGCAGTGCCGAGATGCACGCCTGGGTAGCCGCTAACTCCTAAGAAGCAACAGCCTGCCAGGAGGAAGGGCTCAGTTGTAGCCGCATGCCAAACCTGTCTCGGGTTGTGCGCTAGGCTAACTATGGGGGGCAGGCCCCCGGAAGAGCTATTAACGGTATTATCCATCTTATAGTGTATCTTAACTTCTGCGGAATCCTTTCCTCTGTGCTTATCTTCTTTATACGGCTGCGGCCGCTGCCGCGGGTTTGCCTCAGAGCAGTCCCCCCGGGGCGGTGCTGTCTGCTGCTACGCTGTCTGTGATTCTGGTGGGGTCCAAACCTTTTTCCTTCACGCGTCTTCTTCCTTCCATCGCAGTTGTGCCTTCAGGGGAGGAGCGCTTGGGGTTCACTGATAGCTGCCGCCTCGCTCCCCAGCAGCACGCCAGGCGGTGTGGCAGGCACTTCTTCTTCTGCTTGCAGGCAACAGCGCCATTGGGCACACAATCTCCCCTCCTTTGCGTATCGCTTCGTGTCATATTAAACACCCTCCTGGGAGGGGCTTCCCCTCCATCCTATGCTCGAATAAACCCCCATTCACACAACGTTCCCGCCTAGCCCTCCCTCGCCTGTCCTTCCCCGCGTCCACCCAGCCAAATGGAGCCATCAAGGGCAGCACCTGCTGCCTCCTCCGGGGTGTCTGAGGTCGAAATGGATGCCACAAGAGGGGGCCGCCACCAGCAGGAGGAACGCCAGCAGTACATTAGCAAGGTCCCATCCTCATCCTTCCTTCGCATGCTCCCCGAGAGAGTAGACAAGCTCAGTGCAGCAGACGCTTTGGTTGCAGTTCCTGTGGTAAGTAGAGAATTCCAGGTTCCCCCAGGCAACTGCCTTTGGACCCCTCAAAGGGTCTCTGCAGAAAGCGCTACCCCTCCCCTCCGCCTCGCCTCTTCTCTCGGTAGAGAGCAGCACTCCTTGCCCTTTCCCTCCGCAAATTTCTCTCTCCCTCCCATCCACCTGCAATCCTGTCTCTTTCCTCGACACCCCACCCTGGCCACAACCCCTACGCAAGCAGCCACGGAGAGAGTCCCTTGTGGGCAATCGGGGTAGCTCCTTTGAAAGGGCTGCTGCTACTAGTACTCCTGCTACTGCTGCTACTAGTACTCCTGCTGCTACTAGTACTCCTGCTGCTACTAGTACTCCTGCTCCTGCTGCTACTAGTACTCCTGCTGCTACTAGTACTCCTGCTGTTACTCGTACTCCTGCTGCTGCTACTGCTACTGCTGCTGCTGACGGGCTGGCACTCTAGTCTCTCTGTGTGCTGCTTCTGGGGCGAGGGGAGGGAAGGAGAAAGCTCGACGCTTCCAAAGAATCTCGTAGACAACGCCTGCGTGCCAAGGCGCTTCTGCGTTTTCGCACAGCCCGAGCAACAGCGACTGGTGGAAAGGTTCATTGAGTATGCCGAACAAGTGCGGGGGCCACAGCTGCACCTCCTGCGGGAGCACGACGGTTCCGATCTGGCCAAAGCCTTTCTACAACAGGTTAAGGAGCTGCAGGAACCGTTTGTTGCCGCAGACACAGAGGCAGATCTCCCTGCAAACGCTGCAGGGAGCGACAGCTCCAGCGCATCTGGGGCCGTGCTCTCGAACGCCAAAGAGGCGCACTTAGGTAGTAGCAGCACCGTCCTTTTCCGCTTGGTGGAAGGCGCTATTTCGCTGTCTCCTTCGGCAGTCCACGCGCCTCTTTCTGGAAGGGGCTTCCGGGGGCTTTGCGCTGCCGCGGATAGCGACCAGCATGGGAGCAGCACGATGAGCACCAACGGCGAGGGCGAGGACGACGAGGTTGTGTTTGCTGGCCAGCTCGAAAGCTTCCTCCAGCTAGCGGAGAATGAAATAGCAACTAAAGAGCTGACTGGCTGGGGTATGGAGGCAGAGGGGTCGGCTGCAGCGGTCAAACTCAGAAGTCGCCGCGTTCTCTTGGCGGGAGCTCTAGTGCCCATGGCGCTTGACGATACGCTGGTCTTGGAGCACAAGGTGACCCTGCGGAGGGGTGCGTACCAGCGCGCGAGCAGCACCAAGAAGCTCGATGCCTGCGAGACAGGAGGCTTGGAAGCGACGATGGCAGCTTCGACGGATGCTGCAGCAGACGTCGAGAGGCTGCGAGACGTCCTGCACATGCACGCATATGAAGGCCGTCTCCGTGTTATCCTTCCTGATGACCTCAAGGTATTCCCCACCATGACTCAGCGGCTAAGTTGCCTGACCAGGGGGTGCACATGCCCCCCGAATTTCTTCCTTGCGCTAGCAGTGCTGCCGCTGCAAGTGCCGTGCATGCGCTGCCTCCCTGATCTGCGTGATGTAGGTGCAACGGGGAGGACGGCGTGGAAGCTGGAGCCAGTCTCTAGACGCGAGTGTCGTGGTCTTGGCCCGTGCAGACGAACCGCGCTGTCTGTCGATATTCTATCACTTTAGAGAGTGAGTGAGATCTGCTCTAGAGTTGCGCTTCTCGTTGCTGTCTTGAGTGCTGCAGCTGCTGCTTGCTCGCTCTCTCTCTCTCTCGCTTTACTGCAGAGGTGCCTCCTCGACCCCTTCATATCCCTCCTCTGCCGGCATGCGCCTCCGTCTGTCCGGCCTGCCAGACTGCGCATGTGTCTGCGAGACCTCAGTCCTTTTCCTTCGTTTTCTTCGAGGCCTTTTTCTGCGCAGCCACGTGGAAGGCAGCTACATTATCGAATCAGAAGAGTGGAAGCAGCTGCAGAAGGCCCTCGCTCCGCTGCTTGCGTCTCGAGAAATCGCTGCTTTCAGGGGTCTCATACACACGCGAAGGGAACAGACAGGCCTTTGCTACGGACCGCCTGTTGGCCTCGATATGGTAAGCCACACACTCCAGAGGCAGAGAGCGCACACACGTGGGTGGACAGCTGGAGAGGGCATGGCTCTATGGAGACAGAGCAGACAACACGGACAGAGAGAGCACGAGAGAGTGAGAAGAGTAAGCAGAAACAGGAAGAAGATGAGCATGGGAAGTAGGTCGGGGACAACAGTCCAGCTGGAGGGCAGAAGAGGGTAGACAGAAAGAAAGAGAAAGAGAGAGAGATGCAGAAAGAGGGAAAGAAAGATACAGAAAGAGAGAAAGAGAGAGAGAGAGAGAGAGAGAGAGAGAGAGAGAGAGAGAGAGAGAGACAGAAAGAGGGAAAGAAAGAGAGATACAGAAAGAGAGAGAGAAAGAGAGAAAGAGGGTAAGAAAGAGAGAGAGACAGAAAGAAAGAAGGATACAGAAAGAGAGAAAGAGAGAGAGACAGAAAGAAAGAAGGATACAGAAAGAGAGAAAGAGAGAGAGACAGAAAGAAAGAAGGATACAGAAAGAGAGAGAGACAGAAAGAAAGAAGGATACAGAAAGAGAGAAAGAGAGAGAGACAGAAAGAAAGAAAGATACAGAAAGAGGGAAAGAAAGAGAGCGACAGAAAGAGAGAAAGAGAGAGAGACAGAAAGCAAGAGGAACAAAATATGATCGAAGCAAAAGGGTTTTTCTCCGCTTCCGAAGGCCCTTGTGTCTCTTTTGGTTCTTCTTCTTCTGTCTCGTTGGCGCTTTAATTTTGTGCAGTCGCCTGTGGGTGCCTGTAACCTGCACGTGCGGCTGTAGCTGATTTCGGTGTGGCACAAGGCCGCTGGCTGTCTCCTGCTGTTTCAAGGCGCTATTCCTCCTGAGCGCTGACTGTGTGTCTTCTGTTTGTTGCTGCAGCCGGCCTTTACGCCCTTACGCGCGCCGCGGGATACGTGTGACTGGGCAGCTCAGTTGGACGGCAGCGCAGTGGTGCAGTCAGATGCTAAGCTGCAAGAGTTTGTTCCGCAGCTGCGGCAGCGCTTCCAGACCCTCGGCGAGGTTCTCTCCTCCTTGAAGGAGCAAATGGGGGGCTTGGAGGCATTTGCTTCGGGGCACAAAGTCTTCGGCTTTCAGCGCATTAAATCTGGCGGGTACGTCGTCGAAAGGGTCGGCTGCGAGATACGAAGGAGGCATTTTTGTCGGTTTTTGCCAGAAACACCACACACAGGGATGTATGTGGTTTCCCCGCCTAGCAGCGTGCGCTGATGGTTCATGGCAGCAGATTTATGGGGCCTAGGAGCACTGGCTAGGGGTTGCCATTTGGTGCCAAAGCGTAGCATGCCCCTTGAGGGGACCTTCGGATGCGTCTTAGCTGCATCGTCGGCTCCAGTGTTTCCTCAAGCTGCCGTTTGGCAGCCTCGCCGAGCTGCGTGCTGCCAAATGCGATCAGCGGCCTATCTGCGTCAGAGGACTAGATGCCACGCCGCAGCAAACGGATGGGGCCTCTCTCTCTCGCTGCTGCTGCGCCCCTCAGCGCATGCGAGCCTTTCTGTGTACAGCGCATTCTTGTGCTTGCCTTCTCAGACTGTGCGGGTGGGAGTATCGGGAGTGGCTGCCGAACGCGAAGGCGGTGTATCTCTTTGGGGACTTTAACGGTTGGAAAAGGACGTCACACCCCCTAAATCGGGAAAGGCGTGCTGTGGCGCCTCACTTCTTTGAGGCCTCTTTCGGAGCTTTGAAGGGCGCGAAAGACGCGCAACCTCAATCGGAAACTAGCGACGAGCTCAGCTCTGTCTGGTCTATCTTCCTTCCTGACAATCCGGATGGCACGCCAGCTCTCTTCCATCGGTCAGTCTGCCGCTTGCGGAAGGGGGAAAGGGCCAGCGGGAGGGGAGGGGGCTTCCTATACGCGAGAACCACCATAAAAGGCGCACACACTCTATGAGCCCTCAAGACTCTTCCAGACAGCGGCTAGCCACTAGCCGGCTAGCTGTCTGGGACGCATGGCCGTGCAGTGGTCTCTGTAGAGCATGGAAAGGGTCCGACACGGTCGACACGTGAAGGCGGTTCAGCAGGAAGCCGAGACAAAAAATGCATGTCATGTGCCTTTCCCTAGATGATCTGATCGTGCCAGCCGAGGAGCCTGCTTACGTCCGTTGCCGTGTTTGGGAGCGGCTAGTCAGCGCGTTGGCCTCCTCTAATTTGCAGGCTCTGCAATTTGTGCTTCTCTGAATGCAGCTGCCGGATGCGAGTCTTGGTAGTGCCCTACGAAGGCGAGCCAATCGACCGAGTGCCTGCGTGGGCTCCAGTTGTTTGGCGCAGCGAGGACTCTGGACTATTTAACGCTGTACTATGGAACCCTCCGGAGGACGTGCGTTTATCCTGCTTCGCTGCTTTTTCTTCTGCTCTCTCCACTCCCTTCACCATTAGCTTAACGCACAAGGTCTTGTGCTCCATCCGCAATGCCGCTGTCCTTGACAAAAGCTGGTTCTGCGTCTCGAGATCTACCGCTCTGCACTCCTCATGACGAGGCGTTGACTTTCTTCTGCTCTCTCCACTCCCTTCACCATTAGCTCAACACACAAGGTCTTGTGCTCCTTCCGCAATGCCGCTGTCCTTGACAAAAGCTGGTTCTGCGTCTCGAGATCTACCGCTCTGCACTCCTCATGACGAGGCGTCGTCTTCGCACATGGGCACCGTTGCAAAGCGCGTGCCCTCCCCAGACGTGTCGCGCCAGCTGTGCATGTGCAGGGGATGCCAGTATGCGTTGAGGCGGCTTGTGCTTCTCTGCGCACGTGTGTGTTACAGGAACGTCACGTCTTTCGGCATTCGAGGCCTAGCTTTGCACCGGGAGTCTCCCCGTCGGTATATGAGGCCCATATCGGCAGTTCTTCCGGCGAAGAGGGCCGAATCGGTTCCTTTGTCGAGTTTACGACATCTGTCCTGCCGCGCATAAAGAGCCTCGGATATAACACCCTCCTGGTACGAGCGAGCCTTTAGAAGAGAAGCCGGTGTCCCTTTTCGCGGCCTCCTGCTTACCCACCTTCGCGTACTAACCGTGTCGGATCGTTTTCTTGCTCGCGTCTGAGTGCCACTTTCTCTAAAGCCTTCGTGCGTGCCGTGTCGCGCTACCCCTTAGTTCTCCCTGAGCGTGCATGAAACGTTACGTCCTCTTCAATTATGTCTGCGGTCTTGAGTATCTTTATCTCATCGGCAGCACCATGCCCTCCGGAGGTCAACCCGCATAGGGCCAGCCTTGTGCTGCCGTGAGGCGCACGCGGCTCCGAGATTGCATGGATATTGCCTCCCACCTCTGCTGCTGTCCTCCTATATATATATATACATATATATAGCCTCCTTGGCATGCTTTCTCTTTTTCTAGTGTCTTTCCGTGTATTTCCAAGACTTATCTACTGTCCACATATCTTGGCCCTATAGCGCTGGCTATCGTGGTTGGTTTGGATTTGTGTGCGTCGTGGGTGTGTGTGCATGTTTGTGTACAGCTACTGGACATTGTGGAGCATGCAGACTTTGCAAGTTTTGGCATCTATGTGACAAATCACTTTGCAGTGAGCAGCCGACTCGGAACTGTGGAGGAGTTTAAAGCTCTCGTAGACAGGGCGCATGCACTGGGGTTGCGAGTCCTCATTAGTCTCTGCCACGCGTACTCATCTAAGAACGTCATGGATGGTCTCGGATGCATGGACGGCGGAGACAACAACTATTTCATCAGTGGGCCTTCAGGAGTCGTTGAGAATGCGAGAGTCTTCGATTTCTCAAAGACTGAAGTGACCCGTTTTCTCCTCTCGAATATCTCCTATTGGCTCACCGAGTTCCTGTACGTCGACCACCCGCTTTTGGGGGGCATTTGCGTTTCCACTTTTACGTTTGCCTCTGCAACCGCTCGCCTCGATTTTGTCAGAGTCTTTTTAAAGTAACACAAAGGGCGCCAAACGGGCCGTTCTGCGCGTGCGTGTGCCGTGTCATCACGTCTGTCTGCATCCCTCTTTGTGAGCCGTTGTTGCCTGCCGTCCTCATGCTCCCGCTTGCCTCAAGCCCGTGCGTTCGGCTAGGGGGGCCTCTGCTTGCAGAAGCGCTGCGCCCTGGATCCACATTCTTTTTGGTGGCTATATGTGCGTCGCTTCCCAGACTTGACGGTTTCCGCATGGAGGGAGTTACGTGGATGCTGTACGAGCAGCGCAGTGCCCTGCGGCAGCCGGACCCGTACGATTATTCCACCTACTTTACCAAGGATTTATGTGCTGCTGGCGTGCTGTATCTGTCGCTTGCGAACTCGTTGCTATCTGCGCTCCTGCCCCCCGAACGTCGGCTCTCTATCGCTCAAGAGTGCACGGGGTATCCTACCCTCTGTAGGCCACTATCGCAGGGCGGTCTAGGGTTCGATTTCCGCCTTGATAGTTCGTGGAGTCAAAGTATCCGCCGCCTCATCAGGCAGTCCGGCCACCGACAGGGCCGTTGGATGACAGCGCCCTTTGTCTGGGCAATAGCGAGCAAGCCCAACACGGAAAAACTCCTTGTATCCGTCGACGATGCCGACACCACGCGCGTCTGCAGGAGGTACAGATGCAAAAGGGGGGGGAAGGGGGGAAGCACAGGCACACCTGCGGCTTGCGGCACTTACGTGAACGCGGCCACGTGGTGGAGGTCTTGATCCTGCTGCTAGACGCGAGAGGGCGATACCCCCGCTGCCTTCTCCGAGCTCCCTGCGATGCGGTAGTTTTGCTGTTGTTGTGGGTGCTGCAGACGACTGCGCATAGCTTTGTTCGCCTGGGAGTCTTTGCATACGCACGCAGTCGGCGGGGTAGCGCCGCATGTGACGGAGTTAGCGGCGGCCCTTTCCAGGCAGGGTCATGACGTGCATGTTTTTGTGCGCGCGACGGAGTTGTGCGGTGGCTGCTCTGTGCACTACGGGGTGGCCTACCACGAGTGCACGTTTGACCTCAACAGAGACTTCGTCATAGAGATACAAAACATGTGCGAAAGCTTCATTGCTTGCATGCAAAGTGTCGAGGAGTCTATGGGAGCCGAGTTTCAGATCTGCCACGCGCACGACTGGTTGGCCGGCAAGGCCCTCGTCAAGGCGAAGCAAATGGTAAGTTCGGTGGCAAGCGCACAGCCTGCACCTGAGTGCGACCCGCCAAAAGCAGCTGCTTGAGCGTGTTCGTGTCTGTAGTGGGTGAAAACGGCGCTTCGTCCTTGCCTCCACGCACGTATGAGCGCGTGCAGGAAGGCCTCTACAGGCGATGCTGTGGGGTGAGGCAAGGCAAGTGCTTGGGGGGCTAGCTGGCTTGTGGCTACAGGAATTCGTGGTGTGCTGTGCAGGGGAGGACTTCCATTCTTACGATGCACTCCACGGAGTTCGGGCGCTGTGGTAACAACAACTACGGTGGCGTTTCCAAGCGGATAAGAGATATCGAAGGTGGGCTCCTTCCGCCCTTTGTCCCTTCTGTTGTTGTGGAACGCGACGCCTACACCAACCGTCCACTGGGCATGGGGGTCATGATGAGACGTCCTTGCTCTCCTTTGTATTGCCTCGTGAGTGTGGTGATATGCATGTGTGCTTTTTTGGAGGGGGGGTAATGGCGTGCGGTTGGCGGGACGGCTGGTGGTGCGGGGGTGGTGAATGGCATACCCTCGCCATCAAGGGTCTTTGCTCCTTCTGGAATGTGGTAGAAGTGCCGTGTGCAAGCGAACTGTATGCAGCGGAGGCATGCCATATGGCGGACCGTGTGATATGCGTGAGTGGCGTACTGGCTGAGGAGGTGCGGGCGCAGTATGGCGTGCATCCAGCCAAAATGACGGTTGTCTACAACGGCATCAACTGCAACAAGTTTGACGGCGAGGTGGACTCGGGGGCTGTCAAGCATATGTACGGTGTAGGGGTCCTAGACCCCATGTTCCTCTTCGTTGGTAAGGCGTCTCGAGCGTCTGTGAGGGATGGTCTATCTCACGCTGGCTTTTTACGCATTACCGATACAGTGCTTGACGGCAGCGGTAGCTGAAAGCATGTATGATCGATCACCTATTGATGCAACTAGGTGCAAGGTAGTGTGCTAGACGCCGACGGACGTCTGCCAGCGAGTTGTTTTCCGTGTGCTGGGCCATCATGTCTGCTGCATGGCTGCCGCGCCGCACACACCTGTAGCGCTGCAGCGACACCTCTAGTCTTCCTGCACCTGCTGTTGCTTTGGGGTGTGTATACGCAGGTCGCATGGTGGTGCAGAAGGGTCCTGATCTTCTCTTGGAGGCGGTTCCCTTTATCCACAAATTTAGGGGAGATGCCAAATTCGTCTTCGTGGGTGACGGACACATGTTGGACAGCCTCAAGGGGCGCGCTGCCCAGCTCGGAGTAACGCATGCAGGTACGTGTTCTCAGCACGCTGCATAAATTCTCTTGCTAGCAGGGGGAAAGCCCCATGTGAAGGGCCTACCCCTCCTTCGTGTACGTTCCCCTACCCCGTGGTTGCACCCGAATCGCGTTCCTCCCTCTCTTTGCCCTGTCTTCATATTATTCTGCCCTTTTATCCCAATGCCGTGGCCTCCTGGCAGTACTTTTTCGTCCCCCGGTCCGAGAGCAAAGGGAACCGTGTTGTGCCTTGCTCTTGGAAGGGGTCCTTGTTCCCATCCTCTACGACAAGCCTCCTATGGAATTTTGATCGTCGTAGTGTGCCCATCATGCACCCGGTGCGGCTTTTGGCGCACATGTGCAGCTAGCATGTGCCTCCACATGCTGCGTGCTCAACTTTTTTCAGTACGCTTTGTCGGTAAGATGGGCGGCGGAGCGTTGCATGCGCTCTTCAAGTCGTGCGACGCGGTGGTTGTTCCCTCACGGAACGAGCCCTTCGGCATCGTGGTGCTGGAGGCTTGGAGTGCGGCAAAGCCAGTGGTCGCTACCAACAGCGGGGGCCCCCGGGATTTCGTTAACCCGAATATAACTGGCATACTCGTGGTAAGCGGGGAGGCTGACTGTACCCTTCTTTCCCCTTTTTTCGAAAGAAGTTACTTGCTGCAGGCGACCAGCACACCGAGGCTGAGGCGCTCCTCTGCCACTGGCAAAGAAGGGCGAGTCCTGCACGGGGCACTTGCCACATCGAGAGCTTTTTGCTTGCGGGAGACTGGAAAGAGTTGTGAGCTGCCTCCGCCTGTGTCTTTGTGATCGTGCGCACCGCAGGACCCCACACCCGGGAGTATTGCGTGGGGGTGCTGTGAGATCCTCAAGAATTTTGAGCACGCCAGGTGGATGGGGTCTAGGGGACGGGTGACTGCCGCCTTTAGCTTCAGCTGGGATTCAATCGCTCACCAAACACGGGAGATTTACTACGAGCAACGCAACAGGCATGATGCTCCGCCCAACTGGACATACAGCAGCGAGGGAGACGAGACACTCGCCTTCGCCATTATCGGACCTGTGCGTGTGCCCCTTGCCCTGGCTATGTGTCTGCGCATCTACACATGCATCCGCATTTTGTTTGCCGCCTCCCTCGTATTTGGGGGTCCCTCTCCTGCAGACGGCTTTGCATCTATTCTCTGCGAGGAGAACAACGCAACGCCACTGGGGGCAGGCTTCTTTTTACCGTGCTCTGCTGCTGCCTCCCTTTTTTATGAGCGCAGGCTATGTTCAAGCACATGTCAGTGGAGGATTCCGAGCCTCGTGTGGCAAGCGGTTTGGCCCTGTGGCGTCTCTACCTCCTATTGGGATCGGGCCTGGCGGATGGCTGCATGACTTTCATGGCTAATGAATTCGCCCATCCCGACTGTCTTGACCTCCCTAGACCCGCCAACCACTTCTCTATGGCCAAGGCATTCAGAAGATGGAATCTCGCAGAGAGCGCCACACTGAAATTCACGCAGTGCGAGGTACGCGACACAGCAACACGCGGCCATGGTAGATCCCCAACCCTTCGTTATAGTAAGAACCCTTTAGACGGCGGTTACTTTGATATGTGCGCACCCTCGGAATGCGTCTCGAACCGGCTGTCTGTAAGGCTGCATACCTCTGTCGAATGCGACTGCTCAAGCAAGCGCGGGCGGAGCTGGCAACGCAGCTGGCTGCAGTGCTTAATGGGTATTGTGCTGTTTGTCTCGGCGCCTGCGTCTGCCCACATGCTGAATCTGCAATGCGACCTTAAGGTGATTTGGAGGCTGTCATACGCCTGTGATTTGCTGCAGCTGTTTGATTGCTGTCTCAATCACTGGGAATCTGTCTTCTCTTGGCAGTCTGCGAGCCACCTCTATGTCGTCAAATGCGATGAAGAGGCACAGGTGGTAGTTCTTGAGAGGGGTCCGTGCCTGTTCGCATTCAACTTTCACCCGCATGCCGTAAGCCGCATCCCATTACCACTCCAGGTTCAGTTTGCCTAGTCCGTTGATTGAGCCCCCTATTCCCTCAGCTACAGGTTGGGGACGGCAAAGTCCAAAAGCTCCTACATGGAATCCTAGACTCCTGTGTGCACGGGGCGCTGCTGCAGAGCTACGAAGGATTCCAAGTGGGGTGTATGTACAGCGAGCCCATGCGACTTTTCCTCGATAGTGACGAAGCCCGCTTTGGAGGCTTCGGTCGGCTGACCCCGAGAACCCAGCACCCCGCCACAGAGGCTAGGGATAGCCGGCCCCATTCTGTTAAGATCTACCTGCCCTCCAGCACATGTGCCGTGTATGTACGCGAGTCTATATACGAAGAAAAGCGAGGCATCATCATGGCCACCCCGGTAGGCTGGCCTACTCCCGGTCCTGGCCTTCACACTACGACCTCCTAAGGCCCGAGGCGCGGCAGTCTGCTTGCGCCCCGAGTTGTGGCGCTTTTGCATTGAAGATCTAGAGGCCTAGTACTGATGAATAAGAGTGGCATATGGGCTTTCTGCCTGTAGTTGCTTACAGCGCTGTGCTGTCTGTCTCGAGTAAACGCCCTCCTAAAAGCGTGCAGGGGGAGAGAGGTTGTGCACGACGGCCACAGTCCTGTGTATGTATGAGCGTGTGGGGCTGCAGATCCTGTCGCTGAACATGGAGGCATACGTAGAATACCGAAAGGAAGGCGGTTGGCGGCACTGACACCAGGAAGCCGAAAGATGGATGTGGCAGAAACATCGTTTCTAGACGTAATCTGGAGCCCCTTAGGTTACGAAGTACTCTGAAGGCCAATGCGTCTTCAGTGCTTCAGGGCTGAACTATGAGCTGCAGCCATCGTTTGCTCTAGGCTTCCCGCCTTTGTATTGCCAGCTGCTTCGATTTGAGGCATTGTTTCCTTAGCTGTCCTGGCTGTCTTCGGTGCGCATCCCTTTAGGGAGCTGCATGAAGCCTTATACGGGTCTATCCCCGGAACCATTTACTGTATTTTGGGGTGCACCAGTCGTTCGGCTGTACGCTGACGTGTCTCCTGTTGTTGGCCGTGGCTGCGGCCTCCTCACCCTCTTTTTGTAGTTCAACTCAAGATTTAAAGCCCAGCATACCACTCGAAATTTACCCTTCTTTTGGTTCAACTTATAAGGATAATCGTAATGCAGAAATGGCGCACTCTGCTAGCAAGCTGAAGTGCGAAAAGGAAGAGAGGCAGCTCGTCACAGTGGGAGCTAGGGGCAAAATTGGCGTTCGTGTAGAGGCATTATGCAACATAATGCCAGCAGTTTCGCTTTGCTGTCTAGGCTGCGAGCCTATACGTGGACCATTGCCCTTTCATTTTAAACAAAAACCCTTTAGTGGTCCGAGTTTTAGGGCCCTGCCGCTCAGCCTTACGAGCTCCTTTCGTGCATCCGCGTCGGCGCCACAAAGTCAATCCCGTTGTTGAACAGCAACCATTCCGCGTGCGTCTGTTGTGTTCTCACGGCATATCATAGGCTCCAGCCCCCTAACTCGCTCGCTTAGTGTCTTCATAAAAACTGTCCTAATAGAGAGAGGTTGGCTGCAATGTTTTCATTGCATGCGCAGGCAGCAGACGTCGAGCACACTACGGATCTTCTGAGCGGCCCCTTCTATCCGTCGCAGCTGTGATGCCCTTTATTTTACAGCTCTGCGCGTAATTTCATCTGGCGCTCAAAGCTTTCAAGCATGCAAAACCGCTGCCACACACAGAAGCAGGCAAGAAAGAGCACCCCCCAGCGGACTTGTCCAGTCCATAGGTCAATCAATTCCCAAGCCTCCGTAGCCCCCGACAGACAACGCCCAATTCAGAAAATAAAGAATCTTTCTAACCTACTGTGAGCGTAGATTTTATGTTCAAGACCGCTCCCACGCCAGCAGCTGTAGTACCCTATGTCGACACCCGGCAGTGAAGGCCTTTAGTGGTGACCCTGCTGCACCACACCGAGGTTCCCGATCTCCCTGGAGCAGAAATCATGATTTCTCGCACAAACGCTGCATTATATTTCTTGCTGTCTGTCCGTTTCATAAGGTGCCTTGAAGGATACTCTCTTCACGCCTTTAGCAACAATGCAGACGAACTGCGTTGAGATGCTCCTGGACGGTGTTCACTTGCCACCACGGCTAGTGGCTGCTTCCCTCCGCTGCGTCATACACACTCTCCTTATGCTGCGTCTCCCGCATGGCGAAGCCGTAGAGGGGGGACGGCGACGGGAGTCAGAGAGACAGCCAAAGGGTTCAAAGGGTGCCCCATTATCACTTGGTGGCTCCATCAGCAAAGGACCTTCCGGGTTAAAGCCGTTGCAACGAGCAGTCGCAGTAGCGGCGGGCTGTACAACGCCAGCAGAAATGGCAGTGGCAGAAAGATCCCTGCCCATGGGGAAAGATGATCATCAACAGGAAGGAAACATCTTCAGTCACTCTTATGGAAGCTCGCGACAGTGCGAAACAAGCAGCAGCAACAGCAGCAGCGTCAAAACCGCCAATCAGAGCAGCAGCAACAGAGGTCTTGAGGTCCGCCACTGGGGCAACTCATTCCAACCCTCTTTGGGAATCACAGGCCAGCACGCCGATCTACCCTCGCTGACACGGGGGTGTACAGCAATCCAGGAAGCTAGGCTGAGGAGCAGGATGACCTCAACGCGGCCTATAACCGACATCTCCGGCAGCCACTGCAGTAAATGCGGGCAGGGGGGCTGCCTCTGTGCTGGAAGCGGCACAAATAGCAACAGTGTTAGCTGCCGTTGCTCTAACGGATTTGTGACAGGAGAGACACCGGATTTGCGCTTGCACGCGCATGCATCCCCCCCCTTGTCTGTGATGTACCTAAGGGTCTGCGAGGCGCCACAGCTGACTGAAGAAGTCGAACAGAAGCTGCGCACATTCATAGGTCCTACGTGCACTAGCGTACTCCGAGTTGTCTGTCTGTTGCGCTCTCTGGATGACTCTGTTGTTGTGGCAACTGTTGAGAAGCGTGCTGCTGTGAGTTCGCTGCGCTGCTAATGCTCGCTGTATACAAAGAAAGACCTGTTGATGTGGGTGCGCTATCTTCGACTGTAGGGATCGTTGAGAGTGGCGCGACTATCCAGCAGCGGCGGAACTCTCGGCAGCAGCAGCAGCGGCGGCACCAGCAACAGGTGTATACAATGGCGATAGTGCTGTACGTGCATCGAGCGAGGGCTTTCGGGTTCCTTCCCTCCTCTATTGAGCGCGTATCCTTTGAGCGGTGGCTACTCCCGATTTCCATTTGCTGGTGTACCCAAAGTTGCATGCGCTGCTGCCGCAGTAGCGGCAGCAGCAGGCAGAGTTCGAGGCATCGAAACAACACCAGTTGCTGCTGCGACACGACGGAGTGCTGCCAGATGAGGAGTGCAGGCGTGAGGAACACGTGCAGCGCCGCAGCAGAAGAGCACGAAGGCAGAGGGATGTCTGATCTCGAACACAGCAAAATGCAGTCAGCGCACCAGCATCAGCAGCAGCAACAGTTTGCGGAGTGTCTGGCGTGGGAGTTGCAGCAGCAGCAGGATGCGGAGAAGGCGGTGCGGCGCGTCCTGTTTGCAATCGTCGAGATGGCAACCGCCAGGCAGTTCCACTTGCCGCCCCCCAGTGCCAGCCTGCAACGATACGGGTATTGACGGAGACACCAGATTAGGGCTGGGCGTACGGGCACGAATAAAATAGGCAAAGACGTGGTAGATATCCATAGAAACAGCTAGGAGCTCCGGTTGAGCGGACTCAAGGGAAAAAAAAGAACGACGGCCGCGGCAGGAACGCAGGAGAAGAGAAAAACAGTTAGTGGAGGCCATGTAGGGAAAGTGTGTGCAAAGAGTTTAAGAAGCGGGCAGACGGAAGGAGTGGGGGCTAAAGGCAAAGCATTTTAGGAGAGGGAAAGCCGGCAGCAAGCTAGTGATGTAGTTGAATCCAATGGCCTACTAGAGGATAATTCAGAAAAGTGTGCTTGAATCGGGTGTACCTCAAGGTGGAGGCGCCAGCAGCTAGATAGAGACAGCGGGAGAAATTGAGCGAGCAGGGACTTCCTAAAGCGTAAAGCCAAATGAGACATGATGCAAGAGTAGTTCCATGCAGGAGAATGTAGTTAGCCACAGACTGGGGCACGGGTAACATGGCAAGAAACACCACCTACGCCAGAAAAGGCAGGAAATGTGCGCTTGTGAAATAAAAGTGGCTCTGTCGGTGATATCGGTCTAGAGGAGCAGTGTAGCTTGACCTTGCTGACGCAGGGGCGGCGCCTGTGCTGGGCCGCTACTGGCACTCCTGTGCATATTATCTTTAGCGAAAAGGGCGCGACACTTCAGCTGCCTCGCAATCTGGAGCATTCTGCTGCTGCTGTGCTGCAGTTACGACGTGAGCATCAGCAGCAACATGGGGTCTCTTCTAGGCGAATGGGCTCTACAGCTGCCACAGGCCGTCCGTTTCTTCTGATGCTGGTGTCCATGCTCCTCAGACCCTGTCGTTGCGCTCTGCTATTGGCTGTGCGTTTGCGTTGCTGCCCGTGGCAGCATCATTCAGTCTAATTGCAGCCCTCCTACCGTTCTATCGCGAACTGCACCGTGTGCACATTACCGTTGCACTTTGTCAGTCGTATGCCCGTCCCGGCGAGGTCATCGTATTCCTCATGGGAAATCCGGTGCATTATTTCACATGCTCGCGATATATAGTTCCGCGAGAAGTAATAGCTGCTGCCGTGGCTACATAACAGGCATGGTGCAAAACGTTTGTTAGGGTTGCCCGTGCAAAGTAAAGCCCTCGCACGCTGCCGCCTCGGCAGAGGAACAGTGCTAGATGGGCTGAGTCGCTTGCCCCTGTTTCGCAGGAACAAAAAGTGTGGTTTTCCCGCTGCAGCAGCAGATGCGCTCCTGCGGCAGGACTTCTGCTGCTGGCGCCGCAGCAGGGCTTAAAATGCCGCAGAAAAGTCACGCTGCTGCTGCTGCAGCAAAACTCTCGCTGATACGGCTGCGGCAAAACTCAGTTATTGGTACAGCGACAGAGTTGCTGCAGCGGCTTTCACAACTAAAGCAGTATGCATCTCTCGTCGCAGCGGCGCTCTCGCCATTCCTGATGCACCTAAACGAGTTGCTGCAGCAAGCTCCCGCGACTAGGGACATAGTACCATGGTACACGGGGGCCGCTTGTATCGGTCATGTAGAGCCCTGATTTAGCCAGCGCGTTACGTTACTGGCTATGTCAAGTCGGGTGCTTCTACAGCCGTTAGAGAAGGCGTTACCCAGCAACCCCTCCGTCTCTGCGCCAATGGCACTTTAGGAAGCAGCCTGCATTGCTGCGGGTCAAGCGCTTGCCTGTACAACAAGCCTCGCGATTAGCAGAAACTAGCACAGTGAGATAATACCGCAAACGTGCCAGCCACAGGGAGCTCGAAAGCGCGGGTAAATCCCACAGGCCCTTGGGCTGCCCCAGTGCAAAGCTGCACGGCGGCGCGTAGACCCCCTAACCAGACACACTATGTTTCAGTAGAGTGAGCTATGGCTCGTCAGCCTCCCCTCACATCAAGACTAGCCTAGCGCCGCTGTTACCAATGCCACCTCCCTCTTAGGCCGATGGAGCGACATCCTCTGCCATAGGAGCTGCATCGGGAGCATCCCCATCCATTTCAACGTCTCCGCCCTCTCCTGTTGCCAGAGGCACCGCGGAGTCAGTGGCCGCAGTAGCAGGGGCAGCAGGTGATACATCTGCTGCTGGTGGCAGAGCCAATGAAGAGAAGTCTTGTTGCTGGGGGGCTGGCTGCCCCCTCTTGAGAGAGGGCGGCGTCGAAGGCAGCGTAAAGCTCAGCGCCGCAACTGCAGCATTTTGCTGCTCAGAGACTGCGCTGGCTCCAGCGGCAGCTGTTGACGCGGCAGCCTCTGAGGCCACAAATGACACGCAGGCCATACAAATCAACAGAGTTCTTCTGGAGTGCGCCTCCCCGTAAGAAAAAGAGGACAGGCTTCCTGGGGCAGGAGCAAAAAAGCGAGACACGCATCCAGGAACTAAGGCAAAAGGCGTATTTCAACGTACGGCTATCCTTGGTCCACACTTTGTTCCTGAAAAGGCCGTCGTCCCCAAGCTCTCCCATCCACTCCTGTGCGCAAAGCAAACGCAGCAGCCGCATTTATCAACCAGGAGGAATATAAAGCCAATTGGCAGGGAAGATCCGCTCAGGGCACTTGAGGAAAAAAGACGATTAGTCCCTACGCGTGGCACTTGCACGCGTATTGTGGAGCAGCCCTTGACACTGCACAGGAGTGCGCCTTTGCTTATGCCCTCTGGGGAAGATGCATCACCAGCCTCTCGCTTACGGGTTTCTCCGGATGCAAGAAATTGCAGCTTGGATTCTGACAACTCGCCCCGAAACGGCACTTAACCGGAGGGTGCAAGTAGAAGCAAGAGGAGCCAAAGGGGCAGCGTGGGAAACTCGCGCAGCGGATCGTGGGATGGATGAAGCTGCAGTTTGCTCCAAAAGGGCAGTCAGGCCACCGAAGACAGCGGCGTCGCACCTGTTGACAGGATGCATGCGAAATGCATGCTCGCCGGCAGATAAGGGAGGCTTGCTTTTGTTTTTGGCTGCACCTTGCGTGAGACGCGCTCGCAGTGGGGGAAGAGAACGGAGGAAGGTGAAGAAGAGAAAGGAGAGGAGGGAGACAAAGAAGAGAAAGGAGAAGAGGGAGATGAAGAAGAGGAGGGAGAAGACGGGGGAGGGGGTGACGGGGGCAAGCAGATCCCCCGGAAAAGTCGATCCTGAAGTGCAGCTTTCCTCCGACTGCCCTCGCTGCCGCTGCCCGCGTCACTCCTTACCTTGGGCTGTGCAGTGATTGTGCCGGCCAGATGTGGTCCGTGTTGGTGCTGCTGCTGCTGCTGCTGTAAGGATACGCGTTGGTGCGGGAGCTGCTGCTGCTGCTGCATGCCAGGAGGCACAGAAAGGGCTGCAGCAGCAGACGCTGCATGTAACGGGAAAGGCGCCTCTCCGCGGGGTGCCTGATCGACTCCCGAGAGGAAAGACTCTACAAAGCGAGGGTTAGGTCTGCAAATGGACAAGCAAGCCCCAAAAGGCAGCAGCGATGCATGCGACAGAGCCACAGACGACATGCGGGCAAGACTTGGACGGATACACACACTAGGACTTGCGCGTAGACTCCGCAGGAAAAAAGGATTGAAAGGACGGCACGCGTAAAGCGCAGCACAGCCAAATTCGAGAGGGGCAACAGAGGCGCGCGATGGAGGCAAGCGAAAGAGGGGTGACAGTGGTGCAAGACGGAAAGGAAGAGGCCGCAAAGGAGTTTTTAAGGCGACACACGTTTTAGCCGGTGAAAAGGCAAGCAGAACCCGCAGGATGTCTGTATTTTTCCCCCTGATTTTCCCCCTCCTCCCTCCGCCCCCTCCACAACACGGCCCCCACAGGTACTATTTGGAGCGCAGCTTTCACAGCCCGGTAGGTAGGATGCGAAACAACATGCGTTCAAACTGACGCTTCTGCGAAGGCGAGTCGAGGGGAAAGCCCTCTAGCCGCCTCGCTGCCAAAGCAACGGGCAGAGAAACAAACAGCTACCCCCGTGCCCAAAGCGGCCCCTTGGGCACCTCTCCACGAATAAAGCACTCGGGATAAGTGGCCGCATTTCCTGGAAACCTCCGCGGGCAAAAAACGGAGAACAAAAGACGCGCTAGCCAGAAATTGACGAGGGAGCGGTCTCCCCCTCCAGAGAGACAACACATAGAGAGAGTGGAAGAGGAAGAACAGTCTTCCCTGCGGCACGAGCAGCAAGAGCGACACACCAGCACCAAAGCAACAGCAAGAAGTGGCAAAATCAGACTCACTTGAGAATTGCCTTTGGGCCTCGTTGAATCGCTGTTTCGGGGACGGCGAGATCGGCTGGCGCAGTAGCTGCGACTGGCGCAAGTGGCATTTGCTGCTGCTGCTGCTGCTGCTGGTGGAGCAGCAGCCCTTGCTGTTGGTTCTTCGGCTGCATGTCGAACGGTGGGGGCTGTGCAGCATGCACCCGAAATGCGTCTGTAGCGGCCGTGCTGCCGGGTGTCTGCGGAATTATTTGCTGCTGCTGCAGTTGCTGCTGCTGCAGTTGCTGCTGCTGCACTTGCTGCTGCTGCTGCTGCGTTTGCGCATGGACAGCGGCCCCTCCACCCCACGCAGCGCCCGGGGGAGGGGAAGGGGTGTGATTCGTCTTGTTGTTGGCAGTGTTCATAAGGTAGATCGAACGGGAGAAGGGAGGCGTCTTGCTGCTGCTGCTGCTGCTGCGGCTTCGACTGCGGCTGCGGCGATTGTGTGCTGGAGAGCGCCTCGTTCTTCCGCTGCGACTTCCTGCGCTGTTGCGGCTGCTCATGGCCTACATGACAGCACCATCGCCACAGTCACTGCCGCAAGAGACACGCTCAGAAAAAAAGGGGGAGGAGGGAGAGACACACGCCAAACGCACTGACAGACGGGGGCTCAAGAACAAGAACAAGCGGGGAGAAGAGGGAGTCTTCTTGCTGCCACGCGAGTGCCCCGCAGAAACAGCAAGAAGAGAGCAGTCATGCAAAGTTCGAAGGAAAATGCATCAAGAAGCGTAGCAGCGAGTCGCCGGGAAGACACATACACACACATACACACATATACACATATACACACCCACAATTAAACAGCCAGAAACGCATATACATACATATACACATACATGTACACATACATATACACATACATACATGTACACATACATATACACATACATACATGTACACATACGCATACACATATACACATACACATATACACATACACATATACACATACACATATACATACATACATACACAGAGATTATCGATAGCCAGCAGCACATCCCCAAAGGCAAGCCAGAATTAAAAAAGGGTCAGTCACGGCAAAGAAGAGGAACGCTACGATTCTTTGGGTCAAACTGCCGAGAAAGAGCATGCATGCGTATCACAGCGACGGCCTCATAGACGGGAATAAGGAGACAGTCGTGGAAGATGACAGAAGGCGAACGGCTGGTGCGTTTCAGCAACGCTGCTGCCCCCGCTAGCTAGCGCCACAGCTTACAGCCTGCTCAGCAGCGCGCATGAGGATGAGACGGCGAGATATTGCTGCGACAGAGCAGACACAGACACACCCCCGCATCAAGGAAGGAAGCTCACAAAGCAAGCGCAAGAGGCGACTGCGCCTCTGTTGCTGAAGCTGCTGCTACTCAAGCGCCCACGCCAACCGGCAGCAGCTCCTCCAACTGCTGCCACGCAGACTTACTGTCAGATCGAGAACCTCGTCCCTCCACGCGAGAAGACTCGTGAGCTGCACTGCTGCTGCTGTACCTGTGACTGCTGCTGCTGCTGCTGCTTCCCCCCCCCCCGTGTCTGCTGCTGCCCCCCTGCTTGCTGCTGCTGCTGCCACCGCTAACCCCTCGCGAGGACCCCTCACCAGTGCTGGCATGCCGCGCAGTGCTGCTGCTGCTGACGTGCTTGCTGCTGCTGCTGCTGACATGCTTCGACCTGCTGCTGCTGCGACGTCGCCCGCTGCTGCTGCCGCTGCCACACGCCGCACTCTGCTGCTGCAGCTCCCGCTGCAGCCACCGCGTAAATTCATCCGCCTGAAGTTGTACATCACCCACCAACCCAAACACAAATACACGTACATAGACACATACACACACGCAGAGACACATATGCACACATGCCCAAGCACCATTGAAAACAGTCCTGGGACCAACAATGCGGATGCTCACGAGCGCAACAATGCACCAACGGCGGCAACACAACAGCAGCAGGCAGGCAGAGACAGCAAACGCATCGTGGTCAGAAGACAGGCAGAAAACCGTGGCTACTGCAGAAAACTTGTGCAGTCTGGCGCAAGACGCCGCATTGCAATAATGAAACACTCGCACATGTTGCATCACTCCACAAACACAACAAAGCTCCTTACCGGCTGCCCCAGAAACTCCTTTAGCTCTTCTAAGAGACGCGCTGTAGGAGCTTTCTCCCTAAGGAGGAGGTGCAAGATGTATTCTGCGAGGATTTGTGCGTCGTCTGCATCCTCTTCTGGCTTCGAGCCGCTGCCATGATTCCCGTTGTTTCCCTCATTGGCACCCCCGCTAGGCGTCAGGTAAGAGATGCGCAACTCCTCTGCAATCCGCTGCTGCAGACGCTTTGGACCTGAGCTGCTGCTACTGGCGATGGCTGCAGCGGCGCCTGCCATGTCAAAACTATTCCGATTGCATACCTCGGCTGTCATCCTCTCAGCAAGTACCGCTCGTGCTGCCGCTGGCGTCTGCTATTTGCTGCCGCTGTTGCTGCAGCTGCTGCCTTTCGCTGCCGTCGTCGAAACAAACCAGCTGCAGAGGCCACTGCTGAAGCTGCTGCTGGCAAGGATGCTGCTGCAGCGCCTGAGGAGCGATGAACTAGGCACCACGTGGGGGAAGGAGGATCAGGTATGGCTCCCGGAGAACCAACAGCAAAAACAATCCGTAAAAGTTGCGCAGGGGTCTTCTGATTGACGCCCCTTCTGCTGCAGATGCTCCTACGGCCGCTGCTGAGGCGAGAACACCGCACGGAATGATGCTCTGCCGAAGCCTTGCGTCGCTCTTTCGAATGTATTGGCACTTTGCTTTCTTCCGAATTCAGTCTTAGGGGGAGAAGTTCGCTTTCACGGCATCCGAGGAAGCTGCTGCTGGTACTTCTGCTGCCGCTCCTATTGCTGCTCCACTACTGCTGGTGCTTGTGATGCTGCAGCAAACTCCAAGCTTAGTAGAAAGAACGGAAGCAATAAACATGCAAAGGCCTTGGGGGCAGACGGAGTGCTGTGCGCAGCACCAGTGTTGCTGCTGCTGCTGTTGCGGTAGCCCCTGCGGTGCTGCTGCTGCTGCTGCTGCTGCCTCGCAGCGGCTGCTGCCTCTGCTGCTGCCTGATTTGTTGCTGTCCACGATCTCTCCACTCAGTGTTGGCTCATGCAGGTATCTTGCCAGAAACACCACTCTGCTGCAGACGTTAATCGGCGCGTTTAATGCCCTGTCGCTGCGGCTGCCCCCTCCCCGTCGTCACCCCGCAGAGTATTGAGCGCCAGCACGACAGCGTTGGTTGGTACTAGGCTCCCTATAGAGTTTTTCCCATCTTAGGAACTGTGTTGTTCTGCTCTCGTCTCTGCCCTTGAGTGCAGCTGTCAGTATTGCTGTGAGCAAGCGAAACTTCTCTGCATGTGTAAGTCGCCTGTCGGCCTCACATGCGACGCTCGGTAAGTACAACTTTACCCATTGGCTGTATGAGGACTGCTTATAAGGTGTCGACTGACGCCCTACACTCCGTGATGGCTTGTAGCGTGGGGCGTGGGGTGTGGGCCCACGAGCTGTCTTTTCCCTTCAACTCGGCAGAGCAACTGTCAGCGTATGTGGTGGGCTTGAGGTTACACTGAGGCGCTCCCGACCAACAACTTTACATAGCTATTAGCCACCAAAAGGTGAGCAATTGATTTGTCTGTTCGTACATCTTACATATCAGAGCGTCCTTCCAGCTCAATACGGCAAGACGCAAGGTAATACGTATATGCGCTGGAGGCTCTGTGCAACTACTTAAGAATGCTCCGAGTTTCAGAAGGGCGCAGATACGCGCTTCTTAGCTGGCCTCTACCCTCATGTTGGGAACTCTAAGGGGCGCCAGCACGGGGATGCGGGGAACTATTAAGAATCACTCAAGAAGTTTCCGATTAGTTTGCATCAAGTCGAGCTAGGGTCTCCCCACAGAAACCTTATATGGAGCTCTATGGTACTGGTGGTATTGCACGCTCAATAGGGTGTGTCCATAGGGCGGTTCAGTGACGCTAAGCCACATCGAAGCTCACCAGAAGTCATGAAGTGTTCGCCACAGAAAACCAGCATTTCTCCTTGTGTAGTGTCATTGAACTACACAGGGTTCCGGCCGAGGGTTGGAAAGGCAGCTGGGAAGTATAATGAAAGCTTCATCCTCCGCGCACTCTAGTCGAGAGGCCGTACACGCCAACTCACCACTGTACACCTGTTGGAACGTGGATTCAACAAGGCTCTGCAGCAAATTGAAGACATGAGCAGCCAGGCTGTAAGGCCCCAGCGTAAGTCCTCGCAGAAAGGCAGCTGTTAAATCTCTATGGAAGATCTCGGTAAGGATACACTGAAATAAAGTCAATACCAACTTAATAGAGAGCTATTGAGTGCTTCTGCACAAAGTTATAGATTGATTCTTCTTTAGAAACTTTACCCTTTCCTTGCCTCTGCCCCTCAGAGTTCGAACATGAGAGGAGAGGCATAGGTAAGATGCGTGTAGCTGCACCCTCTAAGCACCTTTTGTATTCACAGTAAGGTTTCGAACAGCACTTAGCGCAAACGCGCACGGAATCGGGTCTTCTTGCATCAAACTGACAGTACTCTGCAAAATGTATATATATGAGAATAGCCGAACCCAATTAGTCGTTGCATTACAAATTATGAGTAAATATCACTAATTCAGAAAAAACTTTGCTCAAGTCTGGCTTAGCCCACTACATTTTCCCCCTTTTTTAAGTCACACCCCTTCCTGTTCCTTCCTGACGAGGCTAAGTCCATGTGAGACAGCGGTAGTGTTCCCACCCCACCACCATTCCGTAGGCAGGCAGAAACGCGAAACATTGGGTAAATGAGAAAACAAAGTATTGATCATTTGTCAAGGGAAAACTAAGGGAGGCAAGGTGCACACACTTGCCAATGAGGAAGAAGGAGATCCTCATACAGCTGGCTCACTGTCGTTGGATCGCTGAAATGTGTGAGCCTCCTGCTGAGGCAACAGAAAACAAGTCTAGAGTGCAAAGACAAGTGAAGTACGCGTGTTCGGCAGTGCCTTCACGCCTCAGAGAGCAATTTCTGATTGCAAATGTAGCCGGTGCGTGCAACATGATCTGCTTCAAACCCCCAAAAGAGGTCTAGGCAAAATGCAGACACAGCTCACTTGATAGTACTTGCGCATAAATCTGAATGGAGTGAAGACCCTAGCAGCAATAGCCAGAAACTTCAGACGTAGTTCGCAGACGAATATGGCCAAGTACGGCAAAATGGCGACGATTGAAGGAGAATTATCGGGGAGTCCGGTGAAGATCGTTCATGGCGAGGAGGGATATGCGACAAACAGGACCCCCCAAGTCTTCCGCTGGCAAGGAAGCTTGCAGTCGCATTACCGTCAACCGCTGAGGTTGATGATCAACACCTCACTTTACCCCATCGGCGCTAGTCCTACGACATAGCATGTGTACGGCTAAAAGTGGTCTTCTGCCCCCATGCGCCTCTCTTGCCTGCTTAGTATGGTTTGCTGTTGATTCGGGAGCTTCGATCCTTCTTTAGGATGCTGAACCTAGGGTTCTACGACCCTACAACTCTTAAGGAAACAATGAGAAAAGCAACGGCAATCTCTTTGTGCGAAGTGCAAATGGTCCTAGCGACCTGGCCGCAACCCCCTTTTTCTAGTCAGCTACTAATGCATTTTGTAAAGCCTCCCGATCCACCAGGACCAACTCTTCAGGCTCCAACTACACAGTTTATCGGCGCTCAGCATAATTTTTTCTGAGCTTCGATTACACATTCGTGTGCACTAGCCACCTGTTTTTTGAGTTCTGTCGCTATGGGTGTGTAACGTGAAGGCCACCCTTAGATCGCTCCGATTTTTGTCATATCTGACTCAATCCAAGTAGCAAGTTCGCCATTGTATTGAGCAGGACTACTAGTGTTTCGCATCGGACGCAGCTGACGCGTCTGTTGTAGGTGCATTTAAGCTTGAGAAGTCGTGCCGCTTCTGGAGTATCCTGAAATGCTCAGATTGCTGCCTAACAGATGTGCACATGAAGGCAAGCTACAGTTTTCCGCATGCAAACATTTCTTTGCAAAACATTTAACTCAGTGTAGGGAATTTTTCCTGCAAAAAGAATTACACGTACTTGCACAGTTCATAACAGAACACTGATCTACTTACTGACGCTATGAACAGCGCAGTCCCACGATGTGTTGCGAGATTGCTAATGGGTAGGGGCGAATACAAAGGCCAGTTTACAGCAAGCTCGCCATTGTGTAGCGCAGGTATGACAAGCCTTCCCTAGGATGCAGCTGAGGTGTCTGGTGTAGGTGCATTCACCATCCTGCCAATGTAGAGCCTCTTCTCACCGGTTGGCAGTTAAGTACTGCCTGATACAATATGTCTTGTTGATAATGCTTGGACCCTGTTCTTCACTAGTTTATGGTTATGGCACAGACGGTATCGCGCTGGACGTGCCGACTCGCTGATGCTCTCTGCCTCTTCGCAAGGCAGTATGCGGCCGCTGGATTTACTTTGGTACTTTGCTAAGAGGCTCTCCGGAGCTGCCCAGAACTGCGGGTTCCCTCAGCCTCCCTTTCCTCCATCGATTTAGAGCATAGGCGAGGGCCAATCGCCCCAGCACCAGCATGCATAGGTTTTAGCTACCACGTAGATTTTCTTTTAAGCCACAGGAACAAGCGCTGCACTCATTCGCTCCTGAAAGCTCAAGTAGTCGGTTCGTTTGTGGAAGCCTCGCCGGTTGCTCGTTTGACTGCTTCCTCTTTGCCTATGCTGTGACCACCTGACATGGCTGTTCACATTGAACCAATACAAACCACTGGTTAAGCAGCTGTTCTTCTACGCTGCGAATTTTGCAAACCGTAGCAGTATACTTCTTTGTCTACGGTTCAATCAATAGAAACCCGTGATCCAACTGCCTCGATTCGCCCAGAGCTTGCTGTTGAGTCGATTTTGTCATAAAGCAATGAGTCAGGGCTTGTTTGAAGGGTTAAGCTCTAGTAACCCCTGCAGTGAGCCAACGTCCTCTGCGTGGGTGGCCATCATATTGCAGTGCCTCCTGCAATACACATGCCGCAAGGAGTACTTGTTCTCCTTCACCTGAGGGGAACAAGGACAGGTAGTTCTTCAGCCGGCTGATAAAATCTCCCAATGCTTGGCCATCCTCATGCTCATATCAAATTCCTGGTCAGCTTAGCCTCTGCGATGCATATATGAACATTTTATGATCTGACAAATCATGCTCAGTTGTGGAGCTACTGCGTTAACATTGGCTTGCATGTCAACTTCTGCTGCCTCCACAGGCGTTGTGCCACCGTCAGCTTCCATCGCCACATAATTTGTTTCCCCAGACCGTTGTCGATTGAAACAGTAGAAGGCATTCCTTGCATCCGAGTGCGTCCATTGCTCGTGGCTGAGCGAAGATCAGCTACATCTTGTTCACACGCTGCTTTCAACTCCAACGCTCTATCGAAGGCCTCCGTAGGAAGATAGTTTTCTCCAAACTTACTTCCACCTTGACTTTATAAATTACTGACTCAGCGTGCGCCCTCCTTCCCCTGTTCGCGCCTCTCAGAGTTACTGACACACAAAAAAGGGACATCAGAGGTGAGCGTACCTGCAACCTTTTAGCACTGCGAGCATTCGCCGCTAGGCGCGCATAGCACCTTGCTTGCATGCACATAATCTTGCGTCTTCTTCTTTACCATTAGCGCAACTCCGTAATAAAGAAGATATATGAACAGACATACCAACTTATCAGCTTTTAACTACTTGTCCGTTACATATAAGTAGTGTCGTCAAAAGTGCCAAACGGTTGCCCAAACTCACACGATCCGCACAGTTCTACGTAGACTGAATCGGAGGTTAAGTGCTGACGTGTAGCTGTGCCCGCTGGAGAATAGAGCGTAGAGGTAATAACGCACATGCCTTGTCCAAACCTGTTTCTTGTCCAGAGCAGCCACCTGAGCCGGCGCTCTTTTAGAGATGCCTGTAGCGTGAAGGCCAGAAGAGTATTCACTGTACACTTGTGCCTCGTCAGGATGGCCTGAAGAGTATGCGAATTCGATCTTTCCCTACTTGTTACAATGTTGCTTTGTTAGCTTCACCTCATTGTGATGCTTGAAATTAGGTCCACTCGCGGAGCCACCCTCTCCGCTGGGAACGCTTCCTACACTTCCCACAAGCATATTGCTGAAAATAGGTAGCAAAAGTAAAGGCGCTTAAAAGAGAGATTGTCAGTGAGGCCAGCCAGGATCCTTCTGTGCCTGCGTAGGGCCGGAATTATCACTCTCTACTATGCAAATTTTAGAGAGTATGACTTTATCTTTTTTCAGTAGCACTATCTAAAAAGGGTCAGCATATTCTACCCCTGGTGGTAGCTACATTATGATGAGCCGACATGGCTCACAAAATGTAAACTGCAGTGCACCCCTCCAGCTAGTAGTGCACACCCAACGGCATTGCATGGAAGCCGACACCATGCCAGCATCCAAGGAGGGCCTCACTAGCCTACTTAATTAATGGAGCGGCCATTGTGAACCACAGCATGATTTAGGGGGATCTGACTTTGTGTTACCACCACCGAAGTAAGTCTTGCAGAGCACTTACTCCCTGCCTGCAGACCCATAGTAAAAGACAATCCTGTAACGCAGTGTACGCTGAATTTAAACAGCGCACTTTGACAGTTAACCCCCTACCGAAGTCACACGAACGCAGCGCTTTCCGGGCGGAAAGCAGTTGCGAAGTGCACTGGCAGCAACCGCCAAAGCATCACTGCAGTGCTTTTCAATCTCATGGCTACCGCAGAGCTGCTGTACTCAGTGTTCAGCGGGGCCAGAAGTTCGCGCATGGGATGCAATCAAAGTTGATGGAGCAAGAGTGGCTTCCTGGAATCACCGATAGCGTCCCTGAAGCACCGAAAGTGCACGCGGTCCTCCTATGGCTCTCCGTAGTGGCTGGTAGAAGCGCCGACTCAAGAAACCTTGCGGCTCTACTCCGCCAGAAGGACGTTGCAGTTTGTGGTGCGTCAGGGCGTTTCGCAGAGTGCAGTAAGTGCGGAGTTCGCCTGGGTACACAGAACCCGTGCAGCTTCTGTGGCTTCACGTGCTTCTAAATAGGCATGCATGAGCTGGCGGCATTTTCAGCGGGCCCTTGATCTTTTGCTACTTATATATGACGTTTGCCAGCAGAAAAGAAGCCGCTGCACGGCTTCCTCTCTGTGTCTTCCGATGCCCTTTTTCAGCCGTCGAACTCGTGTGCTTCGTCGTTTACTAGCTCCTATTTTCCCTCGTGTATGTGAAGCTTAGTTGCGAGTATTCAAAGTCTGTGCTATTCACTATCCACCCTCTGCCTGCCTGCCGGGTTCTCGTATTTCAACGCCTCTCATGAGTAACGCTGTCCGCCACTCCCCGTATCTGCAGGAGCCGCGCCTCCTCGTGGCAGCCTTATTGTGGCCTTTTACACGGCATCAAGCAGCCCTGCGCGGTTGCTGCTACTGCTGCAGCGGTTCCTGCTGCGCCAACTCGTGCTGCAGCAGCTGGCACTGCAAGAGCTCTCCTGGACTGAAATGCCCATGGAGGCGAAGCGCTGTTCTGCGCCTCTTGAATGGCTCGCCAATAAGGTTTTTCGGTGGTTGGGGGCCTCTTTTGGAAGGAAACAGTGAAAATTGGAGCTCTTCACCGGCCGCAGCGCCACTGACACTAGGATTGCGGTGTATGCGCACAGCGCAAACGCGAGCAGCAGCTTCTGGCGCAGGCTGAGGGACGCAGAGAAGAGCTCCATGACGACAGCAGAGCAGTTTGCCACAGCGAGCGCAGCCGCCATTCCCATTGCTGTAACCGAACGCCAACCAGTGAGTGCGAAATCGCCCATGACTTCCTGACTTATGCTGAAGACGAGTAGCGGTACGAGTGTGAGAGGCAGCAGGAGGGCTTGCAGGATGTTGATGGCCTCTGATATTCTGTCCAATGTCTCATGGCGCAGCAGCAGAAGCAGCAGCAGTGGGCCTATGGTGATCAGACGTGTCGCCATCAGTCTCACAGTCCGTGAGCATCTCAATCGGAGAAAGCCTTGCATCGCGAACTGCCCCGCGTAGGTTCCTGCCATCGTTGCATTCTGACCGGCTAAGACAACGAGTTGTTCAGGCAGACAGGAGGCAGACATTTGCACACACGGAAACAGCAGACAGTGGACGAGGTGTATGGACGGCGTTTGCAGATGCCGGGGGAGCAGAAAAATCGCATCAAGTAGCAGCAAAGAAAATAAGTCCGTGCGTTCGCAGAGGGATATAAGTAGTTACCCGCGCAACTGTGGTTATCAGGGAAGAACAACGGAGAGATGCAGCTTTCCCCCAGAGCCAAGACAGCTGCAGCTGTCTTGGCAGCGCGGTACGAGAAGCTTACCAGCGAGAAGACCAAGAGCCCATGCAATAAAGGCACCGACACCAAAGGCTTCGCGAAGGGCATCAGCAGCGGTGGCGAGTTCAAGTTGATGCGGTGTAGGAATGCGTGGGCTCGCAAAGGTGCAGACAACGCATGCATTGAGGCTGCACCACAACAGCGCATTAAAAAGGCCTCTGTATACATACATGTATGCGCCTTCGTCGCAACCGAGGAAACGCTGCCATAAGCCCCTCGCTAGCGCTCTCTCTCTCTCTCTCTCTCTCTCTCTCTCTCTCTCTCTCTCTCTCTCTCTCTCTCTCTCTCTCTCTCTCTCCATTCAACAAGGCATTCTGCCTTTAAAAGGAAGGCTTTCTGACAAAGGAGCCACACAGGCTGGGGCGCTGTGTTCAGCTTCGTGCAAAAAGGACAAGCAGTGCTGCAAAAGCGCCAAGCGCAGCAGCAGCGGGGTCTGCATGCAGAGAAGGGCGCAGCGCTTGTCGCACATGAAGGAGACGGTGAGTGCCAGAGCGGCTTCCAGTCCAAAGTAATAGTTTGCTTCCATGACCTTCTCGGGGTTATGCCTGTCCACTTTGCGAGACTTCACCAGCGCCGAGTGGAGGTAGAGGCCGTGAGGCATCAGAATGCAGCCTAGCATCGACAGAAGCGAGGCTGCCTCCTGGCGCGAAGCGGGGACGCTTGGCAGAGCCAAGCCGCGCAGCAGAAGCAGCAGAGAGGGGCGAGACAAGCAGACATTTACGCCAAAGCATGTGGCCATCACCAGGATGAGACACCCAAACACTCGTTCCAAGCCTCGAGAACCTGAACCTTTGAATGCAAGGACTGAGAGGCAGTCCACCAGTGTAAGGCACACCCCCAGCCACATGGGCAGCCCTAAGAGCACTTGCAGCGCCAGCTGCAGCGCAGTCACAACACAGTGGAATCATGCCGCTTTGATCCTTCCCCCTTCTTCTCCCCCTTGTAATAGACTCCACAAGAAACCCCCAACACGCCACACACCTCTTCCAGGAGGCACTGAAAAGCGGCAGAACGAGGCAGGCGCACATGGCCTGTGTCGCAGATCAGCAACAAGACCACGAGCTCGATCGGAGACAGCATCAGTTTCACAAGGCGCTGCACCTACCGCACTGCCAATCACAGCTTGGAAGTCGGCGCCAATGATTGCTGCCTCTGTGGCAAGCCAAAGAAAGAAACAGGCGATAGCGCCATACTCTTTGCGGCACAAGCTGCACAGAACGCATCCAGGAAAAGGCCTTCTTCCATCATGTCAAACAGGCAGCCTGAGATTTACCCTGGAAAAGCCCTGCTGCTAAAGAGTGAAGAAGAAGAACCGCATCGCTCTGATACAGCCAGCCTCCAGCAGCGCAGGCAAAGCGCCTCATTCAGAAGCCTGAAGCCTCCACGAGCTCCCTCAGGAGCTCCTGGAGGCATGCATGCCGCAGAGGCGCGGACGCTACCCACTAGAGCACAAGAAGAGGCAGAGGGAGGCGCGCAGAGAGATCGAGATAAGGCCCCATCAACACCGCTAAAGGCAGACAAGCGCGAAGGGCAAGCAACAGACAAGAGGCGCTCGCAGCGCGTTTCAGATCCGCCTTACGTGGCGAGATCCGCATTCGTGACGTTCCCAAGCCGCGCAGCGAGCACCTGGAAAACCCCTCCAAAGGCATGGCCCCACAGCAAGAGCCAGAGCATCGAATATCCGTATCCGCTTTGAGCAGGCTCTTCCCCCGCATACGGACTGCCTGCCGCGGAGAAAGAGCCTCTCGCTGCTCCCGCCTGCATGTCAGCCTCGAGATTGCCTGGATCCAAGTAAGCCATCGCCACGAGCCAGCCAGGCCCTAAGAACCTGAGAAAGCGCTTGACGCTGAAGGCTGGCAAAGGACTTGGGAGCACGTACTGCAAGAAGTACACGAGAGGCCAAAGCAGCACCTGCATGCTCGCCGAAATCATCCAGGAAGCCGCCCGGTAGAGCGCTGCGGGGAAGAGGCGCAGCACGAGCCTTTGCCGCTGCCGGTGCTGCTGCTGCACTGCTGCTCCCTCATGACGATGATGCGAGAAGGAAGGCGGGTGAGGAGGCTGCATCTGTCCATCCTCGAGAAACACTGGCAGGGAGCCTTCGGGGGATCCTTCTCCAGGAAAATACCCCCCTTCTGGAAGGCCGTGCAGCAAAGGCACCCGCCAAACAGTCTCCTGTCCAGTCGCTTCTCCCACGAGAGCCGCGTCTGAATACGCCATTTCTTCCAAGGGGTCGACGTCGCTGAGGCTCTCTGTGGAGCTGCTGTTGCATGCAGAAAGCTCTTCGCTGCAAGGCAGCTGCATGGCGACGTTGCTACTGTCAGGAACGTCGCTGGCGCAACTGCTGCGCCTGCTGCCCTCCCCGGCTGCCTTTGAAGGAGTTTTTTCGCTGCATGGCATCGCGTTGCTGCTGCGACAGGAGTTGCTGCCGGCTTTGCCTCGGCAGTTGCTCCCCCAGCTGGAAGAGTCAGTAGTAGACACCGACAGCAGTCCCCTCCTGGCTGTGGGGGGAAGGTGTGACTCGCGCTGATGTGGTTCTCCACTCATCTTCGCCCTCCAGGGACTGTGCCGCTGCAGCGAGCTACCGCTAGGAAAGCATCAGAGCTGCTACTCGCAGCGGCGCCTGCTCATAAAGGCAGCAGGCAGCGTGCAGGAGGATCTCCGTGTCAGAGCTTCGCGCGCAAAATGCCGCCAACAGCACGCGCAGCCTCAGCAGCCAGAGCCCTTCCTTTCCTCGCCTGGCATTATAAAGGGAAAAGTGCCCTTTTCGGTGCGCACGATGTGGAAGGGCAGCTGTCGTGGTTTCGCGGTCAGTCACAAGCTGCACGCTTGCGCGGGGTGGCCGTTGGCTTTCCTTGGGCCCTGCCTTACACGAAAAGAGGGCTGAAAAGGTTTTTTACGGCCTTTAGAGGGATTTATGGGGGGCCTCGGGAGTTTGTGGCGCAGTTGCTGCAACTTTCCTGGACGGGTCGGGGGTGGTGACGGGGGTGGGACGGCGTGTCCACATTGGCGACTGAGCGTTATTGCCGAGGCGACTGCCGCAGGGGAGTCGATTAGCAGGGATAGGGGGAGAAGTGGGCAGAAAACTGCGTGCGAAGGAGGAAGGGTTCTCTGTGACCAGCAGCAGGTGCATCAGCTACACGACCTTCGACTGATCTGGTGAGACGTCAGTTCAGCGTCTCGCGCGGCAACACGTGATCGAATCTGTTTAGAAATGATTAGGGGGTTCAGCATTGACTTTTAGAGTAGCAGTTGGAGCCCTAAACCGAGTGAAAAAATGCCGCATCTCGAACGCTCAGCGCTGCTTGCCCTGTCACGCGTCACGTTGCAGCGGCAACGGCAGCAGCAAGAGAACGAGAATGCCAGTGCCAGCAGGCAAGGAGCACCGCTGTGAGGCTCATGTGCGCAAGGGCCTTGCGGCTTTTGGAGCTCTGATGGATCAATTAGGCTTGGGATATGCATTTGCGATGAAGATTGGCTGGCTTTGGAGGTTTGGCAAGCTCGTTCGGGGAGGGGTCTCGACGCGTGATGGTGTTGCCTTTGGGGTCCCCTGGCCGCACCGGATATCAAGTACGAGGGTTTTCCCCGTGTAATCCGAAATTTCTGCATCCACAGAGTGGAGAAAATAGTAGACGTAACGCTTTCTTCCGCGTTGTAGCTGTTGCTTCGGCTACAGCCCGCACCAGCAAGGGCCTGTCTACGGGCAGCTGCAGCTGCACCCCGAGTGTTGTCTTTTGGTGGAGACTCTGCGCTTCAGATCCGCTTTTCCCTCGGCATTCTCCCCCTCCCTCACAAGAGCAGCTGCCTCCCGCAAGAAAGAGAGCGAGTGGCGTCGACATCGACAGTTGCCTCTTGGCTGCTCAAGGAGGCGCAGCCAAGAAACAACTGCATGGCGACTCAGACTGACCAGTCGCGGAGGCAGACGCGCAGTGGTGCAGACACAGAAACTCCAGCACTGCCAAGGATCTGCCGTCCTTCCGTGCGCGATGTAGCCCACGCAGGGGCAGAGCCACTCCTGTTGCTGCGCAGGGATCAATGAGGAGTCGCTGCACGGAGGCTTCGCCAGGTGTCTCCCCTCCAGAACGGCCTCCCTTCAGGGGCGTTGGATGCGTGCGTCGCTTTGCGCCTTTTTCCGATCTGCCAGAAGCCGCGAGACCTTCGCTGTTGGGAGTCTTCGTGGACAGGGAGGAGGCAGCGGCTGCCGCGGCAGCTGCTGAGGCACCCATCTCCGCGGCGACTTCTGCGGCTGCGACGCTCGCGCGCGAGGCAGCAGGAGGCTTGCTGCGACTGTGGGGGATTTCTCCCTGGAGGCACTCCCGACGACAAGACACTGAGGCGCTTCCAGGGTCTGGAGGCATTGTGGTCTGCAGCAGCGACGCGCTGCTGCGCTGCAGCGCTATTACCGGAGTTTGTTGCAGCAGAATTTCCCTTCCCGCTACGGCCTGCTGCTGCTGCTTCGCTTCTAGAACTGCTCTTAAGGGTCCTGTTGTCGCCTTCGGATGCGTAGATGGTTGCGTCCATGTCTTTTCGGGAAGAACGCTGCGGCTCCTCGCTACGCTGACCCCCCCGCCACCTACCTTGCTTGCCACAGCCTCTTGCACGCAGCACAATAGCGGCAGAAGGCTTGCCAGCTCAGAGGCAGTAGGAGCAGTAAGAGGAGCAGCAGTAGAAGCAGTAAGAGGAGCAGCAGTGGGAGCAGTAAGAGGAACAGTAAGAGGAACAGCAGTGGGAGCAGCAGTAGAAGCAGCAGTAGAAGCAGTAAGAGGAGCAGCAGTAGAAGCAGCAAGAGGAGCAGCAGTAGAAGCAGTGGGAACAGAGAGGCGCCCCTTTCCTCAAATTCCGACGCATGTGCTGCTGGTTGGCAACAACGCGCTGCTCGCTGGCCTCGAGGAAGGGCGCTGCGTTGCCTTTTTCCTCGAGAATAACAAAGTCGCTGTGGTGTATGAGCCGCCTAGCGCCGTCCGCTGCTTCCTGCTGCAGCATCCTTACACGCAGCAGGGCAGTCGAGAGGGGTGTCTGCTGCAGCGCAATCCTCTCGGCCTTAAGCGAGCTGCGTCGCACAAGTGGAGCACAGACGCTGAAGAATTCGGCTCGCAGAGACATGACGAGGGGAGTCTCAGCAGCACAGCCACGGCTAGCGGCCACTCGGCACGACAGCTGCCCGTGTGCTGCTTGTATTCTGCTCCAACAGAGCGCCTCGTGGTAGTGGCTGTACACCCGGAAGGCTGGTCAGCGATACCGTTGCAAAGAGGCTGCAGCAAGGCCTCCAGCAGCACCCCTTTGGCGTTGTTGAAGCAGCATTCTTGGCATCAATTCGCACATGCCATCTACAAGCGAACATCCCTGCAGGGTGCTGCTGCTGCTGCGACTGGAGCCGGTGCAACCCAGGGGCCAGATACCTGCTCCACGGCTGCCTCTGTGGCAGGAGAAATCCAGCAGCAAAAAACACCAGCAGCAGAAAGAGCAGCAGAAAGAGCAGCAGAAAGAGCAGCAGAAACATCAGAAGCAGCAGCAGCAGAAAGAGCAGCAGAAACATCAGAAGCAGCAGCAGCAGAAAGAGCAGGAGAAACATCAGAAGCAGCAGCAGCAGAAAGAGCAGCAGAAACGTCAGAGCCACCACCCCTACAAGGACGCCGAGCAGCGAGATGTGCTGCGTCTTCATGGCCGTTGCTTGTGTTTCAGCAGCACTCGGGTGTCTGTGCAGGCACATTATGGGGAGTCTCATCCCGAGTGCTTGCGATAGGCCTTGGCTTGCCCGAGAAGGCGTCGCAGCAGCAGAAAGAGCGGCAACATCAGTCGCAGCAGCAGCAGCTGTGCTGCATTGCGATAACAGCGACGGATATCCTGTACTGGAGGCAACAGGGAGCCTCACGCAGCAGACGAGCGCTGCGGATGCCTTGCAGCGAAAGCAAGGCTGCATTTCCGATGGAGCATGCTACAGCGCCGTCCGTTCATCTAGATGGAGATTCTGCAGCAGCAGCAGCAGCAGCACACCTCGAGCAGCAACAGGGGACGCATGCGCGTCGGAAGGGGGATGCCACGGAGTGCCCCTCGTTCCTCTGCGGCTCTCAGGCTATTCCTTGCCAGCTCGCTGCCGCAACGCCAGCAGCAGCAGCAGCGGCAGCAGCGGGAGGCTGCGTGGAGGGAGTGTGGTGGTCCCTCTCAGCTGTTTTGCAGTTTCCACTCGGCATTGCACCTCCGCTGGAACAGGCTCAAGATGCATACACCATGGAAGACGCAACCCTTGACTGGACAGGGCGCCTCATGGTAATTCTGCCGCGGGGTAGCAGCAGCTGCTGCGTGCTGTCGTGGGAAGTGAGGGACGGTGGACTCGCAGTGGTTCCTCTGCGCTTGCTACAGGTGAGGATATACGCAGCCGAAGAGGGGCACGCTCAGTTGGCAGGGGGCAAATAAGAACTGCGATGCTCTTGCGTCGTCTGCAAGGCTGCATTGGGTTTGCGCTGTGTGGCACTGCTGTTGCGATCTGTTCATAGGTTTCCGGGGTGGGGCCTGCTTCACAAAAGCCAATGCTTCAGCGGCTTTGGTGAGTTAAATCCGATCGGTCTGTTTAAAGCCTCAACTCAATGGCTGTCTGTCTGAATCTTTAACTCTCTCTGTCTCTCTGTCTATCTCTCTCTCTCTCTGTCTCTCTGTCTATCTTTCTCTCTGTCTCTCTCTCTGTCTCTGTCTCTCTCTCTGTCTCTGTCTCTCTGTCTATCTCTCTCTCTCTCTGTCTCTCTGTCTATCTTTCTCTCTGTCTCTCTCTCTGTCTCTGTCTCTCTCTCTGTCTCTGTCTCTCTGTCTATCTCTCTCTCTGTCTATCTCTCTCTCTCTCTCTCTCTCTCTCTCTCTTTCTCTCTTTCTTTCTCTTTTTCTTTCTCTTTCTTTCTCTTCCCTTCTTTCTTTCTCTTCTTATCTTCTCTCTCTCTTTACTTGCTTGCCTTGTCCATCATTACATAATCAAATGACTTCAATGACCTGCGTTTGCCATACAC